CTGCTCCACATGTGCACTCTCTACTCTCTGTGTGAATACCGAACCGGTGGTAGTATTCGCCCAGGTGTGCGTGGCCGGTGCGGAACTGGACCAGCCTGCTGAAGGTTTTCGGTCCAGCGATTTGAACCTGGTGGTGGGTTTGATCGATGGGGGGATCTGGTTTGCTGTGTGGAATCCTGATCGGATCGGGGTGGGCGTGCTTGCCCAGCGTTCCTTCCAATCTTCTTCCATCTCCTGTTTATGCAAGCTTTCTACAAAGGATAATGAGTGGTAGCGGGGTCTGTCCGGGCTGAGGCGAGCCCCCTCTTTGGCCAGCTCGTCTGCGCGTTCGTTGCCCTTGATACCACTGTGGCCGGGGCACCAGCTTATCGCGACCTTGAGGTCGTCTCTGTCGTCCAAGAGCCTGCACACTGTCTTCCTAAAGGTCCGGGTGTGCTCTTGGGCTTTTCCGGGTTTCCCTTGGAAGATGCGGCCGATCGCGCTCGTGTTGTCTGAGTAAAATACTATGTTTGACGGCTTGTGGGTGTTCAGGTCGTTTTCGATGAAGCGACGTGTCTCTTCCGCCGCTGTCCTCAGCCCCATCATTTCTGTGTCGAAGGCTTCTACGTAGCCGCCCATAGAACCATTCCTCTCGAATACTGTTTCTCCTGCTGAGTAGCCCACTACTCCAAATCCCGTGTATCTCTGCCCTTCTTCTGTGAACTTGGATCCGTCGGAGTACACGAAGAGGAAATCTGGATTGTCCTCGTGTTCCGTCATGAATTCCAGGTGGTCGTCTGTCCATGTCTCTTTGGCGGATTCGCCTGCGACGTTCTCTGGTAGGTAAATCTGAATACGGTCTTCGATATCGAATTCCGAGATATGCCATGGGGCTTCGCTGTGTGGGCGGATCCTCTCTGTGCCGTGGATTATATGGTCCGCGATGCGAGTGATGCACGTTGAAAAGGTGTCCCTTGGGTCTATTCGATATCTTCTGTGGGGGTTGAATACCGGTAGTGGTGGTACGGTGAATGGTGTTGTTAATCTTCTCTGCCACGGGTAGAGGCGGTTGGTGACTGGGTGGTCATCTGGGAGTCGGGCCAGGTGTGTTGCCTCCATCTTTAGTCGGTATTCGAGGAGTAAGTCGATAGGTGGGATCGATGCTTCGATTTCCATTGCCTGTGTGTTGGTTGTACGAAATGCTCCTGTAATCATGCGCAAGCATTTGTTCTGTAGTATAGAAAGATGTTTAATGATCATTTTAGATTTCTTGCGCCAATATATTGGTAGACCGTAAAGTGCGATAGGCAGTATCGCTCCCAGATAGAGGCGCCGGACATGAGTCTGGTGAAGACCTCTCTCTGAGTTGCCCAGCATACGAAGGGCTTGGGCCGCGGATGCCGCTTTGGAGGTAATCCTCTTGATGTGCTCCGTGAACTTGAGTTGCGGGTCGAACCATATGCCTAGATATCTCATCAGGCTGGATGGGTTGACTGTTTTATCGGCGTCGTTTATGTGTGAGGGGATGGTGATGGATGGGCCGGGCCCGGCGTTTCTGCCTGTTCTGGTTTGGGTGAAGTGCATGAGTTCGTTTTTAACTGGATCGGTCTTCAGGCCTCTTTCCCTGAGCCACTCGTGGACTATCTGGAAAGCGGCCTTAATGACTTCAGTGGATTCTTCTCTGGATGGCGCTGATGCTGATATGGATCCGTCGTCTACATAGAGAGTGAGGGGCATGGGGGAAATTAGGCCGTTGTTAAATTTCGTGCTTAGCTCTGTGTTCTGTGCAATCCTGGTTTGGACTCCTTCCACGGCTTTCGCCAGCGGGGACGTGAAGTATGCTGCCAGAATAGGAGAGACACATGAGCCTTGTGGGACGCCAGTGAAAATGGGCCTTAGTTGATCTCGTTTTCCATCTAGGCAGATTGCCGCTTCTCTGTCCTTGAGGAAACTGAGGACCCATTTTACTGTGGGGAGCGGGATGTGGTAGGCTCTTAGCGTGCTAATTAGGTGAGAGTGGGGGATATTGTCGAAAAAGCCGGTGATGTCAAAGGTGAGCATGGAGACTACCCTCTTGTGGTTCCATGCTGCCTCGATGTCGTGCACGATGGTAAGGAGGGCATCTTGGGCTGACTTGCCGGGAATTCCGCCATACTGCGTGCTGGGGAATAGGCGGTGTCTTGCTGCCAAGTAAGCTAGCCTACGGGCTTGGATCCGTTCGAGAGCTTTCCCCGAGACTTCTAGTAGTTGAATCAATCGATATGATCTGGGGAGGGAGTAGTCCCTGTTTGGTTTCTGCAAGGCCACTGCGATGGATGTGCGCCATAATTTCGGGTGGTAGCCTGAGTCTGCACATAGCCTGAGGAGGTGGAATATCTCGTCCCCAAGGGTCTTCCAGGCCCACTGCCAAGCACGCCCCGTAAGTCCGGAGATCCCTGGGGCATTCAGTTGAGCGGCTGTGAAAATGGCATCTCGGACTTCACGTTTCGTCACGCTGACATATTCTATGTCATCGTTGCATGGGTCTAGAGAAATTGGCGGAGAGTTGGCGAGTCTCGGGAGTTCTGGGAGGAGGTTCTCCCGTAAGGTTTGGCACTTGTCTATATGGCTAATGGCTGGCTCTAGGTTGTCACTGCGCTTTATAGGTGGCGATATATAAGTCCTGTGGCATTTGGTCCACTTCCTTATGTCCCAGAGGTTGTGTGGGTTTGCCTTTTCCGTGATGTTGCGGAAGTATTCCCGTTTGGCCTTTCTGATGCGCATGAGGACCTCCCTCTTGAGGTCTTTTACGCGGCCTGCCAGGAATGTTGAGGGTCGGTGAAAATCTCTGGTCCAGTCTTTCAGCATTTCCTTGGCTTCGCGGAGTTCCCGATATGCTTTTGAAAGGTCTTCCGTCCACCATGGTTTCGCTGCTTTGCTTGGCCGTCTCACTGGAACTGAGTCGTTTGCTGCTTTTTCTAGGTACCTGTGCAAGGTTTCTGTTGCTTTGTCGAGTTCTTCTGAAGTAGCTGTAATGCGGCGTTCATTGAGGAGTTCATACACCAAATTGTCGTGGGCCGGTTTGTTGTTTTCAATGGTTGCTTTCAGGGCCTCTGTAAATTTGTCCTCCGACGCATGTTTCCAGTTGAGTTTTTCCTCACACAGGTTGTCTACTTCTTCCCTGGGGGAGCCTAGCTGGAAGGAGAGGGCATGGTGGTCCGACAGACTGCCGATTTCCATATCTACGTGGTGTCCCGTTAGGACGCCTGCTCCGAGTGCTGCTGCATTGGCAAAGGTTAAGTCAATAACTGATGAGTGTCCCATGTTGTCCTCCCGGGTTGGGACGAAGGGTTCGTTACAGATGGAAAATGTTTTCCCTTCGAGCCATTCTAGAGTCTCTGTTGTGCGGTTGCACGGGGCTTCGACCTGATCATCCCAGGTTGGATGTCGCATGTTCCAGTCGCCTGTTATGACCGTTGGGACATCCACATCCAGCCTGGTGTTAACCAGTCTGTCCGCTGTGTATTCCCTGCTTTGGGGGTCGGTGAGGGTTTTCTGATTATAGATATTAATTAGTCTGATCGGTGCGTGTTCCGCTCCTTCTCTTTTGACTTCCAAGATCATGAAGTCTAGATCTGATGCTAAGTCGTTCCTTAGTGTCAGCTCTATTTGTGCATTCTGGCGGGTGTAGGCCATGCATCTTGGTCGTTCGCCTTCAGCGATAGGTAGTTTGGGGAGGATTGCTTGCCACCCCTTTAGGGTGGCTGATGCGTATGTGCTGTTGATCTTCTCCCACCACGGTTCTTGTATGAGTAATATGTCTGGCTTTGGGTTCTTTCGTTTGGAAATGATATGCATTGCCGCTTGTGTCGCCGCATTGGACCGATTCACGTTCAAGCTGCATATCGAGAGTTGGGCTGCTATTTTGGGTGTGCACTTCATTGGGGGGAGGTGAGGTGAGGGCTTGTCATTTCAATGTCCATTTTTTCCCCGCTTTCCGCGGTTGACAGGTTGGGTTGATTGGTCTGTTTGACAATTTTTGTCTTTGACCGTGTGTGGACAAGCTTAGCAGTGGATGCCCTTTGGGCTTCCGGAGACCGGTTCTGTTCTAGGATGCGGCTTACATCGTCGCCCGATAGGCCGATGTCTACGCTTGCTACCTCTGATTGATTGGTTGCCTCTTCCTTCCCTTTGCCTTTGTTTCTCTTTTTGTTGCCAGCCTTCGGCTGTGCAGTTTGTGGCTGGGGGTTGCTAGGTGGCTGCGCGGTCTTCTTCGGGATGGGTTTGAGGCCCATTTTGTTTCTCCTTATCTTGCATTCTTTGAAGGTGCTTACGTGTGCCTCTTTGCAATTTATGCAGCGAGGTTGCACATCTGCTTGGTGGTCATCAGTGTTGTGGTCCTTTGCCCCGCACTTTAAGCACCGTGGCTGTGCGCAGTTGGCCGTGCGGTGGGAGTACATGCCGCATTTGCTGCATGCGAAGACTTGAGCACGATCTTCATACGGTGTAATGGTGCATCTGTAGTTAAATAAGTACACTGTCCTGAGTTGGAAGAGTGTATCTCTGTCTTTTTTGTTAGTCAAGTCCAGTACAATGGACGCAAAATTCTTAGCGTAAATGGTGGCATCTGAGCCCAGCCATTTGGGTGGGCACCACTGCTTCAGTTCCCCGTAAGGTGGGCAGTACGTCATTAGCTCTTCATGGATCATGTTGATCGGGAGTGGGTCATTGCCGCAGTGGGTGGGTATTTTATTGATTTTCACGCGGTAGTGTTCCATGTCTGGTAGGGTTGAGAGAACCTCGTTGTCTGTGATGGTGGCCGCAATGTCGTTCCCGTAGTCCTGTAGGTCGGACGCCTTGCAGGTTGGGGCCGTCGTAACCTTGATGTTCCCTGCTACCGAGTATCCCACTGCCATCACCCTGAGGTAGTGCGGGAGATTCTTTTTCTCTAGCATGTCATTGATCTTCTTACGGATCTCGATGCCATTTGGGCGTTGGTCTGGTTGCAGGGGAGGGTTGATGCGGATGATTAGGCAGTGGGGGTCTGCCGTCTGTTTGTGTTCCGTTCCCTGTGTGGCTGTTTCGTGGGCTTGGTCTGGCGGTTTCACTGTCTGTTTCTTTGCTGTTGCCTGTCTGGGTTGCGGTTTCGGTGGATTCTTTGCTGCTACGCTCGCCCAAGACTCGGTCGGGGCCACCATTGGTTTCGCTACGGTATCCGGGTCCCTCTCTGGCAGAGGTTGGGTTTGGGCCGTGGACACCTTGGATTCTAAGGATTTCAAGCGATTGGATAGGTAAGCGTTAGTTGAAGCGAGGTTGGAGACATTAGCTTCTGCCTCCGCCAGACGGCTTTCTAGGTCTTTTCCCACCATCTTCTCACCATGGCTTTTGTATGTGGCTTTGGGCAGTCCTGCGAACCAATGGGAGTATGTCGGGAGGAGTTGTTCCCACAGGCCTGCAAGGCCGACAAGTGATAGTCTCTCCGTAACCTCGTTCATACTCGTGGACGCATCTTCCAAAAGCTTCCAGTTCCTGTCGTGTTCCTCATCCTCGGGGGTCGGGTCTTCCATCCACATCTCTTCGTTCTCCGAGTCGGACCGTTCTTGGTGTTCGGCTTCTGAGGAGTGTTGAGGATCTGTGGTGTGTGTGCTGTCTTCCATTGGTACAGCGTGTCGTTCCATGTCTGGGGTGCTGGGCCATGACATCGGGATGCTGGTAACATCCAGTTGATCGGAGACTGGCGCAATCGGATAAGGGTGTTCAGCGAATTTGTCGCGGAGTAGTTGCATTTCTGGGGTACTAGTCGCTGCCGCTTCGCCCCAGGGGCTACTGTTGGCTGAGCCTGTTTGTCCTCTTGCTGTAGTTTTGGTACCACGACGTGGCAATTGGTGCGGCTGGAGCGGCGTGCTCGAGTTCGTGTTGTACATATCTCGCTTCGTGCTAGACTGTCTCAAGTTAGCAGGGTTAGCTGGCTTTTGGAGCCCTGCTTTCCCTCCTGTGTCAAACTTTTCTTGATCATCCATGGTTAGGAGATCGTGCGTGGGAAGGGGAAGCGGTTTGGGGGGAATGGGGGGTGGTATTGTTGTTTTTCGATCTCACTAGACGTTTTCCCTCTCTTTTCGAGATGGTGTCACGTGGCGAGATGGTCGAAGTTGTGTACAGTCAGATGTAAATAACCGGGCTAGCCGCACTGCCACGTACAAACGCGGCCGCGGGGTAACAAAATAGAGTACAACAACAACAACAACAACCCGACGATATCAACCAGCAACCCCCTTCATGTATAGAGAATCTCCTCATGGTGTATCGACGGGCCTCACTGTCACGTCCATCACGAGGCCGCGGGGTAACGTACAAGATAGATTCATCATCATCATCACAAACTCTGATCATACATGGCCGTTTTTCAAAAAATTCTGATTTTAACGGAAGAGATTCCAGGTGGGGTCTCTCTACCAAAACCGTGGAAATTTGGAAGGGCCCAATGGTTCTGTGGGACTGGCCCTAAATTTGACGTGCAACGTATAGCGCTTGAACGTCAATGCGCTCACTGTAACAATATTTTGTCAGCATGGGGGGGGGGGGGACATCTTGAGCCCTCTGAAACGGGTATCTTGGTTTTCATGTCCTCATCTGAGGAGGGTTTCCCCACGTTTTCTTTGAGAGTGCCCGGATGCCACTGCTTACTGTTCCTCACCAGTGTCAACTTCTACTGAGATGATGATTGATGATTCTGTATGCCCCGCAGCCTCGTGTGATGTACAGGTCAGTGCGGCTATCCCATCTGTACGGCGTAAGCGCACATGAAGGGGACACTGGTTGGTGCCCCCCCTTATAATTTCTTCAAAACCGTGGATTTAGGGGGGGGGGGGGAAGAGAAACTTTCCAGTGGGGTCAACCTCTCTCTACGGCGACCAAGTTCGTTCCCAGTACGTTCTGGTATCTTGCTCCTCGGAGACGCTCGGGCCTTCCAAATGAATTGAACGTTGATAATGCAGAGACCTGTTGCCGTCCTTGCTGTGGATCATGCATGGCAGGAGGGCCCCCGCGCTAACCTGTTTATATCCAACATGAGCCTCGCCAACCCTTTTCTTTTTAGGATGGGTGAGGGTATGGAAACTGCCTTACGCCCCCCCCCCCCCAACCTTCCCCTTTAAAATCAAGTTGGCCGAAGGCCATCTTGCGTGATCTGTGTAGATAACATGACGAGATGATTGTGTGTACGGGGGTTTTGAGCCCCCTAATTCTCCCCTTGTTATTCTCGTCTTAGCCTTTGCGCAGGCCGGGAGTCAGTGGGTACCTCGTACTGAGAGTGTTGGTAGTGTTACCCTGCGGGTGGCAGTGCGGCTAGCCCGACTAATTACATCTGGCTGTACATGAGGCGACCCGACTCCACCCAACCAGGGGATTTCACATACACCAACCAAAAACTTCTTCGTTGTAATGACGATCCCCCTCATGTACGCTACGGTGTAAAGAGCCGGGATAGCCGCATTACTACGTGACAACGAGGCCGCGGGGGTAATGAGAAGTACATACGCTGTACATGAGGGGTTCCTCAATACAAGGTGGAGTTTTCTGGTTGATGTGCTCAAGCTGATGGGGTCCTCTGGGTTGTAATGTCTGGTTTTAAGTTGCGTTTGGGTACGCGTGGGGTGTAGTGTCCATGTCACTCCCCTCTCTGGGCTCTCTGGGGGGTTACTGATTGGTAGGGAGTCGGTAGTCCTCTCGCCTGTTGACTGAAGGGTCAGGCCGATCAACTCTTGCCAGCTACACGCAACCGCCCCAGAATTCAAGGAATCGAATTGAGGCTGGAGGGACTGTGCGGCCCGGTGCGCATTAGTAGCACTAACTGGGTACTACCCATGACACGTCTCTCAACTGGCCATCTTGTACGGTCGGGGGGGGGGGTTCTCGGTGGTGTGAAAGTGTGAGGAGACAGATACTGGGGGAAGGGTGCATTGCATTGGATCGTATGTATCCAACATAAACGAAAAGCGCGCATACTTGCACTAGACGTTATCGTGGTGAAAGGAGATCGGGGTTGGGCCGGTTGGAGCTCGGCAGGCGGGAACATGATGTAAAGAGTTGATGACAACAATTCCGATTGATAATTAATCAAGCGAAATTTAGCGCCGACAATGGCCAATAGCTACACAGTCATCAAGACCGTAATTGTACAACAAATCGTCCGAGATTATATAGACCGGGGGGTGGATGGATGGATAGGGGTGTCGACTTGCGCGCGATATATATCGGCACTACATAGTGGCCATTGCAAGAACCGTTTTAGCCTTGCCGGTTCCTTGCATGACCAAAAAAAAAAAGCTCTCGACGCCGGCATTCCGGCTCGCTCGACAACCGGCCGGCGGAAATTAAGATTAATATTCTTCCAAAAAGAGGTCATCCAGTACAACGGAAAATCTATGAAGCCCCATGTGATGCACCACCACCCAAAAGAAAAAGAAAACTGTGTATGAGCATGTGCACGAAACGAGTTCACGGTTTAATTTACTTATAGGCTGGTTGGAGACGTACGTACACGGATAACCAATATTGCATGCAAACTCTGGCGCCGCCTGAAGCTTGCGGCTTTCGGGATCATGAAGTGATAAAGACCGCATCCGACCGCGAACACATGTACAACTGACGGGTCATTGAGAGCAACGGGGTATTAAAAGTGCACTTTCAACTCCTCCATGACCCAAACAAAGCAGCGAATAATGATCCCACACGATGCAAGTCGAAGCTTCAGCCTCTATATATGTATCACAAGCGCGCGTTGTGGTTTTTAATACAATTCATTAACTAGCCGACAAGCCGTTGAACCGAATGAAGTCACATGTTCGTCATCGGGAGAACCCCCGTCATTGTGACTTTGTCAAAGGTTCAGCGGCTCTTCCTCGGCACGTCAGCCAAGGCCGACTTGACGAACAAAAGATGATGGCTCCTAAGGGGGGGGGGAACACAGAAGCGGGCCCCAACTAGCATGCAACCGTAGCGCTCGGCCTCATCTCTCTTTCCAACCGCGCCACGCCACCCTTCTTGCCCGGTTTTCAAGGGACGAGCTTAATTAAATCTCCCTCAACTAAGCATGGAAAAAGCTAGCCTTGAAATATTACCAACGAAACTTGTCGTAATCATTTGTCCTTTCCGTTATACACGTAATCCGCCATTTGTTCCTATGTAGCTAACACGCTTTTGCGGTGGCCGCCGTCTTTCGCGTTCGGTTTTTTTACTAAGGCGACAAGGCCTATCATTTCCCTAAGATTGATCAAGCCCTCCAACATATATGTATGCCAGACGGTTTCCGAATCGACCCCCTCCCCCTCCCCAGGTATATCTATAGAGACTGCTTCAGCCTAACCCCCCAAGGCACAACTGCGACAGCGCCCTAGTAGTTCTAGCTTTCTTTCTCATTTTCTTCCTTTTCCTCGCCGAGTCCGCCACTCAAGCCGCCGCATGAAAGGAGAGAAAAAAATGGCTTCCTTAATCATAGGCCGTACTAGAAAGTTACATGACGAAGAACTCGCTTCGTTTCAGGATATACCATTAACGGCGACCAACTCGATATCATCGTCCACTGGACACAGCTCTCACGTACTACCTGACCCTGACGAAAGCAGAATAACAGCGATGATGGTGATATTGATGATAAGGCTTTAGTAAAGCCGCCGCCGCCGCCGCCTTCCGAGAAGACGATACCCGTTGACCCTCAACCAAGGGTGACAACACCTCTTGAAGTGAACTCGGGGGATTCGTTCCTCGTCGGTTGGGATGGACCAAATGATCCAGAGAATCCACTAGTACGTTTTTCCTTCTTCACACACCCCCAATGTAACTCACTACTACAACAATAACAACCACAACCTAATCTGGTAGAACTGGTCTCGACCCAAGCGGTGGTACTTGACGATTCTGAGTTCCATTCTCGTATGGAACGCCACTTTTGCGTCATCCTCACCTAGCGGGATCATCCCTCAAATGGAAAAGACACTCGGATTTTCCACTCAAGAAGTCGGAACGTTAACCATCTCTCTTTTCGTCGCTGGTTATTGCGTAGGTCCTCTCTCTGGGGTCCATTATCGGAAGTGTACGGTCGCCGTCCGATGCTCGTCATTTCTTTCATCGTTTACACTGGTTTCAAGTTGGATGTGCTCTTTCGAACGATACGGTTTCGATTCTTGTGTTTCGATTTTTGAGTGGTTGCTTTGCGGCTTCGCCGTTGACCCTTTCGGGTGCTCTGATCGGTGATATTTGGGATCCTGTGACTAGGGGTAATGCCCTTTCGTTGTTTGTCGTCGGACCGTTTGCTGGACCTGCACTTGGACCTGCTATTGGTGGATTTATCGCTGTATCGGGAGCAAGCTGGAGGTAAGCCGTAATTCTTCATGTGTGATCGTTTCTTTTACATAACCTCATTTTTTTTTTTTGTATTAACTACAGATGGTTTTCTGGACATGTACGATCTTCGCTGGAGTTCTCACCATCTTGGTCATCTTTACCCTCGATGAAACGTACCATCCTGTCATCCTTCAGCGCAAGGCCGCTCGTAGACGCATGGAGACGGGCGATGAGCGTTGGATGGCGCCAAACGATCGCAAGATCACCTTTGGTGAGCGTGCGAAGAACATTCTTGCCAAGCCGTGGAAGGTACTGTTTCGCGAACCCATGTTGTTGGCTATCACGTTGGACATGAGCTTCGTATATGGATGTTTGGTGTGTTTTTTTTTTTTTCCTTCCTTCCTTCCTTCCTTCCATCTTACATATGTAAACGTGAACTTTGACCCCATCCCCATCTTTCCAGTACCTCTTTTTCGAAGAGTACCCCGTCGTTTTCGGCCGGGAAGGACACGGTTTCAACGCCGGTATCTCCGGACTCATGTTCCTCCCACTCTTCGTCGGCTGCCTCCTCGCTGTGTTGCAATACGTTTTCTGGGTCAACCCACGTTACGCCGTTAGGAGAGAGGTGTGCGCACCAAAACCTGTTCCACCTGAAGAACGACTTCCGATGGCGGTCGTGGGGGGTGTTCTTTTCACCGTTGGATTCTTTTGGTTTGGGTGGACGAGTTATCCGTCTTTTAGTTATTGGTCACCTATGCTTGCTGGCGGACTGTTCGGCATTTCGATAACACTCATCTTCGTAAGTCAAAAAATTACTTTCTATCGGCGCTTTTGACGGCTAACGGTTTCCAAAATGTTTTTAATTACAGCTTTCACTATTCAACTACATCTTCGATACGTACCTGGCCGTTTCCGCATCGGCGCTGGCAGCCAACACCGTTTGTCGATCGCTCTTCGGTGCAAGCTTCCCATTGTTCGCACGACAGATGCTCGAGAAGCTTCATCCGAGATGGACGTCCACGCTGTTGGGTTGTATTTCGTTGTTGTTCGTTCCCGTTCCTGTGTTGTTCATCAAGTATGGGCCCGTGCTTAGGGCGAAGAGCAAGTATTCGCCAACGGTGGCATGATGCGTGATGGGTTGATCATTTGATCATTGAACTGCATACTACATGCAGCAAATTGCGGCAAGTTTAAAAAAACACGTTCGCGCCTGTACAAATGGGGAGGAGGAAGGGGAGGGTTCTAGGCTTTTCTCTCACCAGGTCATCACGCACGTTTCCTCGCCGACCTGCCTTACCTAATCCCGTTCATGATCGGTTCAATCTCTCGCTAAAACTGTTTACCCGCCACTTTGGACATGTGATGAAGGGGGGGGGGACCCTGTTGCGCCCCTTGGGGGTGTGGGGTTGGGGGGGAACCATATCGAGATCTTCTGAACTAAGCTTGCGTCATCCGCAAACTGCCCCCCCCTTTTTTTTTCGATCGTTTGGCCGCGTGGTTGCTTTGCATTAGATTATAATGTTCTCCCCTGATGATTCATACACACATTTCATAGTTCATCTCGTCATTTCTCCATTGCATACACATACAGTATACATATACCATTCGGACAACTCCAGTTCTTGTTTACCCCCCTCTCCCCCCCCCCTTTTTTTTCCGTCTTTCTAATGTATCAAACATCCTATAATCCTCTCTCCGTTGCGTGTCGCGCGAGATTGTGCAAAACGCAACTATACACTATATACATACTTAATAAGATGCCAAGAAGTGTGAATTGAAGGGCACATCACATAATTGCGATGTGGGGGATCGAGAAAACAGCTGATAAGGCAATGTAAACCACAACTCGGAAGAGGGGTGTGTGTTTTTTGTTTTTTGGCCTGGAAGTTGTGATTTGGTTGAATCTTAATTTGATTGATTGATTGGATGACAGAATGAATGAATGAATGGTTTTTCTTTTGGGGGAGGAAAACTTTATCTCTAATCAGTGTGGTAATTTGATATCTCTTGCCGGGGTCACGCAGTTTGCGGCATTTGCATCAGAAAAAGACTAGTGCATGCTAGCCAAGTAGTACAATATAGCGTAGTAGTAGTAGTGTAAACAGCACGAGCCAGCCGGCGGCCGTGTGTGCATGTGAGAGGGAACCTGGAGATTACTTAGTGCATATCTGATATTGTAGATCTCCAATTGATTCCAGACCCATGCAAAGAGTTGATGGAAAGACGGTCTTTATAAGGATAATTTGAGTTGTAATCAAAGAGAGACCCACTCCCCCCCCTGAGAGATTGTCAAGGCTGGATGCCAAAGTGAGCGAGACTTCATCATGCATGTTGAAATGCTGCTGCGTGCGCGTTGCGCGATATCTGTTATTCTATTTATTTGATTTTTGATTTGATTTTTGATTTCGTCCACGTTGTCCCCCCCATCGATCCCGATATCGATTGTGGCGTCATCTTTTTTTCTACATTCACGCCGCCTCCACCATGAACTTGCATGCATGCATATCACACACAACTACACATCACATGCCATATGCATGCCATAAGTTCCAAAAAAAAAAAAGGCCTTTAATGTGCACGCGGCCATCCCCTTAGCATCTTCCTTCCCTTCTTCAGAGGCTGAACTCCCTGAAAGCCGAGTTGAAAGCGGTATTCGGCCGGTTACGGTTGTATACACGCCACCATGCATAGAGGTACGTGGACGGACCTTCACCCCTCGTGCACCGTGAGTACTTTGACGCTCCAAACACAGTGCTCAAGCTTCCTCCCCGACCACTGCCATTTATTTATGTTGGTGTGTGGCCCAACAGCAATGTAACTATCTGATTATTCATTTGCGTCTAAAGAGAGGCTGGTCACCTGCCTACCTCCATGTGCGATACTGTAGTTGTCTTCAGGCAGGTAATCATTCTATGAACACCTTTGACCCGATTCCAACCACGAAACCATAGTAGATTAGGGACCTTTATCATCATCCAATCCATGGTCATCTTGAAGTGCTCACTTCGCTAGGCTGCGGTAACTTCCGAATGAATTGATGCTTGCGGACAAAATTTCTCCTCCACCTCATAGGGTGGCCCTGTCTATGTTATCGATTTGTTTTCCATTTTCCAGTGATTTCCACCCATCAATGAAGCATTTTCAACACTTGAGGTGCACCGTTTTTTTTGCTTCATTTTCAATAGAAATCACAGCCACAGAGGGGGCGTATAATACGGCTCAACTGACAGATTGTATGTATGCAGGGCAATGAGCTAATATATGTGACAAAAAGGGGGAGATTTAAATAAATGAATAAATAAATAATACGATTGGCCATTCCGCTCTCTTGGCTAGCTTGGCAGAATCCGATCGCGCGAAACCATGTTTCTTTTTCCGCTCCTCCCACCCCCCCCTACGTTTTTCCCTAGTTATGTTCATGCCATACATAGCGCGCGTGACCCAACGAGCGCACATATATAGCAACTAGCTACTTGTGTCCACGCAAGACAAGAATAACTACTATAGTGCTACGTAGCTGCAACGTTGTTGTCTAAATTTGTGTCAATTGTTGGTTTTCGGGACAAGATATATATATATATATTGCTAAGCCGGCCGGCCACCGAACAGCGACCCAGTGGAACAAGAGAAGCAAAAAGAAAGAGAACGGAACGGCAAAATTTGCAATATACAATGCAAGTGCAAGTGCAATTGCGCAAATTAGTATAGGGCGGATAAACGTACGTACCGTGTGTGTACGTGTGTGTATGCCTGCTGCATGTACGGCAGCACGGCAGCCCATAACTAAGTCGTCCAACAACTCCTTCTCCAATTATGGTGATGTGCTTATGCATGGCGTTTGCCGTGTGTGTTCTCTTTCCAATTTCCTTTGGTCTTCCTTGCATGAATGACTGACTACCTTGTTCTCAGTTGAAAGTACAAGTACCACTTTGGTCCTCAACGCACTTGGGATCGGTTTGCATTGGAACGACACAAATATTTTCGATTCACACTACCATGCACTGCATCATGTCATGGCCAGGTTGCGCAACCCATCGCGTGCCATCGATGTATACCCTATAGTATATGTGTTCGGCTCGTACCCAAATCCAGACTCCATATAATATTTCAAAGCCATAGAGGCTGGCCGGGGTCCTTGCCTAAATCAATCATGCACTGTACACCTACCCACAGAGCCACATAGTATATACTGAGGCAAATATCTGGCTGCACTTATAAAATTGATATGCTTTTACCGCGGTTTCTCCATATATCGGGCTTCCCATGCATATTATGCATAACATGCGCAACCTGCATGCATGAAGCATCAGCTATGTATATATGACCCGGTGCGGCCGGATGAGTGCCGCTGTATATATATATATATACATACACTAGTGCTAGCGAGTACGATCTTGCGCGGTGTTCTACCCACATCAACATATATCCCTGGAAAGTTCTGCCGCGCGCGGCCCTGTCTGAGACAGAATAGACATATACTACACCTCAAGGGCGCCTATATAGCTAGGGTACGTTAGGGCCGGCCACTACGCCGTACATCAGGTAGTAATCATGATTCGTGCAACGAATAATACGTACGCAGGTACGTTTGGACCCCTAACCGGGCCCGGTTCTGCGTGGGGGGCCGCGCATATGATGCGGGTGCGGTTGAGGGGTTTGCGGATTGCGGGTGTTGCGGGTTGCATGCACAATGTACGTGGACATGTATAGTAGCTAAGGCCAGAAAATACAATTCAATCCACGCATTCGGTATATATCGATGATGGTGGCTGCCAGTAGTACCATTACTATACTACTACCTATAATCGATCCGCTCATGATACCCAAAGCCCTACATACGCGTTTCAGTCTCACATGCGCACTCCACACATGCTGCCATGCATGCAAAATCAGGTCTTACTCGCGAGCGCTCGATCTGGCAGCCTTGCAAGCATAGAGATCATGGAAGATATATAGGATCGATCGAAGCACCCCATGCAACCTATGCAGCAAGGCTGCTGCAAGGGGATGATGTTACTTAAAATAACGTATATCATACATGTATCATAGTTGGGAAGGGGCGTATCCATTAAAATGGGCTGTTACGCAAGTACATACGTGCGGTACTGCGCAATGTAATGTCTGTAGGACAGGAATAATAACGAGCATAGCCTAGAAGGGGCACGATGTGGATATATTTGAAAGGGTTATGACCAAGAGCCCGATATGTGTGTGTGTGTGTGGGCCGCAGGAGGAGAACGAAAGGGTTTGATTGGTAAGGAAGTTCCCATTCAGCGGGGCGCGAGCATGTAAAACCCAGAACAGAATTTTGTTCCTAAGCGAACCATAGGGATGGAAACGTGACGGGAACTCTTCTTCCACTAAGCGGCAGGAGGGGAAAGGAAGGGTAACGACTTTACCCATCTCATACAAAGCGAGGCGGGGAAGCATCATGCAAGGGAAGCACGCATCAGGTGTGAAGGCTAGAACGGGGATTTGTCAACAAAGATACAAAAAGGGTAACTGCAGTTGTGTTGTGTAGGGGAATGTTTTTGCGGGAGTAACACGCTACGGCCAACAGATAGAAAGGCGGAAGCGAGAGGACATTGGATGAAGGGGAAGCTCGTTCGGTGGCAGCGATTGATGGGGGCTGCCACGCGCATATAACTAAGTGAGAGTTTGGCGAGTTAATCGAACTTTTTTTGCAATATCGAATGATTTTCGTGACCGAATGGGGAAGTGCATTTTTTGGACCCTCGCGGAGAATTTACCGAGATCAAGAAGGAATGAAAAAATTAAAACAAGAAATCCATTATCTTCCAGCCGTAGGCTTTACCGTTCCCGTTTCCGCGGGATTGGCTTCCGCGGCTGACCATGACGAAACAAGAAGGCTCGCGTGTGCCTGACAATCAGAGACAGAACCTGCCGCGGCAAAGATAAAATCAAGAACCGCTGAAACTTTAACATAATAGCTTAGTTTTTTTTTTTTGGATTGTTTTGTTTTGTTTCTTATCATGGGAAAATGATAGGGTAAGAGCGGGTAACCAGGCGCGAGGCAGGTCCATTCTCACAAAAATTGACTTTCACCCCCGTCCCTGAAAGTGCCGATCATCGAATGAAGATGGAGCTCGAGCCCGAGTTGCTGAAGAACTTGCTGCAGATGAACCGCTTGACGGTGCACCTGGCCACGGCATCCTGGGTGGGCCAGATGGTTGACGCTGTTGATGTGGATGCTCGTACGCATGACCTAGATTGGGCCCTTGGTGAGCTACTGGAGACGTGCCAGAGCTCGGGAATGGCTCTGACGTGGGCACGGGCCGAACAAGTGAAGGAAGCGTGTGATTTGGCGGTCGAAAATCTCTTGTCGAATTGTCAAATGGCCGGGGAGTGCTAATTGGAAGTGTCGGGCCGGGTACGGGAAGGGGGTGTAGTTGACGGAAAGGCTCGTGCAGGGTGGAGGGCGGTGGCGCAGGGGTGATATTAGCGCTTGATGCATTCCGGATTGGCGGCAAAGTCAGGTTCGAGAAGGTGTCGCTGGGACGAGAGCCGCGCGGGGCGGAGGCGGCATTTCCAGGTAGAGTCAGTTCTGGCTCATACGAAGGAAGGAAGAATTGGGGTCCCGTCGGGCGTTGGCCATTTTCCAATGAAACATATCGAACCTTTCGCCTCGTGAAGCGCGTTCGGCACGCGACGTGCTTATTCTCATCGCATGACGAAAAGCATCCGTGCTGAGTCAAGCCATTTGTAGTAAGGGCTGTGGGGGACACAGATCCACTTAGAGGTGGGCCGTTCACGCTGTCGGGGCTGCTGTAGGCGTTGATGGATAGAACCGGTTTTATCCATTTGGTCCGAAATTGGGTGTTCAAAAGGTCATACGGTGCAACACCCCAGTTCATTTCGTACTCCTCAAGAAGTGGACGTGCTCTCGGATCGTTGATAGCTCGCATAACTGAAAGCTCATCGAGAGGGAGACCATGGCCTCCCACGTGCTAAACGAAAGTACGAGTCTCAGTGCAGGTGACGGGTGTGACGATGGAGAAGTGACCTACAACCAGCAATGAGGCCAGGCAAATTGAGAATCGACCACGCGGGCCTAGGCGTTCCAGAATATTCAATAAGGTGTCGTGAGCCCTGCGACGAAGAGGTGCAAACTCCTCCACAGCATCATAATCCAGGTTCACTTCGAGAGCCTGAGATGAGCAGATTTTGGTTCGAATGGGCGTCAAAAAAACAGGAGATGTAGGTCGAGCATGAAGCACTTACGGCGTATAATGAAAGTATGGCGCATTGCGCTAGAGCATGCATGAAGGCATACAAAAATCCCGAATGGCTGATACCAGAATCAAAATTCGACAGCTGTATAATGATATTTGCTTCATTGAATTGTAACTCATTAGGCAACGAGCGCCGCCATCTCTAAACCAAGGGGCGACGAAATGAGCGACAGTTTATCGGCGGAAGGAGGCAACAAACCTCAAGGTGGTCCCTGCAGAACAGGAAGGTATCGCGGAAGGAGCAAGAGCCATAGTCTTCGCCCGCATCGAATGCCTTCTGCCGTGCATCACGGATACACGCTACAAAACCAATGACTCGTGCGTAAACGGCGGCTACACGAATTAGGTGCCCCAACTCTGAAATGTACATTCGTTGCGTGTCGGCCAAGTGATTGGGTGCTGGGAGTGTTAAATATTCTAAATGAGGGTGATGAGGGACAAGTGAAAGAGGAAACTCCGTTCCAGAAATCAATGTAATGAGGCTGCTTACCAGGAATGGTATCTTCAGGTTCCATCAAATCGAAGGCCCCATCGTTTACTGGCAACGGCAGGCGTACATCCAGGTCTCGAAAGCACATTGGAAGGACACAAATGGCGGTCGCGAGCATGTGGGCGAACTGCGATACCCAGAGAGTTCGACGATAGGCTTCTCTTCGACTCCATATGTATCTTTGTTTCTTTTTTTCGCGATGAGCATCATCAGACGCATATGTCCCAGTTGGTGAAGATGACGACCAAGAAGTATTACGGCGAGAGCTTGAACCGAGGTGACCCGGAAGGCTTTGTCCGTACCCCGTAGCAGTGGGTTCTTCCTCACCCAAGCCCCAGTCATGCGCTTCGAGATCAATCAATATGCGCAGTGAGGAGTGCAAGATTTCGTGATGGTGTGGTAACTTGTTTTTCCTCCGAACCGTGGACTCGTTGAGGGATAGACAGAGAAGCGTCTGGGCGAGCTCAAGCTCGTGTCCTGGGTGGTCCTCCGCCCTGATCTCCCCGTCTTCCGCCCTGGAAATACTGCGCAAGGCGTTAAGTGAAGCTTGAGCAAACCTATCGCCTAGCTTCCAGGGGGGAGGAGGTTCATCGTACGGGGAAAGGCCGGGAGGTCTGCGAATCGTTGGCGAGTTGGAGAGAGGCGCCGCCAAAGCAAAGATTGCGTGAAGAAGGTAATGCGGGATGAGTCCATTGGCGAGATCATTGAGAAAGGATGGCCGGTGGAAAATGTTGTTGTAAGGGAAACCTTTTGAGAAGAATACTGTGGGCATTCGAAGAGCGCCAAGTTTAGGATGGAGGTTTAGCAATGTCAGGACAATACATATACGAACTATTGACAAGATCCCGACAGAGCACAGCGTCGATACCCAAATCTTCACGTGTAACAAGAGAGGCACTAAAGTTGACTCGTCAGCATCGGGATAGTTACGATTCTCACGGGACGACAAACCTTCGGTCAATTGGGGCCCTGAGGGAGGTCACGCTGGAGTCACTCCAAGTGGAAGGCGTGGCACTGTTGAGGGACTCGGGAGGGCTAAGTACGATATTAGCTGCAATCGATCCAGAGGGTCCCCGTCGGGTGGATTCCATAGGATGTGAAGAGGACGGCAGACTCGATGGTAGTCTTTCGGTGATGGGATGTCTGCCATGAGGGGGGCTGATCTCTCTCCCAGATGTGTCAAGGTACACGCATTGCTTGCCTGCGAATTCGCTGGTGGTATAAAATGTAAAATACACAATCTCTTGTGTGCTATCGGACGTGCTCATACCAATTCTGGCAGGGACCTAAATCAAAGGATTAGAGCCTCATCCCACTCACACCTTAGAGCTGTACACCACACACCAAAGCCGTCACATCTACGTTTGGACTTGTGGCACTGTTCAAGAACAGGCGTTAACAGGGGAAAGAGTGGGGGTGTTTAGGAAAGACGATACCTGTGAGCATGCTAAAAGACGGGGTCAGCATGAGACAGAATCGTGAAATACCCGAAAAACGGCACCTTTGAGCAGTCGTTTGCGTTTTGTGGGACGCTGGGTCCACTCCTCGGGTGGAGGAGGATTGTTGGGGTCCCAATCCGGCGGAGTACGAGAAGTCATCATTAATTCTGGAGATGGAGAGATGAGAGGCAGAGAAGGGAGAGGAACAGAGGGATGAGTTGTTTATGGAATCTATAAGCCAGATGCCGCCGGAGTGGCCGTGATTGTTGGATTTCTGGGACCTGGTATTCAAAAATGGACTGTATATCCGATAAAGCAAAGAAGAAGAGCAAAGGTGAGGCCAGAGCCGCACTTGACACACGAACAACACGATTATGACGGAGAAAACGCAACATCCAGGCTAGCGCTAAAGGTTCCCCTTCCGCAACACGAGTTGATCTGATTTTTTTTTTCCCTAGATAGTCGAAGGTGATTGAATTGAGATTATCGGAATCTCAAAGAATTATTGACATCAATCAAAATAATAATAAAAATGAATATACATGGTAAATAGTTGGTTTTGCGAACCCCTTTGCCCAAAACCATGTTTCTCTGAAAACGAATAGCAGGGACACAGTTTCCGTCATTGAATCGGCATCAGCGGCATATCAGCGAAATTACCACCTCGGGGGATGGTTGAAGTTCACACGTTCGCACAACCAAACTGCAATCTCACAGATCGTCATTCAGGGGAAATCAAGATGTGCGTGCATCTCAGGAAAGCAGTCTTGATTGGCTCACACATTCTCACTTTTGCCCATCACATTGCTGAATAATAACCCAGTCATGGTCTGATCATTCCATGAGTAATCACTGATGAATGAACATCGAAAGCGTGCAAACGCAGGCACAACATCTTCAGTCGAACAAACCGAAGCCCATGTCCTCATCTGACTCCTCCTTAAAACCAATTCACCGTCAGCTGCATTCACAGGAGTACCAACTCATTGAAAATTATCACGAACCTTCTCTTCCTGCTTCTCCTCCTCCTTAGGAGCCTCGGCTGCAGCGGCTGCTCCGCCAGAAGCGGATGCAGCAGCAGTGGCACCGCCTGCGCCTCCAGATGGAACCTAGTGGACGATGAGTCATGATGTTTGCACAGAATCAATAAGGAAATATCCACGTACTGAGGACAATTTGGAGGATCCCTCAGCAATCAGCTCATCGATGCTCTTTCCATTAACCTCAGACAAGAACTTGTCGAGCCTCTCAGAGTCAACTTCAATCCCAACAGTGTTGAGAAGTTTGGTGATGTCGGCTGCGGTGGGGCTAGCATTCCCACCGGTTTGAAGAAGAAGATAAGCAGCAATGTAACGCATCTGAAAATGTTGTTAATTTTAAGTTAAAAGCAGTAGGGCACGGCTAACTTTGCGCTCACCGTTTGCAAACTTTAAAAAAAAGGCGTAGAGTGCTTGAGGCTTTGGTGACAGATGTCGCAAATCACTGTCCTCGAACACTCGCTGAATACAGCAGGAACTAACGCTTCCTAACCTGTACTTACGTTTAATCCCAGAGGGAAGACCAGCGAGCTATCCGCAGAGGTTTTGGTTTGAGCGTGAACTTGGACTTGAACTGCACAGTTCACTAGCTTATTTGCATCCGCACGGCCCACGTGAGGTAATTCGATAACTTCAAAGTTTCGCCAGTGTCAACAAAGCAGAAAACCATGGTGAGCCAGCCAGCACCTACTTTACCCAGAAAGAGTCGCCTCGTCATTTACTCACAGTGATGCGGTGGTTATGACCCTTTCCTATGATAGGCTGATAAGGATGTCATCAGCGACCCTACCCAGGCGGCGGAACTGAAGAAGAAGAGGACGTTCCGTACCTACTCATACCGTGGCGTTGAACTTGATAAACTTCTTGATATGAAGAATGAGGATGTCCGTAGCTTTCTTTTATAATTTTTACTGAGCTCTGATAAACCTCTTGTTCTCATCAATTGTAGCTTGTGAAGCTCGTTCACGCTCGTGCACGCAGACGGTTCCAGCGCGGTTTGAAGCGCAAACCAATGAGTCTCATTAAGAAGCTTAGAAAGGCAAAGAAGGAAGCCCCTCCAAATGAGAAGCCTGCCGTTGTGAAGACTCACCTCCGTGACATGATCATTGTCCCAGAGATGATTGGGTCGGTCATTGGCATTTACAATGGGAAGGTCTGTTTGGCTTTTGTGTATCTTCGTGCACAGTGTCGATGCTAATGTGATTTTAACTGTGCAAAAGGTTTTCAACGCGGTTGAGATCAAGCCTGAGATGACTGGGCATTACCTTGGCGAATTCTCCATCTCATATAAGCCTGTTAAGCACGGTCGCCCCGGTATTGGTGCCACCCACTCGTCACGATTGTGCGTTTTCCTTCGCCTGATTTATGAGTATTTTATTTACAATATTGATGAATCCTTAGCATTCCTCTCAAGTAAAAGAATTGTGTACTTCTGGGGCTTATTGAAGTTCGGCTTTATGTTCATATGCCATGCTCGACCTTCACAGCTTATGCACGCGACTTAATACAAGATTTCATTCTCTACCACCCGAATTGATTCATATCTGGGTGCTTGTTGAGGTTGAATATTCTCCATGCTGGATTAACCCAATGTAAAGTGGGCGCCTTTTGAGCGGTGAAATTATGAGGGACTTTTGGTATGGGAGAGTGGATGCACAATCGATTATTGCTCTTTCCTGAGATTACGATGCAGTTTAGGCTCTACAAGGATAACCCGATCGAGGAGCTTCTGCACGACAGCTTCCCGATTCTTCGCAAACGACTCCTTTACGATAGCAAGTTTAGCTTCAGTTTCTTTGTCAGCTTGCAATTGTGCACCATCAATCAAGGATTGTTTCTGAACCATCCGAATGAAAATAGGTCAGAGAGGCGTGCAATAATGGAACTAGGTGACGAACTCCACTCTCGATGCTTGCGAATTCAGCCTCCTTTGATTGTCTGTACTCATCAATTTCCTTTTGCGCTTCTGATCGAGCATCCCTCAAGCGCTGCACTCTATCTGTAATAATGTAGAAATATTATCACGATGAACGACGCCGGGTTTGACCCATACCCACATTTACGCGCCTCCTGAACGATGTTGGCAGCCTCTTTCTCGGCTTCAAGTAGGGTTTGTATCCCTTGTGATTGAGATGAAGCCTGCCGATTTCTTCAGCCACTTTCATTGGACCACAGTACGCGTACGCTCACCATTGCAGTGAACTGTCAGTTTCGTCGTTGGCCGAGCGAGTCACGTTCTTTCCAGATATCACTCCGCCAAGTTCCCACGGACATTGGGGCCACAACAATTCTCCCACTCAAACAGTCGTATTCGACGCCCGTGGCTGGTCTCAACGAGAAATATGCGCACCCTTTCAGCCCTTCGGGGCGTGATGAGGGCACCATTACGGACAGTGACTCTTTCAAGGCTGGGATCTGGTCTGTCTGCATAATCATTTTTTTGCCTGCCACACTTAGGACTTGTGAAGTCACTTTGAATAGGCAAAATTCCAACTTGTCCCCCATGTCCCAGAAGCCTCAGAAGCTACTGGTCCCTCTTATTCGCCTCCTATCGTAGACCCATTTGAGAGTCCCCCAGTCCAACTTGGCTCTACTCTGCAGAAAAGGATGTCACCTATCAAGCGCCGAGAAAACCCCGATCCCAGGGCAGATGCGCCTGGTCCTATTCAGGGCCCGGATGAAGCGAACCACGTCCCATTTTCCAGTCTGAAAGACCGAATTTCCTATGATACCTTCAAAGCTATCACCATCAAACCATTCTATCATACACATATGACACCTGTCCAGCACGCAGTCCTATCGTTGCTTCCTGAATTGGCACGTCCATACATTCTAAGCGACCCTGATGCTGATGACGAGAACAAATTACGGCTGGACGTGCTGTGCAAGTCTAAGACTGGGACAGGGAAAACACTGGCGTTCTTGGTACCTGCCATTGAAGCTCGTATTGCGTCAATTGATGCTTATGCGAAGCAAGCCCTCGTTGACGCCGGAAAGGCTGGTGATAAGCATATGGAAGGTCGTATCAAAAGGGGTTTCGTCCACCAGAATGTTGGGACAGTAATTATCAGTCCTACGCGAGAGTTGGCAACTCAGATTGCTAACGAAGCTATTCGCTTGTCCCATCATCATGGTGGATTTGAAGTCCGCCTCTTTGTTGGAGGTATGGGCAGGAAGCAACAGATGAGGGATTGGATGAAAGGACGAAGGGACATCGTTGTTGCTACTCCTGGGAGGTTACGGGACCTTTTGGAGAATGAACCCGATGTTGCCAACGGCATCAAGAAGTCTTCTCAGGTATGCAGCGCAATGAAACCTAACCTTCCGAGTTGTGATTAATCACCACTGGTAGTTGATCCTTGATGAGGCAGACACTCTTCTTGACATGGGATTCCGATCTGATCTGGATGCTATCCTCGGATTCTTCCCACCTCCTCCTGAGAGGCAGACTTTTATGTTCAGTGCAACGATATCTACTGCTGTCCGTCAAGTCGCTCGCCAGTTTTTGAAAGAGGATCATACTTTCATTGACACAGTGCCGAAGAATGAATCGCCGGTACACGCACATATCCCTCAGCACAACACCATCCTTCCCGGCCCCGAGCACCAGATTCCTCATCTTCTCCGCCTTATCGCTCACGATCAGCTAACTAATCCTGGCAAATCCAAAGTTATGGTATTCCTGAATACTACCAGGATGGCCCAGCTTTTTGCTTCCTTGCTTCGCGAGGTTGGAAAAGGCTCATTACCTGCCGCTAACACCAAAATCTACGAGATCCACTCGAGGAAGGACATGAACTCACGAATATCAACTTCTAGTTATTTCCGCAAAGATATGTCTGGCGCCACAGTATTGGTAACTTCCGATGTCTCGGCGCGCGGTATTGACTATCCTGGTGTCACTCGAGTCATTCAAATGGGAACACCTGGGTCCACTGAACAATATATTCATCGCGTGGGACGGACAGGTCGTGGGGGGTCTGTTGGCGGACGTGCAGATATTGTTGCCCTCCCTTGGGAAGCTGGCTTTCTTACGTGGCAACTCCAGGACATCCCTTTGAAGAATGTCACTATTAAGGAGCTTGAAGGAGAGCTCCTTCAACTGGCCCAAGCGCATGATGCCAATCCTGTTCAACCTGAACGCAAACTTGATGAGAAATTTAAATTAATTCGTGGTGGTACCAATTTCAGGTCGGCGTATTCCTCTGTTGTATTTCCCCCGAATGTAGCAGAGCGAATTACCGCAGGAATGAAGCAGACGGTTGACGAGGCTCTATCGCGGGTAGATGTAGAAATGGTACGGGAGACATTCGCTTCTATGTTGGGGTATTACATCCCCAAAAATCACGAACTACGGATCAACAAAAATGCCGTCGTCGAAGGTGTCAAGCTTTGGGCCACTGGGGCTATGCGCCTCCTAAAGCCACCCTTCGTTTCTACTGCTTTTCTCAACCGGCTCGGTTTGTCGGATGCGCGCACCAATGCGTTCAATAGGTCCTCCGATTCCCGCGGTCTCCAATCCCGCGGGAGCGGGAGCCCAGATACTCCCAGATGGAGCGGTCGTGGTCAGTTCAAGCTGAGGGCCAAAAAAGAGGACCCAACGTGGTCGCGGACTCGCAGGGATGGGTTTGATTCCCGGGATCCTGGCCCGCCGGCGCGCATTGGCACTAGGTTTGGGCAGAAGCACTTGACCGCAACTGCCGAACGAAATGCATTGTCATTGCAGAAGAGTGTACCACCTCATCTTGCTGGAAAAATTAGGGACATTTGAGATCTCTGCCCGCGCCCTTGTGCCATCGGCTTGCTCTCCAATCACTGCCCATTTCCCTATTTCCACCTTCCACATCCATACTCTTTTTAATGCACCCTCTCCTTATTTGCAACTTCGTACAGTATCCCTCTTCTATCACAAGGATGCCCTTATCCTTTCCAGGGGGCCATGGCATCAAGGCCTCATAGACATAATGCAAATCAATATCAATCCCAATTCATTATTGAGCTACCATACGCCTCAGAGTCTTGGACTTGGATAGTTATTGTACAGATAGGATCAATGCATGACTTAGTAGCTAGAGATTAGGTCCCATGGTCACCACCATTCTTTCCCCAAATGCGCTTTCAAAATCTGGTTCAGTTCTTGCCGTTGGACACAGTTCTCAATTTGAATGATGCGGCTAAGGCAAATCCAACTCATCCATGGTCGGACCACGAAAGACTTGCGGTGAACATGGTCAGGAAAGATGCAGGGGTGTAGTGGGGGGAACTGTGAATGTCTTTGAAAAGCCAGCGTGATCTATCCCTTCCTGCTCATAGATGGGGAGCTGGTCTTTGACAAGGTGATACCGCCGTAGATTGGTTTCTTGCCAGCGTCCCCATGGTAAGGGGGCGAATATAGCTAAAAGAATGACTTGGTGAGACGGCTAGGGGTTTGAACGAAAGGAGCCAGCGCACAAGACCAAACTCTCCATTCCAGATTGGTACGTTCACTTTGCGATGATATTCGACTTTACGGTCATATTGCTCCCGCATACACTGCGACTGTCGTTCCAAACCCTGATGACACGTTGCGCCAAGACCCCAACATCCCGCAAGGCCACGGTCTTACCGAGTGCTGTTCATTCCATGGAAATCCGTACATTGAATCGCGTAGGCAGAGTTAGGCAGAGGGCTCTTAAAACTGAGAGAAAACATATTGAATATGACTTCAGCGTCAAGGGCGATGGCCGCGTGCCAGGAATATTAGCGAATGGAAGTCCAAAACAGTTCAATACAAACCATGTTTCCGTCCAAAAACAAAATATGATCAGGATCTGCCCCTCGGATGGCTTTCTCGACCCATTCAGTAAGATAGTGATACTCGTCTTCAGGTTTATTGAGCGCGTTGTAGCTCGCTACCCGCGTATTACGTTTATGGGCAGCCAAGGCTTCCCGTAAACGAATGGGTTCTGGGTTGAGATGTGTTCAGTATTTGTGGAGCACGAGATAACCCAACGCACCAGGAACGGCATGTATATCTGAAATGGTGTAGATACCAAGACGTGCACACTAGGGAAGATATGCTCCTGGACCATTACTCTTATTAATGATTCGACCAAGCCAGAGGAAGCTGCGCTCGTCATAAGCACCTGGATTCATGTCGTCTTCAAAGTGTTGGTAGTTGAAAGGTATTCTGTTGGCCCTCTGTTGCTGGACTTACCTCAAACAATTTAACTCCAGAAATTCAGTGTCCTTATCATCGGAAAAGTATTCGAGACACAGATGAGAAAACTTGCTGCAATGAGGACTTGCCCGCATACCTTGTGAAAAAAATAGTCGGATTTGTGCTCCGATCCGAGTCCGTGAAATGATAGAAGATTTAGTCACGCGCCTCCCCAAGTACCTTCTGAACCGCCCATCTCATTTCTTGTTCATGACCACTGCAGGGTATTCTGAGACCTACCGCCGCTGGTATCAGGGTGGACTGCTTCGGGGCCACAAGTCACTGCGTATGACTTCATTTGGCAGCGAGCAGGGCTCAGAGAGAGCCCCGAGGTTCTCCTCACAGTTTTCCATGTTAAAGTGCCCAGCGAGACCAGCCCATTCAAAGACAACTTTATTTCCGTGTGCATCGACGATCTCCGTCCCGCATGTGCTTAGGATACCCAAGACAGCTGCGTTTGGGGCTGGGTATGAAAATTGTCAAGTTCGACATGGCGGTACGGTTTGAGACGGTGGAGCACAGCGGCTTGTAGACGATTAAAATTGCCAAAGCACGAGGAGATAGAGTATATACAGGTGAGAGGGCATGGCAGCACGGGACGAATAATGCAGGTCAAATGATGTAGACGAGTGAGGACCCATGCGTCAGGGGTCTGGAGGATGTTCTCGCGTCTGTGCCGCTCTGCAGGCTGTTCGATGGATTTGTGGCCGTCCAATGAATGAATGAGGTGTCGATGTCAACAACTCCAAATAAACGGGCTTCATCACTTTGACGCGCAGGAAAGCTGAAAAGCAGACACAAAGTGTTGTATAACTTTGGCCACTGATGGCGTCAATAGACCCCTCGGCTGCGCTCATCTATGCCCTTCAATGTCCTGCAGATTCTTCGGAGCAAACGCAGGCGCTGAAAGGACTCCGTGTATTACTTGAGAGCGATCTAGAGGCCCTAAAAACACTATGTCCCACCCTTCTGCAGACCGCTGTGAGCATGCGAGACACAGTGTTCAAGAGATGGACAATCGATTTGTTTCATTTTTCTATTTCCTCAAATCGCCTAAGTTTGGAAATTCGTACACAATGTATGAGTTCATTATCAGAGGCGCAAGCCCGAAGGTCTAACGTGTTTGCAGTGGCACTTCAATGCGCTGACACTTGCGCATCCATACTAGCAACATCGACAACTACTCAAATATTGAAACGTATTATACAATGCTATGCCCAACTATACCCATTGCTCTTCCGTTATTTGTAAGTCTAGAGTTGGTGACGCGTTTAATCGACACCCCAATTTTGATTGTGTTTCCCCTGTCTAGGTGTATCAACCGTGCTAACCGACAACCATGGGATGTTCTTTCCATCGCTAAGGGTCGCATTGTAGAGTTTCTCGAATCCTCTCCCCCAGCTCCAGTGGGAGTCCGTCTAGCGGCATTGAAGTTCGCTCAACGCGTAATCTTGGTCCAGACACGAGGCGTTAGCGACCCTCGAGTAAGCCTATCAGGGACCGACCATCATGCTATTCCATCTCAATCTGATGTTTCTCGCTCTCGTGCCAGTTGCAAAACAAAGCGGACCCAAACGTTTCCCTCATCCCCTCAGATCACCTATTCATTAATGCTACTGCCCTTGAAGCCGAGGGAACTCAATTACTCACGCTCGTTACGACAATTCTTTACAGTTCTTCGTATGTGATGTCAGGTAGTTTTCCCAATCACGTTCTGTTTACCACCAATACAGGGACTCCGACTCAGTGTCTGCCGTCATCAATTCCTTCGGCACACTCGCGAAGGCCCGTCCACAACTTCTCCAGTTTATCATTGAGGCTACCTCCAAATGGAGTCCCGCTAAGTTAGCTGGTCAATCCACTCTCAGGATCCGGAGTGCGGAGAAGTCTATATTTATTCTGCTCAATTATCTATTAAAGTATGCGCTCCGCGGCGACTTCACCGTCGAGTTGAAATCTCTGAGAAGTTGTTTCGCAGGTCAGGTGTTGGTCAGGCCTTTACCATGGATATTGCAAGGGCTTTGGAGCAAATCTCTGAGCGGATCAAGCAAATAATTCGCGCCGAGCATGCCCGTCGAACAGCTGCAGCAGAAGCAGAACGTGAACGAATGAAAAGGGCTGCATCAACGCCTCTCGCGTCTTCGGACCCAAAGCGCGCAAAGCTGGAACCCAGCGACCCTGACACATCCTCTGCAGTTTCTGCACTAGCCAATTTCAATTTTCAGGACTTATCTGCCGAACTGGTTACAGATTTGATTGTGGCAAACCTTCAGCACTTCTCCGTTCACGACATTAATACCGCAATTGATGTAGGATTCATGGAAAGTCTTGTCGTACATGATGCTTATGATGCGAGTTTTAGAATCTACGCACCTTGAAAGCCGAGTCCAGTCGCACAGCTACGGCTACACCAGAACCATCTACCCAGGAGGCACCACAGAAGCCCGACCTGGATGATGAGGAGATGGAGTATGAGCCTGAAAAACTCAATCGCGAACTTGACGTAGGTTCAGGTAGTCCTTGATCTCCTGATAGAATAGCTGATCGTGTCCTTTCAACCCAGTCAGCAGAGGCATCGCAGGCAGCCGAAACCATTGACGATTCCGCCGAGGCCGACGAGCTCGCCCTTCAGCTGCAGAGCACCACATTCGACCTACCACCGCCCCAAGAACTTGATATCGCACAGGCAGAATCCTTCATACGCTCTGCGATGGTTCGCATTTCAAAGACTGGTACAAAACAGTTGGAGCGAGTGCATATGAATCTCATTGCAGTCCCTCATGATGCCGATTCTGCCCCGATGCCAGAACTAGGGGCGAACAACGATGAGTTATTGAAACCAATACCATCGCACGAGATGTGGATTTTGCTGTTCGTGCGAACCGTTACGCGTGGTCAACGAAGTTCTGTCAGCACCCTAGCAACGGGGGATCCAGGTACACATGGACAGGATGCGAAAGAGGAGCAGGACACTACAGTCGGCAAAACTGAGCCAGCTTTATCGGCCGGAGGGCGAAACGACGGTCTGCGCCAAATGATTTGTAATTACATTATGGAGGATTTTGCTTCAAGGTAGGCGCATTCCAAGATTACAAGCTAGTGCTTTGACTCCAGCTCACCGTCAGGACGCGAATTGCTACGATCTGGCTCAATGAGGAGTGGTATAATGAAGACGTACGCGGCGGCGAGAAATCTGAGGTTTGTTATCGGCGTTTGTCAGACTTCGAGCCCCTGCCGACTGACGATGTCAGCGATCAACATACGAATTCTGGCTTCTACACTTGCTCGAGCTATATATACCACACATCGAAGCGACGGATCGAGTGCTGACCAAGTTTTTGCTTGATCTTCCCCACCTCCCTCAGCGTGTTCTTCAGTACCTAGCCGATCTAGCCACTGATCCTTCAACGTGAGTTTTGATTCACTGGAACAGTGGGCGACGAGAATAACCGAAGGTTTAAGGGCTGCACCAAGCTTCAATACGTTACGGGACCTTGCGCTCTTAAAACCCCCAATGCGAAGCAATGCGCTCAACATTCTGCTCCAGCTGACAACACACCCAGGTTCGTTGTTGGAAATTTTCGGAAAAACGGGGGCTTGATCTCCTTTTAGACACGAAAACGCGCATTGTGGCAATAAACACAGTCAAAAAATGGGTCCCGGATGTGAAACCGCTGGACAAGCTTGTCCAAAAATTTGCTATTAGATTATTGAGACGACTAGAAACACGGACAAAATCTAAAGCTAATGGAGTAATAGTCCAAAGCACTCCACAGGAGTCGGATACAGGGAGAGAGGTGCCTCCATCATCGCCCCTTGAGGATGGGGAGGAGAGGCCCGATCCAGAGTTGGACATGTCTGTCACAACCCCCTACTTGCCTGGCACGCTCACCACACCAGCAGAGTCCGCGCAAGTGCTTCAGCACGTGCAATTACTGTTTGCACTCTCCGTGAAAGTTCCAGACCTCCTTGATGAGTTAGCGTCTTCCGTGTCGCAATGATAAGGCTCCAGCGCTCATTGGATTATAGGATTTTCTTAGCATACAACAAAATGGAAGACTCAGTTCAAGGAGCCGTTCAGGATCTTCTCACCCCTCTCATCCGATTATTGGGGTCATCACATGGCAAATTATTGACAGTCTTACGCACATTCTCCCCCGGTGCGGAGTCGCTTGCGCTCCGCGTGCTGAGAATTCTTACCGAACACGGTCGGCCCAGCCCCCCCCTTGTTGCACTCGTCAAGAGTCTCATCTCCGAGCGGGACCTTGATGCTCGTTTTCTCATTCCAATCATCGGGGAACTCGATAGAGCAGAGATTGAAAAGCAACTCCCTAGAATTGTGAACCTGCTTACTGGCAAGCCTGAGGAGAGAGATATGGTTCGGTCGGTGTTTTTAACCATCGTGGAACCACCGTCTCAGGGTTTTGGCACTGCATCGACGAACGAGCCGAGAGAAAGGGAAAGCGAGTTGTTGAAGCCTGTGGAGCTATTAATGTTTCTGCACGAAACCGACAAAGGCGTCAACACAAGGTCGGCAATTGAAGGTATCTGGCATCGTCATCGTCCCCGGATTACGTTGATTCATGTATATCTCAAGGGATCGACATTTGTTTTGGTCTCACTGAGTTATTCCCTTCGGAAGTATTTGCCGTCGGGATGCAACAAATCGTGGACAAACCGACTCTACCTGTGTTGTTCATGCGAACGGTGCGTTTCCTCAGAAGGTTCAGTTGGAAAATGTTGGATCGAACCAATTTCACAGGTGATAATAGCCGTGAAGACCTATAAGTCATTGGTGCCTTTTGTTGCAAGAACCCTTATGTCCCGTCTTATCCTCAAGAAAATATGGACCGTTCCACAACTGTGGGATGGCTTCATGAGGTGTGCTAGAATAATCGCTCCTGCTTCATATGGAGCCCTTCAACAATTACCGCGAGAACAGCTTGCGGAGGTGGCTGAAAAGCACCCCGTGTTACGCTCTGGTTTGCGCGACCACATTATCAAAAAAGCTGGCGGGACAAAGTCAAAAATATTGGATGTATTAGGTGGGGACGAAAGTTCGACTCCCGGGACCGGTTCAATGCCAGCAAATGTTGCGCCTGCACAACTTGCCTCTCCATCAGCCTGACCAACTGCCCAGACGAGCCCACATCATTGTCTGCTCTTGCGCATTGCTTTCCTTTCCTGTTTTGTGGTAATAATGGTGGTCATACCTGCTATAGTACTTGGACTATTCGGTGTATCCAATTCAACGATAATTCCAACTGGAGTGATCATGTGTGAGATTAAATGTCCCCGGGACTCGTGGATCGGACCGCCATCTGCGTCTCCAGTCGTATTACCACGAGTAGATCAGACGTCAGCCTCACCCACTGCTTAGTAGCAGCCCCTTACCTTGTTTACTACAGTCTTAAGCCTGGTTGTCACCGCACCTCATTTAATACACCCCGCGACCATATAAGTGTGGTAGAGTGGTGGGTCCAATGCATCAATCTTCTGGATCGACTCCTGCCATGGGCTCTGCGAATAATGATAAGCAAGCTGTGCCGCGCGATGCTGCAACGTACGCATCAAGTAGTTCAGGAGAGTCCAGAGGCCGACCAAAGGGCCGTGCGGGGCAGAAGAGAACCCGATCGAGCAACAGTCGGCCAATTAGGCTGTGCGTATTTTCCTCCGAACGCGGGCCATGTGAAAGGGTTATGTGCTTACTCGTATTTCTCATGCCCTAGTGGCTACCATGCCTTTACTGCGTTTGGCCACGAATTTTGCGTAGAGAAGCGATGGAAGTTTGTCCGAGAGCTGGGCTCTGGGGCATACGGCGTCGTGGTGTGAGCCCTCCCGATATTTGCATCCCCACCTTCGTCCTCACGAGTCCCGTGAAGCTCGGTTCAGGACGAAATAACCGGAGAAACCATTGCCATTAAACTCATCACGCGTGCCTTTGACAAGGTCCAACTGTCCAAGCGCGCCCTTAGAGAGATTACATTACTACGGCACTTTAATAATCATGACAATGTGAGTTCGTGCCTACCGAGCTGGGTTACCATGGACATTAACCGTCATGATCTTAGATAACTGGTCTCATCGATATGGATGTGGTTGGGCCAGACTTCAATGAAATGCATGCATGGTTCATTTTATTATCGTCCATGTCCATGCTCATGTTTTGGTGTTTAGCTATCTTTTCATGGAGCCCATGGAAGGTAAGCTCATCGTTGAGGATCACAAATCACCATGAGTGCTTATTGCACCCTAGCGGACCTTTACCAAATTATCCGTAGCGGGCAAACATTAACTGACGCGCATATTCGCTATTTCACGTATCAGATACTTCGGGGGGTTAAGTTCATACATTCTGCTGATGTGATACACCGAGATCTTAAGCCCGGGAACTGTGCGTGTCACCATTGTTCAATGGGATACTCTCGCCGACTCTCCCACAGTGCTCGTCAACAGTGACTGCGAGTTGAAAATATGTGATTTGGGTCTAAGCCGGGGTTATAACACCAAGTTGCAGGAGAATGAGCGGTCCGATCTGACAGAGTACGTTGCTACTCGATGGTATCGAGGTGTGTGGCGAGTTGTGTGGCGAGTTTTTATTCTAATGGCTCTGGACACCAGCCCCGGAAATCTTGCTATCATTCAAAAGATACAACGCTGCAAGCAAGTAATGTCTACGAACCTCATTTTATTCATAATAGCTTACCGTGTTCCCAGTCGATATGTGGTCAATAGGGTGTATATTAGGAGAGCTCATGGGCGGTAAGCCTATTTTCAAGGGCAAGGAGTGAGCATCAATGTTATTCCCTTCCGGATCCATGCTTACCTGCCCATTTCCTTCTTCTCAGCTATGTGGACCAGTTGAACCTAATTCTGGGACTCCTTGGGACTCCTTCAGATGTGACAATACAAAGGATTGGAAGTGAAAAAGTGCGGCTCTTCTTCTCTGGAATTGATTCCAGCCTCATGTTAATGCCAGGCACGGGCCTACATACGAAATTTACCTTTCAAAAAGTTGAAGCCGTGGTCGGAAATATTCCCCAATTCCGACCCTGATGGTAAGAATTTACTTAGCCTATCTCGTTACCAAACTCGAGATAATTGGGCCTTCAGCTGTCGACCTTCTCTCAAAATTGCTCACATTCGATCCATCACAACGTCTAACCGTCAACCAAGCCTTGGAACATCCTTTCCTCGCCGCATACCATGACCTCGATGATGAGCCGGAGAATCCAGAAAAATTCGGCAAGTGGCGTGAGATTGAACGGGTGGAGACCATAGATCAATTTAGGGCTGAAATATGGAAGGAGGTCCAGGAGTTTCGAAGAGAAGTCCGAAGCATTGGCCTCGAAAGCCCACAGGTTCCTCCATTGGCCCCTACCATGATCACGACCCCCACTTACCTAGGGGAGACGTTCGTACCATCAAAGGCTGCTTTGGAGAGTCAAGCGACTGCCTCAGTCCCCTTTCCCACTACACCGTCCGAAGATGCCAAAGAGGACGTTGCAGGGGAAATGCCTTCCGTTCAGGAGATATCGAAGTTCATGGATCCTTACCGATCCTATGCGCGCCGCACGAGTCTCTTATCGAATGACCGTCGTGATTTTGCCGATGTTAGCTCTCCCGTCACTGACCGCGCTTATACGGCTGGTATCACACCCAGCACCACGGCTAACGCACTCGATACGGAAGGATGTTCCTATTTTGTACCGGCTCGTTCACGAGCTGTGTCCATTGATGGTGACATGCTGGGGCCCCAACTGTTGAGGCAGCTTTCAACTACAACCATCAACCGAACTGTAAGTGTTACGGATATCAAGCCTGGGGAACAGCCTCCGATAGAGCCCAGTGCGGTGGCTGCTGATGCGCCACCAAGTACTGTCCCTACCACATGGCCGAATGCCAATTGACTGGCAGGTCCATCTGATCCTCTAACACCTGGATTTTACGCTGCTCATTCTCGCCCCCTGCGACTGTCAATGCCATCACGATCTTTTAGAATCTCGTACTGAGATGTCCTTCTTAATTTCCCTCCGCATTGCCACACACTTGCACAGACAACCGATGTAGAGGAATTATATGCTATTTTGATTTGGTACAACAAGTTTATGACTATTAAGGGTCGGAGTTCAATACATGAAGTCAATAATGAACAAGTCTATCGGATGGTAAGGTCCCAATAACGGGATCCGTGGTTAATGGGGATCTAAGTACTATGCGAGGGTTTTGTCTAAAATAACAGATATGCCTAAAGGCGTAATCGAATTAGCTAAACGCTGTCGCGGGTAAGAATATGACCCACGGTCGATGATATCAAGGTAAGCTGCAGTAGCTGGGGATTCAGGATATTCATCCATGAAGCTCACACCATAGTCGGCACTTTTGCCGATCCGAGGGTCTAACGGGACGCTCCCCAAGAATTCGACCCCGGTCTCCTGGGCCAAACGACGTGCACCACCGTTGGAAGGCTTGAATATTTGTGAAGTGTTCTTGCACGCGGGACAAACGAATCCAGACATGTTCTCGACAAGGCCTATAATTCGAACCCCAACCTTGCGACAAAAGTCGATCTCCCTGCGGACGTCTTGCAGGGCCACTTCTTGCGGAGTGGTGATAAGGACAGCGCCATCAATACCAGATTCTTTCAGATACTGGACCACGCTTAGGTGTTCATCGGAAGTGCCAGGGGGAGTATCTATAACGAGGTAGTCGAGCGCGCCCCAATCTACGTCTTTGAGGAACTGGCTTATTAAGCCATTTTTCTTCGGGCCACGCCACATGATGGCATCGGAGGACGAAGGAAGCATAAATCCTACGGACATGGCGCAGAGATTGTCCTGGACGTATACGGGTGACCACCCTGATGCGGAGGCATGGACCTCTTCATTTGTCAGGCCAAGAATAGTAGGGATCGAGGGACCACAGATATCGACGTCCATTATTCCGGTCTTGCGTAGAAACACGTCAGCGTTGTTGTAATAGCGTCTACTCCCCGAGATAATACGTGCCTGTGTCTCTTCGTCAGCAGCGAATGCCCAACCCAGTTGTGCAGTGAAGGTACTCTTTCCGACGCCACCCTTCCCACTGAGGACGAGAATCTTCCGCTTCACCGAGGCCATCCTGTCCCTAATGAGAGGTAATGCGGGATCAGGCCCCTTTGGTTTATTAGAAGCGCATATTTCTTGATTAGCGCAACCGGCACAAGCATCAGCTTTTCCCGCCTGCTCGCTTTCTACACCCTGCAAGACGTCGAAATCATATACCATAGCACCAAAAAAAACTATACCTACTGGGCAATGTTCCGGGGCGTTGGAAGGTATCGATGATGGGTTTGGAACTGTTGTGGCAGGATTCTGCACTTCGATCATCGAAAGGTCGCTTACGTGAGCAGCTGCAATTTCGACAGTATCACCTGACCATGATTCGTTTCATGTTCCTCGCCCCTGCCACGTCTAAACCGTCAGGTAGTGGGCATGTCACTACCACCATTCACGTTACCCCGGCAACCCACCCAGAAGATACCAATGTGAGGACTTCATCACAGAAGTCTCACACCAGCAACCTTATCATGTGTGTCACGGTGTACTGCCACCACATCTCATAAATCTGAACCACCACCGCCCCTGCCACGTCAAATAGTCCTCCATAGGGGAGGGGATCCCAATGGCGACTCTCCCACGGACTCAAAATTTGGGTAAAAATCCTTGGTCGTCTGCTGGACCGGAGTTTGAACACCTGAACGAGGCTTGGGAGCGTGCTCGAGATTACCAGGACGAATGTGCAACCGAAGAAGATCTCGTTTGCGCGCGCCTATTGGGGTATCTGCTCCAAGAGGCTAGCCATGGGAGAGGTGGTACTCAGCTTGCTAAGGAGATCAATCGGTGTGATGATATCGAGTCGCTGCGCGGATTGGCGCTTTTCTATCGAAAGCACTTGATCATCTGTTGTTAGTACGGGCGACGCGTCGAAGTGCGATTCAGCCATTCCGATCTGATTTCACCCTTCCATAGTCAGACACCGGGTAGGACAAAGCGTGGATTCTGGCCACCCATCCAGGTCTTCCTCCGAAGACATGCGACGCGAAGCCGAAGCGTCAAAATTCGGAGATTATCGAATGAAGGTATGTCCTTGACGCTCCGTAAATTCAATGGTACGACAATGACTGTTATGTAACGAGGCGCTCGTTCGTGACGGGCATAAATGTGTTCTAACGGGTGCATTGGACGCGGGGTTGATACGAAGCAAGACCATACGGCTAGATCCTAATTCCGTTATCGCTCCAGACCATACTCAGGCTGTTCATATCTTCCCATCTTGGTCCCGAAGGGATGTTGATCGTGAGGTGAGAGATCACGTATTGTTCATATCTTATTTTCTTACGTTTGTCAGAGCTCGCACGCTACGGGTTTTTTGAATGCTATGAAGCGAATTCATGGCCTCAATATTGACAAGGAACTGGATGGCCACAAGATCAATCGTCTTTCCAATATCATTACGATGTGTGATAGGGCTGCTGGCCAATTTAACTCTCTTAAACTCTGGTTTGAGGCTGACGAAAACGAGAAGGCACGCTCCTTAAACCCTATTCTCCAGCACTCTGGGTTTTCACTGACAAATCTTCCTGATAGGACGAAGACTCTGTTCACCATTACAAAGTTTGTTCCACAGATCAGTGGCGGTTAGCTGGAATGCGGAAGAAAGTCGCATTCCGCGATGAACGAGTGGCTGACGGAACCACACACCCTCGTCCAGATCGTCGCTACCTCCAAGTGCATGCACTCTGCTGCCGTGTTGCTCACCTTTCAGGTGCAACCGAATATCTCGATAAATTTTATAAGAAATTCGAAAGAATGGAGGTTTTGGCCACTGATGGTTCTTCTGCTGATTTCTTGATACAGGCTCTGGAGCTTCTTGGCCACGATGGCTGATGTAATAAATGATCTTGGATGGCTGGCTAACTAGCAAATATATGGACCATGCATAGTACTAACAATTTATGATAATTAGTTGAATATTTTCTCTCGTGCAGATGTTCACTTGGGGATTATCATCCCCTCGTCGATCGGTGCATGTATATAAATCGAGTTATGTAGTTATTGTGGCTGGGATGGTCTACATTATATATCCTAATTTAGATGTATGGTTCGGGTCGCATGTCCAACATGTATGCATTCACGACGTAAACGTCTGGATGTGCGTTGTCCACGTTTTCTGCCCCTGCTGTAAACACCGATAGATCACCGAAGTCCCTTGTACCATCGACCCACTAGTGCAGGTTGACAGTGAAATGGCCAAGGGGAATTGACACCTTCACCCTCACAACCTTGTTCACTTGATCATAGGTTACGTCTTCACTATGCACCTTCCTCCCATTGACCCTCACGTCCCTCGGAGCCTTGTCGATGCCCAAGAACGAGATAAGAGCCACTTTGACAACTTTCGTCCCATGAGGCGTCAAAGCTTTCCCTTTTCCAACGAGTTCACCCTTCTTGTACGAAAAGAAAAGTTCGGTCGTTCTAGTTTGTTTGATGCTGACGCCATCGTCGATGTACAACGACCCCGTGGCCTTCCCATGTCGGAAGCGAAGTGACGAAGGGGCGACCACCAGTTCGAAATCTTTCGTTCGGACTTCAGATGTGGTGTTCGCTGAGGATAGGCGTAAAGGGAGGATGGTTCCACCCTTGATATGAACTGGAATGGACGTATAACTGACGTTCGTCAGATGAATCATCGATCCGGCGTTCCCAATCAGGGGTGTATAAGTCAAGAAATCATAAAACGGCGAATTCCCTGGGAGGTAGATCGTCACATCCGTCGCGTTCTCCACGATCACGGGTGAAACCAACACCGAATCTCCAAAGAAGAATTGCGAATCGATCCGGAACGTATTCGGATCAGATGGATAATTGAAGAACATCGGGTTCAATACGGGAGATCCATCAACAGAAGCACGATGAAATGCTGTATAGATATAATCTAACAACCTATATCTCATATCGATCGCGTTCTTCGCAGCTTGAGTGACTAGCGGCCATCGATAAAATTCCTGGGGTATTTCTTCGATGGCGTTATGATTCCTATAGAAAGGTCCAAAAGCTCCCAGCATCGCCCATCGTGCACATAAGATCTCCGTGGTATTACCACCAAATCCACATATGTCCGCTCCAACCATGGGAACTTGGTAGATCGATGCGAAGCCTAACATGCCTGCGATGGAATTTTGATAATGATGCCACGTGGAGATGTTGTCACCTAGCCATTTCCCAACTTTTGCGCCCGCACCGGCAAAAGTTGAGCGAGTTATGACGAGGGTACGAAGGCCTGGTCTGCGAGCGAGCATGGCTTCGTGTGTTTTTACGGACATCATCGTTCCATACACGTTATCTATGTCAAGGAGCACAGAATGGACATGTCTCAATGCACCAATTCAGAGGGAAGAGCAAGAGATGAACTCACGAGCGTCATACTCTGTAGTCCCATCATAATGAACAATATTCGTATAAGCGGTCCTATCACTCAACCCGTCCGACGCGGTCTGAATCGAATAAGGAGGCTCCAACAAATCCCATTCACTTTCATTATTCTTCGTCTGAACTCCTACTGCTCGAGGCTCCAATCCAGTATACCGCCCAGAACTAGTACCCGCCCCGACGCTCCACCTCCTGCTCAAAATAATCGGAACATCCGAAGGCGGAGGTGGGGTGTCCCTCTTAGGAGGCAACCCTAGCTCGGCAGCCAGCCCAAAAGGATCCACGCAAGGATACCCACAAAAATTCGACGGTTCGTTCATGTCGATCCATACCCCGTCAATATCGATCCCTTTCTCTTTGTCGAAAAACCTTTCGAATTCCCCAATCCAATAAGTCAACGCGGAAGGATGGAACCAATCTGGGTAGACGACCACTCCGGGCCAGACGACTCCGTAGTAGAATGATCCATTTCCATTGGGTTGCAGGAGGAAGACGTCGAGTTGGGCTCCGCGGTCGAATGTTTCGTAAGATACATTTGGTTGATATGCTACTGCTGGGTCAACCATCATTACGTAGTGTTGGTTCCGGGAGTGTAGGGCCCTTGATGTGAGAGAACAGCGAGCAGGGGGACGAAGAGCAGCTGGGAATGAGCGACAAAGGCCAGAAATTGAGTATCGAAAATTTACCTAACGAATTCTTGCATCTTTTTGAGAGGGAAGTACTGAGGGTCGACCGTGAACGTTCGGCGCTCATACATATAGTCAATGTCAGTCCACATGGTCTATAACCCAGATAGTGCACCGTTGAATTGTGGGAAATAGACAAGGAATGGACTTGCTTACTTCAAGTGGAATACCAGCTCTCGAATAATTCTGCACGACCTCCATAACGTCCACATAATCTACCCATCATAACGTTAGACATCTGACAGAAAGGGGCCAGAAGGAACGAGAAGAAGACGCTCACCCGTGTACCCATACCGACATTGGTGCAAACCAAACGTCCAGTACGCCACCTCCGCCGGTCTCCCCACAACTTCCGAATACTGTCTCGCGACATCCCTAGGCTCCGGTCCCGCCAAAAAATAAAAATCGAAAATTCCTCCAATTACATTATATTCCAAACTCGTTCTGTTGATGGCAAGATCTTGATCGATTTTAATGTCCATCCCGTTGGAGTTGAGGAGGAAGACTCCGTGTGTTGCATGTGAGTGTCGGGTTGAAAAGCGATGTTCAAAGTAGATGGGATGGGCGCCGTAGAGGTTCGTCCCTGCAGGTACAGAGCTATCATGGCGCGAGTGAGTGGGGGACAGTGATTGGTTTATGGGGAGAAAGAGGAACATACTACGCATCTCGAGCCCATAATGTTCGAGTAAAGTTCTGATTAGGAAGTCGGAAGGTCTCCGTGTGTTCGCCCAGTCCATAGATATTTGCGTCAGCAGGTAGGGCACTGTCATATCGAGACCCGGACCGGAATCGAACCCCTCCAAGGCGAGGCAACCAGTTCAAGGAGATGAATAATGTTAGAATGCGGTGTGACGTGAGGTGAAGCAGGTGTGATGCGACGTGACGCGTCCGAAAAACACCACCATGGCGCGGGAATTAAGAATCAGCAGAAAAGAGACTTTGTAAGTAAGTTGTAAGATGAAAAAGCAGCATGTGAAATTCACGTTGCCCGATTAAACACAGGCACCGCCGACATCACAATTGCTTGTCACTCTCAACAAGCAGTGCGGAAGAGTCGTGCGCGGCGGCATATATTGAACTAGAATGCAACTGTGCAACTCACGTTGTCTTCAACCTTAAATACTGCTCTTCAAAAATGAGCGGATGCTCTTGACTCGTTCCGAACAATACTTCCTCATTGCCACCACCAGCCTCGGAACGTACGATGGAGAATGTAAAAGGAGCAGTAGTGTATTTAAATTGAATGGATGCTTTTGACGAGGGGAAGTTGTGAGAAGGTGGACGGGGGAGGACAGATGTTGGGACAGTGTAGCGGGTGTTAGAAGGGTCGTGAATCTGGAGGTGGATTCGGGATTCTAAGTTTTAGGTTGAGTAATTCAGAATTGAGAAAATCCAACATGTCGGGAAAATAATAGGCGAGGAGGGGAACATAAATGAAAGCGTAAATGAATCAATGAAAAACATATTCGTGAAACGCGCGAAGCTTTGCTCGTCCGACACCTCAGAGCAGTGCGGAGCCGAACCCAACCAAACGATCAAAAGCGAAAAAAAGTAATACTCACCCGTTTCATACGTGACCTTCAACTTCAACTCCTTCAAATCAGGTCCGTAAACACCACATCCATTTCCATCCCGAATCTTCAAGTCAGCCTCAAGACTCCATTCGTTCATCTTTATATTCACGGCATCATAACCAGGGCACGCATCCAGCTGAGCATCCGTGACATTATTCGTCCGTTTGACTTTGGGGGTGGATAAGAAGGTGTTTTTGGTGTAGGTGTCTAGGCGTTCGTGCATTTCGCGCCCGTGAAGTTCAGAGTAGGGTAAACCTAGGTTATGAAAAGGAGTGGAAGGTGTCGAGGTAATGAGAGTGAAGGCCCATGATGCGAGCAGAAGAATAAGGGACCGCATGTTTCTGGGTGGATGTTTAACAACAAGGACAGAGACGGTTAGGAAGAAGAAAGTTTGTCACGCCCTTTGCCGGTATAAGAGGCCGCTGACAAGGGATGCTTCTTCTCTGACATCCCTTGTGCGGGTTTGCTGAAAATAAATCTAATCCGGTAATCCATTCAGTTGATTGTGTTGAACATTCTATTTCGCGGGCGCGACCACAGCATCATTGTTGGCATCGTTCATCGCATTTCCTCGGCAAGATCATTTTCTGGCATAGAGTTTTTGGGGGAATTTTACTTTCCCGTCCAGAGAATCAAACACAAAGCATCACATGACTTGTCAAGATGAGTCAATTCATTTCATATTAACTTTAAACTTGACGCAATTTATTAATTGACTTCGCACGCCACCCCCAGGGAATCTCTTCCCCAGATACAGACACAGAACGAGTTACTGTAAGCGATGGAGAAAGGATATCTACTCCCTGCCTCGGACTCTGCGCCCAAACACCGTCGCAGCAAGATCCCCGCTGCGCTCTTGACTTTCATCCTTCTTATCCCGATCCTCGCCCTCACCCTGCCTCGCGTCTTTTCCACCTTCTTCGATACTTCCATCCCGTTTATCCACACTACCTTCCCACTTTTAGCGCCAACTCCACCTAAAGGCCCCATAGACTGGCACCTTTGCGAGCCGTCCAACACTCGATTCGAATGTGGTCGAATCAAAGTCCCGCTCAATTACCTCAATAAATCGGATGAAAGGAAGGTCGAGTTAGCAGTTGGGAGGTATCTATCGGTAAATCCAAAGAGGATGGGATCAGTATTTATTAATCCAGGTAGTGAGTAGCGTGACGTTGATCCACTTCTGGCGTTCGCTAACGTGTCTTCCCCTTGATGGCCGGCGTGGCTTTCAAATCATGTCTTGATGCTATCAGAGAATATCCCTGAGCGGCTCCAACATAAATCTTACCACAACTATCTCCGTTCCTGTACAATGCCACAATCCCTCCTGAACGCCGTTTCATTCGCATCTTTCTGAACATTCCTCTGCTTTCGATTGTAGGTGGTCCCGGGGGGAGCGGTCTGTCTTTCCTCTACCGTGCAGGGCCTCAACTTTCTCAAATGCTCGATGGGGCATATGATATCGTACGTCTGTATCACCAGCTCTCCCAAGTCACCAAATTAAACAGACTTTTGGATAATTTGCCGTCCCATCTTGTACGCTCGCTTCGCCTTTATCCCTGTACTGAATTCACCGGTGCATATCGGGATTGATAACAATGACCTAGGTCTCGTGGGATCCTCGGTAAGTTGGCTTCTTGATTTGGTGCCAAATTGATCTTCCATCTTTCCTCTCTGTATGCGTTCCAAAGAGGTGTCAATGGATCACTGTGAGTTCACCTATGCCGCATGGATTACATTTTGCTAAATTGCACGTCTTTCCCTTCGCTACACGCTTCCTCCCCGTGGCGGCGGGGGCGGAATGTCAACATAGACCCAATGCCCTTTGCCACACTTCCAAAAAAGCCCAAGATATCTACAACCTTCAGTTCTCCCGCCCCCTCGAGTTCAATAACCTCACCGCCGAAGCTTCAGACCCCCTTCCGAGTGAAGACATCTCTATCCTCAAACATCAATTCAGGGAATTGTGGGCTCAAACCTCACTCTATGCCTCTCTCTGCAACATCAACACTCTCCCTTCCCCAGAATACGAATCGGGCTTCGATCTCTTCTCCCATTACGGAACTGCCTCAGTCGTTCGAGACCTCGAACATCTATCCTCACTCATAGAAGGACCTTCTTCGCCAGTCAATTATGCTGGGTTTTCATATGGAACTGAAATAGGTGCTGTGTTCGTGGGGATGTTCCCTGAAAGGGTTGGAAGAGTTTGGATAGATGGGGTGGTGGATCCTGTCGTTTGGGCGGAGGTTCCGGAGTATAAGTCTGCATCAAGTAAGATCTTCGTTTCTTTTCCCTTGCCCCTCTAGTCTCCCTCCAGCCTTCTGGGCTTCACCCGGGTGATGGTAGCGTGATGGAGTTGCTGATTTGTCTGTTTTTATTTATTTATTTTTTTGGGGGGTGAATAGCTTATTTGGTGGATACGGATAAGGCGCTCAACGACTTTTTCCAGAAATGTATTGACGTAAGTTCAATTGAACACAACCTTTTACTGACCTGGTACTATTTTTTACTTTGTGTTTATTTCAACAGGCTGGTCTGGAACGTTGTGCTTTGGCAACCAACTCGACGAAGAGCGCCGCTAAACTTGAGAAGAAGATTTTGGGGCTGATTAAGGATATATACCATGGTCCTCTACCTGTTCCTCACGCTAAGAATCCTGGTTTACTCCGTTCGGGTCATATTCGAGGTGAGTGTAGAGCGTTAGCTCAATGTTGAAAATTTCTTTATAAGTTGACGATTCCATTCCTTCACTTTGCTCTTGTCGCAACTTCGCAATAGATGCGATTTTCGAAGCAATGTACAGACCGCGGAGTTGGCCCGACTTGGCAGAGAAACTAGCAGCTACTCTAGAAGGGAACGGAGCACCTATATTGGAGTCTCAATCTCCAACACTGGATCCGACGGCTCCTCCTGATAGTTTCTTTCCGATCTTACAAGGCGTCCGGTGTGCGGATGGACCACCTGTCCATCGTCTTCTTGATGAAGCTCGTCGTCGTCGAGACCAAGGAAGCGAAGGGGAGGGGAAGGATGGGGAAGAAGAGTTTATGGAAGAGATTGTGAAGGAACTTGTGGATGAGGTGGAGAAGGCGTATAGTGAGACAAGCAAGACTTTTGCAACCACGGTCTCGAGTCCGGCTTGCTTCCATTGGAGGTTGAACCCTCCAGAAAGGTGGGTTGGACCTTGGGATAAGAGGTTGGCAGGTCCGATATTGATTGTTGGGAATACAGCTGATGTGAGTTCCTCTCCGCCCTTTGTGAAAAATTGAGAAAAGAAAAGGCTGATACTGATTGATTCATTAACGTTTGATACCAGCCCATTACGCCATTGAAGAATGCGAAAGTTGTGAATGAGTTGTTGAGGAATGATTCGAGGCTGATCATTCAAGATGGGTCTGGGGTATGTAGCGCTCACTCGGTTTCCGCCGCGCCAAGAAAGCTCAAACATATATATCTTCTAGCACTGTTCTCTTGCTCAAGTCTCGCTTTGCACGGGGAAGATCGTGCGTGAATATTTCTTGGAGGGTAAATTACCCCAAAATGGGAAAGTGTGCAATGTCACAGAAATTTTGTTCCCTCCTCTTCCTAAGCTGGCTGGTACTACCTCTGTCTCCATCACATCGACTTCCGGGGAAGATCTTGATGGTGGAGTATGGGTGGATGCAGAGGAGTTCAAGACTATGAGTGAGGAGGACGTGAAGCTTTTGGAGGCGATGAAAGGGATTGGCGAAGCCATTCAGTGGGAATGGAATCCGAAGCAGTTGAGGGTTATTGGGGGGAGCAGGTAGAGCTTGGTCTAACAGCGAGCCTAGTCATCTCGGGTAACAAATGTGCAACTGCAGCACCAGTTAGAGGGTTGTGATGTGTAACTAATACGTGAATGATCAAAATACCAGCTTGAACTCAAAGGACAGATGTGATGCTACCTCAACAAAGAGAGCCTTGTCCTCTTAAAGTGGGAGAGCTAATCATGACACACAATAAATGACCAGATAGGCCAATCATCATTCATTTGCCGCCTTTTTGATGGATTCCATGACTATTGCGGTCCACTGACAAGGGATGCTTTTGCTCCATCCTTGCTGAAAAAGAATCTAATCCGGCAATCCATTCACTTGATTATGTGAACATCAACATTCTATTTCACGCACACGACCAGTCATGTCGACAGTATCATGAGTTCCTCGCATTTCCTCGCAAGATCACAGGGTTTTTGGGCATCAAACACCAAGCATCACATGGCTGGTCAAGATGAGTCAATTCATTTCATATTGATTTTTAACTCGACAACCGACACAATTTATTAATTCTGACTTCACACGCTTCGCCACCTCTTCCTCAGACACGGACACAGAACGATTTACTGTAGGCGATGGAGAAAGGATATCTACTCCCTGCCTCGGTCCCTGCGCCCAAACACCGTCGCAGCAAAGTCCCCGCTGCCACGCTCCTGATTCTTGTCCCGATCCTCACCCTCACCCTGCCTCGCGTCTTTCCCATCTTCAACACTTCCATCCTGTTTATTCACACCCCTTCCCACTTTTAGCGCCAACGCTCCCTAAAGGCCCCATAGACTGGCACCTTTGCGATCCTTCCAACACTCGATTCGAATGTGGTCGAATCAAAGTCCCGCTCAATTACCTCAATGAATCGGATGGAAGGAAGGTCGAGTTAGCGATTGGGAGGTATCTATCGGTAAATCCAAAGAGGATGGGATCAGTATTTGTTAACCCAGGTAGTGAGTAGCGTGATATTGATACGACTTCTGGCGTTCGCTAACGTGTCTTCTCCTCGATGGCCGGTGTGGCTTTCAAATCATGTCTTGATGCTATCAGAGGATATCCCTGAGTCGCTCTAACATAAATCTTACCACAACTATCTCCGTTCCTGCACAATGCTACAATCCCTTTTGAACACCACTTCATTCGCATCTTTCTGAACATTCTTCTGCTTTCGATTATAGGTGGTCCCGGGGGGAGCGGTCTGTCTTTCCTCTACCGTGCAGGGCCTCAACTTTCTCAAATGCTCGATGGGGCATATGATATCGTACGTCCGTATCACCAGCTCTCCCAATTCACCAAATTAAGCTTACTTTTGGATAATTTGCCGTCCCATCTTGTACGCTCGCTTCGCCTTTGTCCCTGTACTGAATTCACCGGTGCATATCGGGGTTGATAACAATGACCTAGGTCTCGTGGGATCCTCGGTAAGTTGGGCTCTTGATTTGGTACCAAATTAACCCCCCTGATTGCATTCGATAACCAACGCCGTCTTTTCTCTTTCGTACACGTTCTAAAGAGGTGTCAATGGGTCACTGTGAGTCCACTTATGCCTTATGCCTTATGTATTATTATCTTTCGCTAAATTACACGTCTTTCCCTTCGCTACACACTTCCCTGTGGCGGCGGCGGCGGAATGTCAACGTAGACCCAACGCCCTTTGCCACACTTCCAAACAAGCCCAAGATATCTACAACCTTCAGTTCTCCCGCCCCCTCGAGTTCAATAACCTCACCGCCGAGGCTGCAGACCCCCTTCCGAGTGAAGACATCTCTATCCTCAAACATCAATTCAGGGAATTGTGGGCTCAAACCTCACTCTATGCCTCTCTCTGCAACATCAACACCCTCCCTTCCCCAGAATACGAATCGGGCTTCGATCTCTTCTCCCATTACGGAACCGCCTCAGTCGTTCGAGACCTCGAACATCTATCCTCACTCATAGAAGGACCTTCTTCACCGGTCAATTACGCTGGGTTTTCGTATGGAACTGAGATAGGCGCTGTGTTCGTGGGGATGTTCCCTGAAAGGGTTGGAAGGGTTTGGATAGATGGAGTGGTGGATCCTGTCGTTTGGGCGGAGGTTCCGGAGTATAAGTTTGCATCCAGTAAGATCTTTCCCTTTTCCTTACCCCTCTGGTCTCCCTCTGGACTTCTCCCGGGTGATGGTAGCGTGATGGGGTTGCTGATTTTTCTGTTTTCTTTTTTTTTTTGGGGGGGGGGGTGAATAGTTGATTTGGTGGATACGGACAAGGCGCTCAACGACTTTTTCCAGAAATGTATTGACGTAAGTTCAATTGAAAGCAACCTTCTACTGACCTGGTACCATTTTTCCCTCTGTGTTTATTCGTACAGGCTGGTCCGGAACGTTGTGTTTTAGCAACCAACTCGACGAAGAGCGCCGCTAAACTTGAGAAGAAAATTTTGGGGCTGTTTAAGGATATATACTATGGTCCTCTACCTGTTCCTCACGCTAAGAATCCTGGTTTACTCCGTTCAGGCCATATTCGAGGTGAGTGTAGAGCGTTAGCTCAATTGACGATTCCATTCTCTCGCCTCGCTCTCATATCACTCTTGTCGTAACTTCGCAATAGATGAAATTTTTGAAGCGATGTACAGACCACGGAGTTGGCCCGACTTGGCAGAGAAACTAGCAGCTACTCTAGAAGGGAACGGAGCACCTATATTGGAGTCTCAATCTCCAACACTAGATCCGACCGCTCCTCCTGATAGTTTCAGTCCGATCTTGCAAGGCGTCCTGTGTGCGGATGGACCACCTGTCCATCGCCTTCTTGACGAAGCTCGTCGTCGTCGAGACCAAGGAAGCGAAGGGGAGGGAAAGGATGGGGAAGAAGGGTTTATGGAAGAGATTGTGAAGGAACTTGTGGATGAGGTGGAGAAGGCGTATAGTGAGACAAGCAAAACCTTTGCAGCCACGGTCTCAAGTCCGGCTTGCTTCCATTGGAGGTTGAACCCTCCAGAAAGGTGGGTTGGACCTTGGGATAAGAGGTTGGCGGGTCCGATATTGATTGTCGGAAATACAGCTGATGTGAGTTCCACTCCGCCCTTTTCGAAAAATTGAGAAAAGAAGAAGCTGATACATTAACGTTTGATACCAGCCCATTACGCCATTGAAGAATGCGAAAGTTGTGAATGAGTTGTTGAGGAATGATTCGAGGCTGATCATTCAAGATGGATCTGGGGTATGTAGCGCTCACACTCGGTTTCCGCCGTGCCAAGAAAGCTCAGACATATATATATATCTTCTAGCACTGTTCTCTTGCTCAAGTCTCGCTTTGCACGGGGAAGATTGTGCGCGAATATTTCTTGGAGGGTAAATTACCCCAAAATGGGAAAGTGTGCAACGTCACCGAAGTTTTGTTCCCTCCTCTTCCTAAGCTGGCTGGTACTACCTCTGTCTCCATCGCATCGACTTCCGGGAAAGGTCTAGATGGTGGAGTTTGGGTGGATGCGGAGGAGTTCAAGACTATGAGTGAGGAGGACGTGAAGCTTTTGGAGGCGATGAAAGGTATTGGCGAAGCCATTCAGTGGGAATGGAATCCGAAGCAGTTGAGGGTTATTGGGAGGAGCAGGTAGAGCTTGATCTGGGGGCTGACAGCGAGCCTAGTCATCTCGGGTAACAAATGCGCAACTGCAGCACCAGTCAGAGGGTTGTGTTTTGTAACTAGTACGTGAATGATCAAAATACCAGCTTGAACTCGAAGGAAAAAATGCAAAAGATGTGATGCTACCTCAACAGAGAGAGCCTTGTCCTTTTGTTGCAATTACTTAAAGTGATATGTCGGAGAACGTTAATCATGACACACGAGTGATCCGAATCACGATTTGAGCGCCGAACACACCGACCCCGTCTTCGGTGCGAGCCCTTGTAGCCCTTCCTTCCTTCCCTTTGTAACGTGACTTTGTTCTCTGCTCATCTGTCACTGTATCTTCGGCGTTACCACCACCATCGCCACCTAAGTGTATTTTAACCCGGGTTGCTTGAAATTTCAGACAATGTTATCATTGGGAAACTAAAGGTTCCCAGGAATGGTGGACACGAAGGTGACTTGCAAGCAAGGTAAAGTACTTCTAAAACCGATTGACCATCGCTGCACACTCCGTAAAATCGTCGAGAACGCTCCTCAGCCTGACTCTTGGTACCGCAATTACACTTGAACCGAGTGAGCTGAAGCACCAGGGGTGATCTTTGCACTCACCTTCCTCCTAGCATTTGCATGCCACACTCCGCTTTCGCGTTGGATGCTTCCCATTCGCCTGCTGCACGATGTTGATCTGCTTGCCGACATATGTCAAGAGTCTCCTTCGCACTCTTGATAGCTGCATCCCAACCGTCCAAGCTGGGCCACTTCGATCCCGATTTTGAGCCCTTCTGTGAAACATTGGAGTACTGTGTCAAACATTCGATATATGACTTGAGGAGAAGATCAAAAATGATTTCGCAAATGAGACGAAGGTCCCTCATGAAGCCTAGGGCACTAGATTTCCCAGTAAGTAGTGCCAATGGCATTCTTATTTCCGACCCAGTCGGGTCTTCGAGTAAGCCACAGAAGAATGACGGTTGACTGGGAGATTTGGTGTTGCGAGAGAACAAGAAGAATTCGAATGCATTCCCGTCATACAAGATGCCATAGACAGGGACGTGTAAGTTGGTACGCTGATTAGCAAAATCGCCAGCTACAGCAAGAAAGAAAGACGATCAGATGGCTTTTCCGTCGGCGTCGGAGAATGATTCACCGTCACATTCGGCAATCAGCTGCGCGACCGCGTTGAGGTGCTCAGTGGCACCCCCCACGACTTTCATATACTCGACGAAAAGGACGGTAATGGTGCCAAGGATGATGAATTGGTATTCGACTCTCCCTTTGGTCGTCCATCTTCGCGCTTCCGGCGTGGCACGTATGTGTGATCCGAAAAGTGGCACGAGGCAATCGAAGATCTATGGTATCGTCAGCGGCCGTTCAGGTACGGGATTACTGCTCATCACCGGTGAAAGAAACTGTGATCTCGTCTCTTCGTTTTGATGAGCTGTCATAGGGCCATAACGAAGAAACGTTTTGTCAATGCCAGCAATAATGTCCCGAAAGAGAGTCATAGGGATCCGCGATCGGTAAAGGTCGAAGGACGGTGCGTCTTCCAGCCCCTGCCTGGGGTCCAGATTGACGTGAGGTGCCATTTGACCGTAATTCACTTTCGAGAAGCTGAGATTGGCTGAGTCTATTGTGAGCACTTGAGACTATGCCTTCCAGCTGCACAACTCACTGTCTAGCTTGGCTACTTCTGCTTCTTGCAACAAAGCATCCTCCGATGCGTCATCGACCTCAGGTCGCTGTGGCATCGGGAAAGGATAGAATGATCGAACGACTCAGAGTCAAATTTCAGGACAACGCGTGATTTTAAAGTGGAGCAATGAGTTGAAAACTCGCATAACATCCACCCCACATCGTAGGCAGGTTACCAGCCTCTATTGGAATAGAAGGTGATGGTGTGGTTGTGGCTGTGTTCCCTTGTTTGATTATGGTTTACATAATGTTCTCATTTCACGGGACTAATCACGGGGCTACGGTCAGACCCAACCCAGCTAACGCTGAGGTTCTAATATAGAGGCTGGGTCCTGCCTAGCTGAGGTTGCTCCTGCTTGATCATACACTGCCGCACCTGTCTCAGCACTGCCCACTCCCTTTTGCCGCTCTGACCATTCACGAGTTGCCGTGCAACCTAGCCACTCAATCGATCTAGGTTTCTTACCTCAGCGGTGTTCTGGCGCGGATGCGCGGAACAGACCACATCAGCCCTCACCGCAAGAGTGTTCACGATTAGTCCATAAAGGGCGCTTGCATCTTTTCTCTTCACTCCCTCTGTATCACCTGGACTCGTGCCTCTCTCGGTGAGTAAGGCCGCTTACTGCTTCTCCTCCAAACTCTTACTTGTGCACCATCGCCGCCGCCTCTGCCGCTGCCCCTCTCTCGACTCCCAAAATCGTCCATGCCTGCTCAGTAATCTCAGTAATCTCGTTTTTGCACTTCCCATCACCTCCCCTCTCTCCACCTTGTCATTTTTTCATTTTTATTTAAGTCTGTTTTTCTCTCGGTTGAATTGCTTTCTGTACTTTGTACTTGTCTCTATGTTTCCTTTTCACTTGTTGTATTTTGATACTCGCGTTGCTCCGTACTTTGTACCTGTCTCTACCTATGTTTGTACGTTGTTATTTTTTTCAACTCTGTATGCAGACGTAGGGATAACGGGTCACGCGTGGCTTGCTGCGCTTTGCCAAATACACTCTGGGCCACTTTCAACTTTGCCTGTCGAAGTCCAAACTGGACGTTCAGTCTGGAAATTCCCACACACGTGACCTTGTGCAACCAAAAATTTGCTAACCCCTTCACCTCTCTGGGAAGATGTTCTATACAGCTTTCCGTGCAGCTTCGAGGGGAGTGCCAAGAAGGTATTCTACGCGCACTTATTCCCTTAATTTACTCCCAAGAACATTAGCCCCCCTCTCTTCCTCATCGTCTTTCCACACATCCGCGCGTCGTTACGATGAGTTGCCTAAGTCTCCATTCAAAACATTCGTTGAGGTGTTGCAGGAGGAAATCAGGAAGAATAGGCAACTTGAGGAAAATGTGTTAAAGCTCCAGGGCGATGTTACTAAAATGCAGGATTCTGAGGCCATGAAGCGGGCCAAAGACATGTACGAACGTGCTAGAGTGAGTGTTCTCTCGGCGTGGGCTTAGTCGATGAGGTCCCCCCCTATTAATGGCTATGTCTGCGATATTGCATAATTAGCTTACTGCCTCGATCAAAGAAAATCCTCGGCTGCGGGTCGCCGCTGAGCAGCTAAGAGCGAGTGGAGTTAAAGTCGGGGATGCGGTCTCGGAGGCCCTTAAAACCATGGAGGAGAGCGACATTATGCGTGCAGTCAGTACTTATTTATGTGTGCTGAGTACTTTGAGTGCCATATTATTGTATCATCTCGTTCTGCGTAGATTTCGAGAGCATCAAATGCGGTTTCTTCAACTATTGTTAGCGGGACAGAACCCATTCGGAATACTGCGGCATACAAAGCCCTTGCAGAAACTGTTATTGATGCATTAGATGATAGTGGTAGCTCTAAACATGCTGGCTACGAGACGAAGGAAGTGCGAAGATTGCGTCGGAAGCGGAGATTAGAAAGGGCTGGGCGTTCTGGCACGTTATCACCACGGCCGCGCACAACTGAGAATTCAGAGTACGTGTTCAGGCTTTCCTTGCTATAATGATTTCTTCCTTTGAGCTTGACCCCCAAACCCACGATTCTCGCCTTTTTAGAGCCGGGTCTAATATAGTTCTGCACAAGGATAACGCAAAGAGGGAGAAATGGGAACGTCTGAAAGAGACGAACCCTGTCTTTCGGCGATTGGCTGACTTACGGCGTGCATATGTCGAGTCGGAAGACCCACTCGTAGCAGGGATGCGGTCCGTCACCAGTACGATTGGTCGATGGTTCGATGAAAACGAAACAGCCCAGGTCACACGTCTGATGAAGGCTATGGATCCCAATTTCAATGTCGAGTCCTTTGGTAGAGAGCTACGGGAATTCATAATACCAGAAGTAGTGGATGCGTACATAAGTGCGGATAAGGAGGCATTGTCAGCATGGTGCTCGGAAGCGGTGAGCAGATGCTTTGGTCTTCTTGTTTCGAGTATGGACTTAAGGCTGGCCTCCCATAGACATTCAACGTTCTCTGGGCTACTATGGAGGTGTATCTTAAACAGGGACTTGTTCCAGAAAGTCAGGTCCTCGACATACGGAATGTAGACGTAAGTCTGCCATGATACTGGCACATGGGATTGGACTGAGCTTACCGCGTGTGATGCCTCCTTAGGTTAGCCAAGGGAAGCTGCTGGAAAACGACGTCCCAGTCTTCGTTGTCTCATTCAGTACCCAAGAAGTTTTGGTGTTCCGAAATTCATTAAGCCGGGAAGTCGTGGTGGGTGCCCCAGACAAAGTTGAGCAAGTAATGTACGCCGCTATTATAACGAGGCTGGAGAGCGAACTGGAGGACGAACTAACAGGGGGATGGAAAATTATTGAAGTGAGCGTGTCGTTGAGTATGAGCTTACTGGGTAGCGTCGCTCAATGCATTTCTAACTCAGATGGCAAGACGGGGAGGTCGATCATACTTATAGTTCATTGCTCGCGTGTCCCTTACCTCTACATACTCCGGACGATCTCACTCTCACTACTTCTTAGATCTTCATGTACTATGGAGCACTACGTGGACTACGAAAATAATACATCCCCCGTCAGCTCGTTGAATAACAAAGGCCCGGCTTGCCCGCCCCCGGGTGCTTAGGAAGCAGCTTGATCTCAGGCTAAGCGGAGATCGTAGCTCGGCTCCAGTTCTGGTCCATGCAAGGTAATAGTGGTGCAAGCCGGCAATAGATCAGCATTCTATCATTGCACCGCCATGAATTGAGGAAGGCCCGAATCACTCACGACTACCTTCTGTTCCTTCTGCCGATCAAATTCATAAGCAACAAGACTATTTAGGATGTCCCCATCTGGCTGCTTTTTCATTTCCTGAAAGGCAAACTGGCAAGCCTTGTGCATGCAGATCACTCACGAAGGGCGTTGGTGACCGCGTGTATGTTCCTAAAGGCGAAAAGCACTTCGATTCCCTGAGGCCTCGTGTGACTCGTGTGATCCATTCCTCGACTCCGTTTGTCAAACCAAGCCCTTCTTGGGCATTAAGACTGTGATGATTTTCTATTGCCTCTATATAAGCTGCGCCCAGAGCAAGAGCTCCGCTTCCAACCCGTCCCCGCGTGTCGAACTACAAGTGGACCTCATTTCACAGTCTTGACTACCATTCCTAATGCCTGTGCGTCACCCATCATCATTTTCTTAGCTCACGGCACAAGGACTCAGCGAATGCCTAGGTCCAAGTCCTGTCATCATCTAGTGGCCCTATCTGTCCTACCCGAGCAGAGAGCATTACTCATGCTCGGGCCTGGATTGCGGCATATGAGAACTGGGATCTGGAACGGATGTACAATCTTACAACTTCACTCGAAGACCTTACATACTCGTACCTCCCTGCGTCGGCCGGTATCCTCCCCAAGTCGATGAAGGAGTGGCAGAGGTATCATCGATCTGTGAAAGAGATAATACCAGACTTTAAAGTAAGCGTGACGTGGATGTTGACCCAACGTCACGACATAGTGTTAACATACTTTGGACAATAGTTTGAAGTGCTGGATATCTATGAGTGTAACGGGTGTGTTGTTGCGCGCGTACGTTTAATCATTATCCAATGTTGAGACACGAACTTAGAAATCTCCACACAGCTTGTTGGCCGCGCAACTTCACGCTCGGGGGCACCATTCCTTCAAGAATATGTGTTCTTCATCCACTGCCGGTATGAATATGACACCTCTAGCAACGAAAGCAGCATCAAGGTCCACAAGGTAGAGGAATTCATCGATACCCGCTTTTCCAGCACGTTTTTCGCAGCAGAGAAAAAGAAGATTAAGGGTAAATCAGGAAAGGTGACCAGAGACTCGCCCCCGACTTCCGTGCATGCGTCGGGTGACTACAAGCATGATTTGAGCAAACTTTAACTTCCATTCCGAGTTTCGATCCGATGCACCTCACCTTCCAAATGATGGATCGACCTTCTCGGACCTATCATTGTACATTTTTATCACCCAATTATTTCCCTTGCTGATCCATCCCACTGAATTTCAAAGATTCAACTTTCTCCTGAGTGTTCAAAAGAGGCGATTTGGAAGGGGAAGCCGCAACTCGGCTTTTGACTTGAAAATCCACGCATGATAATGGGGCACCACCTACCAATTGCATAATAGCATTGCACCGCCATTAGTCTCATACAGTCTCATACTTGATTTAGTCCTCGTCAATTAATGGCTGCTGATACCGCCAGGAAGGTTGCCCAATCCAATGTTACTAGGTACATACTTTTTCCAAGTTCTCCGAGATGTCAAGTCTTGTCCATGTGGTCATGAATTCAGGCGATCACGTACTCGCGAAGGGCATTGGCGACCGCCACGGCGTATGCATGCCGCTGATGGACGGTCGCAGAAGGAAAACATTACCGATGTTGAAGCTGCATCTTGGCAGCGCTGTGCATGTGGCTGTCGAATCAACCCCCCTCTTGGGCGCGCGGTTAATTGCTGTAATGATTTTATTTCCTCTATATGAGCTGCGCCTAAGCCCAGATGATTAACTGTATCTTGACGTCTCTGTCTCTCTGCGTGTCTGCGTAATACGTCACTGGGATTCTACTCTGCCACTTTAACCATAATCCCTATGCCAGCACGCGCCATTTTCTGGCCCACCCCATGCTCCGTAATTAAATGCTCGGGCTTATCTCGTGTCATCACCTACCGTGCGGGGCTATTTGTCCCCATCTCGGTAGAGTGCATCTCCCATGCTCGGGCTTGGATTGCCGCATAGGGGGACCAATATTTGGAGCAGATTTACAATCTCAGTACAACCTTATTTTGGGACTTTAAAACGGACCGACATTCCACCTACTGGAGCGCGTGTTTACACATGCGCTAGTAACCTGCACTGCTTTCCAGCACCAGAGTCGGTTGTATTGTAGACACTTGACGTCTTCAACCATACTTCAAGTGCGGTACAAAGGATGCAATAGAGACATGAAAACGATTTGTTAAGTGCCAGACTTATGATACGAAGTATTTACAAACCATACAACGGAATGCCCGTCCGGAGATGCAAGCGAGAAGTTGAAAAAAAAGGGAAATAATACGTATAAGTATGGGCCGATCCCCGGGAGCAAACGATGGGGGGTCAGTGCAAGAAATGCATGAAATACCCACCTTGCTGTGTGCTCACAAAGTTGGAACGATTTCGACAGGGACAACTGGATGGAATGCAATCATCGACAATTCCGAAATCGACCAAGTACAAAACAGAAAGGGGGCGTAAAGCAAAAGGTGGATGGGTGGCAAGCTACTCTGGATGGAACATACATGTTTACGGACTATTGAGCTCAGTGTCAGACCATTGAATATCTCTGGAACACCACCATTCAATGCAGACACGAGGTCGCCACAACATACGGCTTCGAAAAATCGGCGCGTCTGAATGTGCATGAAGTCATGTGATCTTCCAAAAATAGCAGCAAATAAACTAGGTACGGTCACATGACCCTCTTGACCATTCATCCAAGTTGGACCTTGCAATAATGAAGGCACGAAAAGAGAATGGGTCAAATGATTGAACAGGATTGAGCGATGGAGCTCAATATTGATACTATCAATATGTGCATACTGAATAGGCAGCCCCAACCCCAATGCGGAAAACAACACGTAAGCAAAAGTGTCACATTTTACGTAATTATGAGGGTGAGAGTGAAGCCAGAGTGAAGCCAAAGTGACCTGCAGTGCAGGTAAGGAGCCAGACTATCACGCTCATTAGATCTTCATGCACATCGTGAACTACCAAAACAATGCATCCCTCGTCAGCTGGTTGAAATCTCGGAGACCGCACCCCCCGGGGCTAAGAGGAGCGCAACTCGGCTCCAACTCTAATCCACGCAAGGTAATCTTGGTGACGCGACAGATCAGCATTTTCATATTGCACTGCCATGCATGAATCGTAAATTGCTAACTTCTTCTCGATGAAATAATGGTGGCGCGATAGATCAACATTTCATTATTGCACCGCAGAGTGCTAACTTCTTCCAGTGAAATTTATAAGCGTCCCAATCTGACTGCTTTTTCATTTCCATAAACCGGCAAGTCTTGTGCATCTAAATCACTCGGGGAGTCGGATCCGGTCCCCAAGAGCGCACCTCTTGCTCTTCTGATTCCTGGAGTCCTCTGAGTGCTCGTGTGGTGGTTCATGTGATCTACTCACTGGTTCCGTGTGGTAAACCACAGTCCTTCAAGTTGGGCGTTAATGATTCCCATTTCCTCTATATAAGCCGTGCCTGGACCGACCTGCATGTAATACCCTGCTCTACAATCTTGACTACCATCATATGCTTGTGCGCCACCCGTCATTATTTTCTTAGCTTACACTACAAGGACTCAACGAATGGCTAGGCCCAAATCCTATCATCCCTTAGCGGGCCTATCCGTCCCACCCGAACGGAGGGTATCGCCCATGCTCGAGCTTGGATTGTGGCATACGAGAACTGGGATCTGGAACTGATGTACAATCTTACAACCTCACTCAAAGACCTTACATACTCGTATCTCCCTGCATCAGCCGGTATTCCGCCCAAGTCGACGAAGGAGTGGCAAAGCTACAATCGAACCATGAAAAAGATGATACCAGACTTGAAGGTAAGCGCAAACTTGCATCTTCACTCGACGTCCACGACACATACTTTGGACGATAGCTTGAGGTGTTGGACATTTATGAGTGCAACGGATGTGTTGTTGCGCATGTACGCTTTGATCATCATCCAATGTCGAGACACGAACTCAAAAATCTCCACACAGCTTGTTGGCCGCGCAACTTCACGCTCGGGGGCACCATTCCTTCAAGAATATGTGTTGTTCATCCACTGTCGGTACGAATATGACACCTCTCGCAACGAAAGCAGCATCAAGGTCCACAAGGTAGAAGAATTCATCGATACCCGCGTTTCCAGCACGTTTTTCGCAGCAGAAAAGGAGAAAACCAAGGGTAAATTGGACGGGAAGGGGTCCGGAAACGTCTTGCGTCCGGCTTCCGCATCTGCGCCGGGTGACCGCAAGCATGATTTGAGCAAGCTTTGACTTGCAATTCTGAGTCTTCGTCCAATGCTTATCGCCTTCTAACGCTAAGGCAGCCTTCTCATTGTACATATTTATTGCCCGATTTTGCACCCGTTTCCGCACACAGAGAGGCTGGTACCCTGCCTAAAGCTATGCATGGATTGCCGATTAGACACTTTTGAAGCTTGAGAATGAGCTACAAGGTGAGCGAAAATTGTAGAATCCACATTGCACCAAGTGCTCGTCCGCTGCGGAGGGAGGAGGAGTTTTAAACGCCGCCATGAACAGTTCATGAAAACGAGCACTCGCTTAGCAGTCGAGTGTTGTTGAACATCCATTCATTTGTGGGAGTGGAGGACCCAATGAACACTACGTATACACACGTCGTGGTGTGAAAGGGGACGAGTGAGGGCCTCCGGTTCGGAGGGGAGAACAACTATTTTCAAGGCTGGTTGGAATAGGGGAGGGATAATTGGCACCAGTGGAATGAGATGATGCAGACGAGTCGTCTTGAAGGTGGGTGACTTGGCGCGTTGTACGTCTACCTACGAGACCCTCATCAATACTACTGAGATCACGCAGTTCAGCTGGGGCGAGTCTGAAGTAGAAATCATCTGAAATCGCAGTATTAGGAAGACAACGAACCACGCTTCGATGAATGGTGACTGCTGTATACATTGCATATTTAAAGCATAGAATCCATGGTAATGGATTCAGTATGTAATAGCCACTGCACCCCTCATGACATATCATGGTGTGAGTCAGGAAGGGAATATCACGAACAGCTAGGTGAGATAACGTCGTGCATGCTGAGGCTTTTTGGCCGGGCTACATGAGGCCGAAACCACAAGGCTTGCAGGCGGCGATGTGAGCAAATTAATTAAAGAAATGAGACTGATCACAATTTTACTCGCATGACAAGGCAGAGAATGAACGCGACAGAGTACTACTATGAGTACATGATTCCTAGGCAACCGGTCCAAATGGACACGCGATCGGCGTTGTTATGAGCAGGGTAGGCCTCAGCGAGATGCTCAGCATCGTCGGATGAAGGGAACGAACGAGCGCGCAGCTTCATCGATCCGGAAGCTGGTTGAAGAAGCTATTCACTGCGTTTTGAGGCAAAATATCTCGAGGTGATATCCGAGCTCGGATGCGAGACTTTGGACGGTCGGACAATACTTCCCGGATTTCACGTGCTGGCGAAATGCGCAAAATATTCGACATTCTCGAGCAAAAATCCTGGACATATTCAGTGCTGAAGATGCATGTTTCTGGGTCGATAACACACTTATGCGCTCATGTCGAGTGTTGAGATGTTTTTGTTTGTTTACTCATGTTTGTCAAGTGCCGCTTGTTCAACATTTTACCCCTGTTCCACAAGTACTAGCTAGTGCATGCTGATAGCAATGCTCTCAACTGAGCCATCAATCGGGCTCTGATGCAATGACTGCTCTGCTTGGATTTATATTTTCACATGTTCGTGCACACCCCAACCTGACGCCCCTGCGCTTGAGTCCTTCAGGCTAGTGGTCTTCGGTATCGCCATTGTAGACCGCTTCTATCTCCTCTAGCTCCCTGGTGACTTTGAGATTCTCCGGGTGGATCATTTCATCAGCTGCTCGATCCCACCAGTTCGGGGTCGGAGATGCGGCCAGCTTTGAGATATCGAAGTCCCTCGCAACGAGACCAAGCGGGATTTGTCGCGTGTGGGTAGGGATAGAATATGAAACGCCGTCTGCATGCACTGCAGGTTGATGTGTGTTTCGAGGGATACTCCTTTATCTACAGCATACGTACTTGGCTATGCGAGCGTTGTCCAAAGTGTACATCATTCCGGACACACTGCGCCGAATACTGCCCTGCATCTGTACCTCCTGACTCAAAGCTAATGGAGCCAGTTAGTTAGCACTGCGCCACCCTCACCGAAAACTGCCGATGCCTGCGCCGAACTTATGGGCTTCACAATCCAATGCCACTGGGCACATGATTTTTTATTACCTGAAACAGACCAATGTGATTAGCAAGTCTTGTGCATGTGGTCATGGACTCTAGAGGGATCGTTCACGAAGAGCATCGGTACATATTTGTGATGTTTCTTTCAGCCGCAATCCTGGGTGTGCATGTGGTCGTCCAACCAAGCCTTCCCCGGACCCAACCGCTGTAATGCTGCGCCTAGACCCAGAGCTCTCATTGCTCCCCTTGCATATCTGCATAACCGGGATTTCACCCACTATCTTGACCATAATCCCTATGCCTCTGCGCGTTTTCTTACCCCACCCCACAAGCACTCAGCGGGTGGTCAGACTCACGTCGTGTCACCATCTCACTAGGCTATCTGTTTCCGTGGAGTACATCTCCCATGCTTGGGCTTAGATTGCCGCACACATGCAGGGATTTGGAGCGGATTTACAACCTCATAACTACCCATATCGGCCGACATTACGCCTAAATGCAGCAAAGGTACTATCTGCCACCAGACTTCAGCGTGAAGGCAACTCGTACCTTACTCCCGACCCGCACGTCACGGCGAGGTTGTCCTAATACTTAAAACAACAAGCCAAAGTACTGGTCCTCATCGATCGTCAACCGGTGGACTCAATATCCCAGCCTAGATCGTTGGCCACGTAACTTCACCCTTGGGGGGCACCATTACTCCAAGAACATGTACAGTGATATTCATCCACTGTTGGTACGAAGATGTCTACGTTGAAGTAGAAGAATTTGTCGATACTTACCCCTCTTAGACTTGGAAAAGGCAAAATAAAAGAAAGAATCGAGGGCCAATCGTGAATCACGAAAGGAAAGGGCATTGAAGATCTGCCTTCGGCCTCGACGCCCGTGTTGTAGGATTGAGGGTACAACGTGAGGAGCAAACTCTGATTTCATTCCGAACCTTCACTCAACACTTTTTCCTTTAAATACTGTCCTGATTTGCCTATCACGGCATCGCGCACATTTACAGCGCAATATTTGCCTCATGAAAACCCCCATCAGCTCTAGAGCAAATATTAGAGCTATTATGGGAGTATGTCATGCCTTGGTTCTAAGTCGAACTCGTTTTTCAAACCATTGAAGCATGGTTCCCACGATCATTTGCTGAAATTTGCCAAGCCGCGAATGCTCCAGAATAGGTCATGTGTGCTGCTGTTCCAACGAAGTTGGAGAACAAACTGATTGTTGTCGAGTATCGTGTTGAATGCGAATTTACTGGGTAACGTCGTTCAACGTCGATTGCCCAAATGATACATCCCCGCCAGCCATATCGCTTGCCGAGTGCTCAGGAGGTGCTTGGACCCAGGCCCAGGAGAGGTGGCATCTCGGCTCGGACTCTAGTCCGTGTATGGTAATGGCCCCGCGGCCGATCAGCATTCACCGTGAACTGAGGAAGTCTGGGATCACATATCCATGTCTGGTTCGGTTCTCCCTGCCGATGGCCTTCATCAGTAAAAAGACCATTTGGAATGTCCCGACCTGGCTACTTTTACATTACTCGAAGGACTAATCAACAACTCTTGTGCCTGTAGATATCCTGTATATGGGCCTAGAGGCGAAAAACACTCACCGCCTTCGTCTAATTCCGATCTTCTCGCTTGTGCCTGATGGTACCTGTGACGCGCTTTTCGACTTCGTGCCTCCTTCCTGTGCATTCACACTGTGATGATTTTTTCATTTCCTCTATATAGGCTGTGTCTAGAGCAGGGGCCTCGTCTCTGCCACTTTAGTGAACAATCTTGACTGTCATTCTTATGTCTGTGCGCCACCCGTCATCATTTTTCTCAGCTCACATCACAAGAACTCACCGAATAGCTAGGCCCAAGCCCGGTCATCGTCTAGTGGGCCCACCCATCCCACCCGAGCAGAGAATATCGCCCATGCTCGAGCTTGGATTGCAGCATATGAGAACTGGGATTTGGAACGGATTTACAACCTTACAACCTCACTCCAAGACTTTGAATACTCGTATCTTCCTGCATCGGCGGGTATTCCACCTAAATCGATGAAGGAGTGGCAAAGATACAACCGGTCCATCAAAAACTTGATACCAGACTTGACGGTGAGCACAACCCGCATTTTTACCTCCAACCTGGACGATGCTTACGTGCTTTAGACTGAAGTGTCGGACATCCATGAGAGTAATGGATGTGTTGTTGCCCATGTGCGCTTATCGTTATCGAATTTTGAGACACGAACTTTAATTCCCACCTAGATTGTTGGTCGCGCAACTTCACGCTCAGGGAAACCATTCCTTCAGGAATACGTGCTGTTCATCCACTGTCGGTACGAGTATAACACCTATAGCAACGAGAGGAGCGTCAAGGTCCACGAGGTGGAAGAATTCGTCGGCACGAGCTTTAACAGCGCTTTTTTTGCAGCGGAGAAACGGTGAATTGCGGACCGTGGACAGAACAGGGACCAGCAGCCGGTGGGGACCAGGGACTTGCGTCCAGCTTCCGCATCTTCGTCGGGTGCCTGCAAGAATCATTTGGGCAAGCCTTAACTTCCATTTCAGGTCCTGGTTCAACGCATCTCGCCTCCCGATGCTGAATTGTCCTTTAATCTCAGCTATGGCGTTGTACATACATATGGTATTTGCACCTTGCGAATATACGCACCCCACATCGGGTGATCGGGCCTCTGGGGTTCGTTTCTCCCCTACCGCTGAGTGTTCAGAAAGTCAACTTGACCCCGGGCCAGGGGAAAGCCGCAACTCGGCTCAAATTCATGCAGTACCAGCTGCTAACGAATGAGCATTGCCCTCAACGAAGGCCCCCAAACACTCACAACTAATCTGGTCGATGACTGCTGATAGATCTGGGTGGCGACGTAATCATGCCCTTCACAAACGAATGGATGGCTTCCTCGTTGCCTAAACTAGAGCAATTGGCAAGTCTTTGTGCATGTGATCATGGACTCTGCTCACGAAGAGCATTGGTGTGACCATCGCGGTGCATATGCGCCACCTCTGAGGGCTGATCGTGTTTCATGATGTTGCAGCCACATCCCGTGTCCAATCAAGCCATGCATGGACACAACTGCTGTAACGCTTCTTGCTCCCTCTAAAAAAGCTGCACCCAACCCAGAGCTTTATTTCCATATCACCCCTAGCTACCTTTGCGTGTCTGCATAACTGAGATTTCACTCCACCATCTTGACCCATAATATAATCCCTATGCCTGTGCGTCATCATTCCCCTCGATCCTCACCTCACAGACACTCAGCAAGTGGTCAGGCTCACGCCGTGCCATCGCCATCTAATGAGGCTACCTGTCCTACCTCGGTGGAGTGCATCTCCCATGTTCGAGTTTGGCTTGCCGCGTATGAGAACTGGGATTTGGAGCGGATGTACAATCTTGCGACCTCACTTGGGGACTTTGAATACTCGTATTTCCCCGCATCGGCCGGTATTCCGCCTAAATCGTTGAAGGTGTGGCAAAAGCACAATCGATATATAAAATATCTGCTGCCAGACTTAAGGGTGAACTTCATTCGCATTTCCCTCAGCCGGCACGTCATGGCGATGCTAACCCTACTTTGGACAACAGGCTGAAGTCTTGAAAATCTATGAGTGCAATGGATGTGTCGTTACGCATGTGTGCTTGATCTTCACCGACTGCCGAGACATGAACTTAGTATCCCGACCTAGGTTGTTGGCCGCGCAACTTCGCGCTTTGGGACGCCATTCCTTCAAGAATATGTACTGTTCCACCATTGTCGGTACGAACTTGACGCCCTCAGCTCTGAGCGCTCCATCAAGATCCACAAAGTAGAGGAATTTGTCGATACCCACTTCTCCAGGACATTTTTTGCGGGGGAGAAGGCGGAAGAAAAGGAGATCAAGAACCAATTGCAAATCACGAATGGAGGGTCCAAAGAACCGCGTTCGACTTCAACGTCCATGTCGGCTGGTCGAAGATACAACACGAGCAAACTTTGATTCCTCCATTCAACTTTGGAATACTGTTCTGATTTGTGCACCTGTATTGAGCCAATGTAATCAAGGGATCGAAAGCCCTTGTGGCCACAAATTCATCTAAACTGCTGATTGTCCATGAGGGTGGCTTACAACTTTGCAGGCTGGCGGACTCCGTAAGTTAGCATCTCGCACGCCGACTGAACCTTTCTCCCATTGGCCAGCACGCGTTCGACCTCTTCCTGTGCTTTCCTCACTCCACCCCCATTAGTACCATTCACAGATGGCCCTTCATTTGTCCACTGCGCGAAAGCCTCGATGTCGATCCTGGCATCTGCCTCAGCGATGTCAATCTGGAAAGCCGACCAGAGCGCGTGTTCGAGGAGATAGAGCCCACATGCAGCCTCGCCGATAAAGTAGAAGAACGGGCGTGGAAAAATTGGATCGAGAGACTCATTTCCAACAAGTAGCGTGCGGAGCTGCGCGACAAGGCGTAGCGATGCCGACAACGCGTCAAGTTGAAACTCCACAGTTTTAAAAGCTTCTAGGCATGATGCTCTTTCGACTAGCCCATTGCCCCACTTTGGAAAAGAAAGACACTGCCAGTGAGTTCCGATACAGCAAATAAAAAATAAAAATCAAGCTGAGCTCACTGCGTAAAAAGAATCGAGAGCTACCGCGTCCTTACACGCCCTCAGGACATCAAGGGCAAGCACGTTCGCAGTTCCTTCCCAGATTTTCTCTACCAGGGAGTCACGTATCATCCTAGATGGGATAATACTCGTCATTGGGTTCCAGTTTGAAATAGCACAACGGCAACAGACCTTCCAATACCTGTTTCTTCCATGTATCCCTGACTGCCCATGGAAGCCATACACTCCTCCATCCCGCTGACTGCGAAGCTCGAAGCAAAACCTTTGGCTACAGGAATGAGCAATCTCAACCGTGCGAATTCTTCTACGGAGGCGTTGCCGTTCTCGGATCGCCCCAGCAATACTACCGCTCCAAACACCATATGGGTAAGAGCTCTGTAGAGAACAGACGCTTTGGCAAGTGTATAGGTGTGCAAGGGAAGTTTACGCAATAACGTCCCTCCGCTTTCAGCGTTCGAATTGGTGATCACTCGAACGTTGGCATAAGCTTTGGCGATCTGAAGTGATCGTCCTAGACATGAGATGGACATGATGGCAGAGTGAAGACGTGTGATGGTGAGGACAGGAATCACGCTTTTAATGCCCTGATTGAGCGGCCCTACAAGATATCCTTGCGTATTATGCAGCTCAAGTTCTGCTGTGGGGACGGGCTGGGTTCCTATCTTGTTCTTGAGCCTATGGATGCGGATCCCATTCAGCTTGGTATCCACAGGCTGCAGCTGAGGGATGGTTCGCGCATTGATTCCCAGTGCAATCGAGCCTACAGGAGGACCAGGGATAAGTGGCACCCTGACGGGGACTAAGAACAGAGATAATGATCTTGAGCCTTGCGATATGCATCCTAACAAGAGAATAATAAGTGAGTAATCTTTAAGCTGCAAATCCCGAATCACTCGCCGGTTCTAGCAAGAGCGAGGGAAATATCACCATCTGTCGCAGATGAAAACCACTTGAAGCCATTGATGCGCCACAGTTCGCTTCCAAACCCGTGCTCTTGCGTCCGGGATGCAGTACTCTCAATTTGTGAGAGATCAGAGCCTCCGGGTCGTTCAGTCATCCACTGGCCTGATGTGAAACCAACCGATGGATCCCGCCTAGATTGGTCGCTCATCGGCAAACGGATGAATCGCCAGTGTGCTGGGGACATACGAGAGAAGACGTGGTAATATCTCTGATTTCATCTGAGCTGTCCCGTAGAGTTCGATGACTGCGGGGAAACTCGGCATCAGAACGGCGCCCAATAACATGCTGCATGCGGTCAGGGAAGCTTACCTCGAGCGCATCCATCCGTCATGGAGAATGGACACATAATCTTCATCAATTACGTATCAATAAGGGATAAGATCGAAAGATCAGACATACCATCCTTAAATCGGGAGAACCGACAGCGATCTTGAGAAAACTGTACACTCTGGCCCATTCGGCGTACTTTGCACGGTCATATGCAATGGACACGAGACCCTCCTTGAATGCGATCGCCTTGATGATCCTCCACCCTTCTGAAGTGAAAAGCTCGTCAATACGCTTTCCATAGTTGTCGTACTGCCGGACCCAAGGTTGGGTATGAGGCTGATCAACGAGTGCACCGATCTTCTGTATGGCTGCCAAGATCGACAACCAGTCAGGCTTGGGATCCTTCCGAATGCATAGAAGCTGGATCCCACTCACGACCCCGAATATCTTCGCCCCAGCGGATGAGATCCCTTTCGATATTACTCCTCAACCTTTAAGGGATAACTATAGGCCCTAGATTACTCCCCATCATTCGGAAAAAACCGCTTACGGTTCAGGAGCCAAACGCTTCAGCAACGAAGGAAGTACAGTGTCTTCGCTGTACGGATGTGGTAAAACATATGATGGCTACAGCCAAGGTGGGTTTGCGTCGTTGCGTCGTTGAATGATGGAACTTACGGGTTGAAACCCTTCTTCGACTCGCATATCTGGTGTCGACCTGGAGGGAAGCTCAGCTGCAGCCAACTGATTCAGCGCTAATATTCAGCAGGTGAACAGCCCCCACCTGCAGAGCCTGCGCTTGCGTTACATTGATATAGAGCAAGGCCAAAGTCGCGAGTCCTGAACGTCCGGTAATGAATTTCAATTGATTACCTATTTTGGGGAGGCTTACACATGGCGATGTTGGGCCACAATAACTGTTATAAAATCCACAGGTTGCGCGTTGCTTCATCACTTGCTACTCCCACGATTCAAGAGACTCAAGGAACTTATCCAAACAGACAGCTTTCGAAGCAACCTTGGCACCTCCTGGTGAGCACTTTGTGCGTGGGTGATGGCACTCAACTCCACCGTGCAGGGGAACTAGCACTATTCGCTGGAGCCAATTTTTCTTCCATCAATTAAATGATCTCTGGCGCCGCCTTCTAAAGTTCAGAGATTCAGTTTCCCATCCATCAGAGTTTGAAACCCAATGAGTGCGAAGCGGCGTCGTGCTGCTTCCAGGAACGATATCAATTTAGCTCCTAGCCAAGTTGCTCGACTTTCAACGAACTTGTTTAAAGATCGCCCCCAAGAAATACGGGACCGAATGATTGGGGGATGCTGTCAGATAGTGAAAGCACACCCTACTCCGGCACGCCTAACAGGGAGTCAAATGCGTCTTGGCGCTCAGGGCGGGCCCCAGTCCATTATCCCCCCATGGGTTACCTTGCTTTTCAAACCTCACAATCTGCCAAAGCCTTTTTTTCCTCCTAAAATTGATCCTCGTTTTCCCACACAAGGCCAAGGCTGCGCACCAGCCATTTCTAGTGCGATGTAGCAATCGCGTGAGAGGGGCGGTTGTACGTGTTGTTATGCCTGGCCCGATCTGGGCGAAGCGCTCGGCGGTTGTACTCGCGACATAATGAGGGATTAAGGATGAGACTCGGGGGATGTTTCAGATGAGGGACGGGATCGACGTTATCATTAGCTGTGAATACAAGGTACTTATACTATGATAAGGCTATGTTAAGAATGGAATATAGGGTGTCGAAGTAGGCCAGTTGACAATGCGTGAGCCGGGGATTGCCTTTCTGCTCTTCATCTTGCGCCACACATTGTAAATGTATATGCGTGATATGTGGGCTGAGAGCGCGATATCTAATGACACTGATATTGTGCTCAGGCCTCGTGGACCCAGACTTTCACAAGAGGCTACTCGGTGTCGGAATAAGTGTGAGATGCTGCGCATCTGTACCGTACGTGAAACATGTTGCCGGAGCGGCATCATGACTTGGATTCGATTCCAAACAGTACGCCCCATCGGCCATACCACAAACGGTTGCGGAGGGCGGCGGTGTTGAACATGAGACATCGGATCTAAGTAAGTATACTTACGCTCACAATCCCTCTAATTTTGTTATCTAGAACACATATTCAAGCTTATAGATCCGAAAGACACTGGCGAGCCTTGCCTGAGCGAAGAAACTAGTCTTCTTGCGATTCATCTCACGATTGGTGACATGTGACCGTAATGCCGGAGCCAGCCGCGAAATCTGTATAGCTCAACTTTCTTTCCAACTTCTCAGCACTTCAGCAAGCATCTACACCAGGTAAGCTTCCTCCTTTTACGAGTACACCGTAATATTTTTACGCTGATTCGTGTTTAGAAATGGCAAGAAAGAAGTCTGGAAAGGCCCACGAAACCTTCGGGGCTCGTCTCGGCTTAGTGATTCGGTCAGGAAAATTCACCTTCGGGTACAAGACGGCCTTGAAACAGATGCGCAGTGGGCAAGGCGAGTTATATCGTTTTCTGCCTCCGGGGACTGGAGCATGAGGCTGAGAAGGTCCCCTATGCTGATACCTTTTCTTCTACCATGGACCGTAAATTGTCGTTTCAATGTTTCATACCGTCAGCGAAACTCGTCATGATTGCCTCCAACTGCCCACCACTCCGCAAGTCTGAGCTCGAGTACTATGCCATGTTGTCGAAGACAGTGGTCCACCATTACAATGGGACAAACTTGGCACTTGGGACCGCTGCCGGGAAGATGTTCCGCATTGGGTGAGCACACCGTCATTTGGAAGTGTTGGCCATGTTCTGATATTCTGTATCTATCAGTGTTATCACAGTGACTGATCCTGGTGACAGTGATATCATGCTAATCGCTGAGGGTGCTCAACAATGAGCAGTTGGATTGTCTGACTCTCCATTTGCGCCCTGCGCATTTCGCACTTTTTACGACCATGTTTAGTTTATGTTGAATCACAGTGCAGGCGTTTAAAATATGAGTTTTTCATGACCGCCATCAACGAGACGTCGGTGTGTTAATTTATTAACGTTCATCTGTTTCGTACATGCTCCGAAGATCAGTGGAAGGTGGGTTTTAGCAACTGTGATTGGTCATGGTATGTAAGCACCTGCGCTCAGGCGCTATTGCATTCCTTATATATTGAATGAATGAGCCTCAGCCCCACGAGTCACGCAAAGGACTGTGAACAAGATCAATACTAAATGTCAAGCTCCCCTGCGATGGAGGACGCTGCAACGTGGGCGAAAGCCTTCTCCACATAGTAATAGTCCTATACTGATCAGTTGTTATACACCGATAGGGTCAGGGAAAGGTTGCGATCCGCACTTCGTGCTCGCAACGCTCTGAGCGACGCAGTGAAAGGGACGCTGAACCTGGCCATCGAAACTGCAGAGTAAGCCACTTCTGGAATTATCTCAGCGCCGTTACGTTTACTTCCGATTGTAGTCAGACTACGCGGGGCAAGTGGGACGCGCAAGTATATGCTCTAAGCGCCGAAGTTGCTGCGATTGAACGCACACTCAAGGCAGTACAGCATGAGCTATCTCTGGCTACGTGTGGCCTAAATAAGGTCGTCAACATGTCCTCCACACTATGCCGCCTTCCCGATGGCCTACTGGCGGATATTTTCCGTCATGGAGCAGAAAGTTGTATCGAAGCCGAGGACGAATATATTTTCTTATCAACCATCACGTCGACGTGTCATCATTGGCGCGAAGTAGCCATCAACGCACCTTTCCTATGGACCCGAACTACCATCAAAGCAGGGTCCTATGACCCTATGATGTATACTTACTTGGATCGAGCCAAACAGGCACCCTTACGTCTGACGATCGTCCTGGAGAACGATTTCATACAATGGAGTTCCGAACACATTAACCAATGGACTACCGCTCTTGCACCGTACTTCGCCCGGGTGCATAAACTCATTGTCCGGACGAACGAGCCAAGCGGAGCCAAATCCCTGTTTCCGTTAAAAACCCCCATGCCGTACCTTAGACAGCTTACATGGATGAATGGAAGGAGTGAAGATGTGGAGGACGACGACGAAGCCGGTGACGAAGGGCCGCCGCGTGTCAAGCTTTTCGAAATAGACGACTTCGCACCACCCCATTACCGACTTGAGTTTAACGGGCAGCGTTACGTTGTTGATTGGGATGAAGCCGTCTTAGCCAAAATAACACACCTGGACCTTGACAATCTCGCAGGACGCCCTTCCGCTGACGTGGTTCGCCTCGTTGCTCGCTGTCCTAACCTGAAGCGGTTGCGTTGGGTGCAATACTTAGGCGAAGATGACCTTGTGGAGAGTGGGACTCAGATGCCCAAGTTCCGTTCAGATAGTTTGGAGGTCCTGGACATAGACATCCCTGACAACAGTGACGAACAACGGAGTATCCTATGGCACATGGATTTCCCACGTCTTTATAGTCTATCCATCATCGCTCGCTCACCGAATTCGCATTGGGCTGAGCAAGGCTTGGGTGACAGACTGCGTTTCCCACAGCTTCGGTCAGCTTGGATCTCGTCGCATGCCTTTTCTCCTACCACCGCTATGCGCTTCCTCCACGCTCACCCTACTGTCGAACAGTTCGGTTGTGGGGTGGGTTCGTCTATTGGCGGTGTGCTCTCCTTCCTCATCGAATCTTCTTCAAACCTCCATGGTCCACTCCGCTTACCGAGCCTCAAGTTTGTCTACTTCCTGGATACAGCATGTGCGAATCAGCCCGGAAAGTTCTGTGACATGATTCGTTCATTAATGAAGGCGAGAGTTGACCTGAAGGACGAGAAGGGTAACGCGACCCCCTTCAGAGTTCAACTGAACGATGAGACCTGGCGAGACAGCTCAAACATAGCCGAGGAGATCTTACACTTAGCGGAGAAGGAGTACCCAGGCCAAATCAAGCTCTCAGCTGCTGATGACACAGTTCCTTACATGTTTAGCTATGAGCAGGCGTAGAGGTCTGCATGCTCTCTTATCGGGGCTGGCTGGTAAACTAGTCTCAGCTATCCGTTTGCTTTCGGTTGCACTGTATATCCATTTCCGTACTAATATTTCTGTACCATTTAATATTCTGTACTTCTCCATGTCATCCATGCCATTGTTCACTCAAGCACTTTAATGCCTTCGGAGGCCGATCCCGCCATACTATTCTTAGAGCTTTCTTGGAATCTCCCCAGCTCAGGTAATTGTTTGAGCAACTACATGGTCAGACATTGAAGTGCCATTGTCGTGTGGTTAAATAAGTATTACCCTGCGGTCTCATTATCACGCAGCAGTGTGGCTATCCCATTTAGCACACCGTGACATGCAATGTGCCATACAACTTGAGGGCATCATGGGTGTCTCTGGCGTGTGGGATTGTGATAACATTGGGGTTGGGTGTCTGTATGTATATGTTGTTAAGCATCTCAGGGAAGACCCAGACGAACGGGAGCGTTAGAGCGGATGTCAAGCGTTGCTGGGCCATCGCACACAGGTAATCCTTGCCCTACTTACAGCCTATCTAACTGTATAGCAAAGACGACAACGAAAGGAAACGGTGAACGTGAAACTAGCGCCTCTGACGCTTTGTGCGACGAAGGGTTCGCCACTCGGCAGCGCTTTGCCTGCGGCCACGCCCCCTTGCGTGGCACCGGGCTGCCGCAACAACATATGTATGTAATGGGATTGAAAAATCCTCAATCCCTCGTTGCGGCTCTACTCTAGTGCGTACGTTGCGGCCTGGTTTCTCCCGGTCCAACATTCTTCATGCGTCAACCTGGTGCAAGTTTGTCACGAGTGCTTATCCGCTGCACGGGAAGCTTTCAAAAATTTCGCGAGTCTAGCGATTTCCTTGGGGCGTCTCATGAGCTTCTCGTATGTGGTTGTCTGAGGCTGCCTGGAGGTTCGCGCGGTTTGGTCACATGCCTAGGCACCTTTATGTAATTAAATTGTTTACCCTGACGGTTTGGCAACCCCCGATTGCCAAAATGTCCCATAACTTCAGCACTCATCATGGCTATTGAGTGGAATGGCCGTTTGGCCATCCCGAAACTCCCTCCCAGCCCTTCTCTTCTGCAACGTGCTTCGTATCATTTGTGTTATCTGCAGGTGAAGATTTTGGCGGTTATTTTCCGTGTTGGTGTCGCCTGGCATACAACCTTCAGAAGATACATTCTTGGGCGTGAACTCGCATGGGAGCGCTCGTATCATAAATATACGAGGGAGTATGCAATTCCTTCAACCAAAAGCTCGCGCTTGATAAAGGTTGGAATTCCGCACAGATTCGTTGAAACCTGCAGACGATCCGTGTGATCTGTTATCCTTCTGTACACTTGCAGATACGCGTTTGGGAACCCCCTGAGGAGTTCGCAGCCAAAGGTCCCCGACCTGTGCACATTAACTTCCACGGTGGCGGGTTCGTTCTCCAGGGTTTCGGAATCGATGCAGATTTCTGTGAACTCCTTTCGAACGAGCTCGGCACCTACGTGCTGGATTGTGATTATGCCAAAGGTATGATATGTATTCTGCACCTGCATATCGGAAACATTGGTCCTAATACTCGAGCAGCACCAGAAAACCCCTTTCCACATGCTTATAACGATGCTGTCGACGTCGTCGATCACGTCTTTAAAGAATGTGCAGATTATGATCTCTCCAACTTCACAATGAGCGGCTTTTCTGCGGGCGCTGCTCTTGCTACTACGACTTCTTGCACCTCCCCTAATGTCAAGGGGAAGCCAAAAGCTCTGGTCCTTATGTATCCTCCGGGGGACTTTTCGAGGCCCCCTGGCCCCCCACTCAAGGCAGGGCCCCTTATTCCAGAGTCCTCTGCTCCTTCGGGTTCACTGAATGTTGATTCCTAGCCACGCAAGGGATCAACTGCTCCAGTTCTTTCTTCCTTTGTCCTAGAAGTATTCAATGCAGCAATGTAGCAACCGTCTTCGTTTCCCGCAGGTATCTTTATTACTCACTAGTACCAATAGTGTCCAGCCCCCATACCACCGCTCAGACCCTCGGATTTCCCCCCTCTGCGACGATCCCCGAGACTTCCCGAAGAAAATCTGCATAGTTACAGGGGAGTTGGACAACATCAAGCTGGGGGGCGAATTAATCGCCGTTGGGATCAAAGAGTCAGATGCTGGCATTTATCTCGAGGAACGTGAGTTGTCGCCGATTCTCTTCAAGGTTGACCGAAATAAACTAGCCCACGATTTCGCAGATCAAATTCCTGATGTTGGCCACGCCTGGGACAAGACAGCGATAGACGGCACTTGGGAAGATGCGCGCAGGACCGAGGTATGTCCTGATTGGCCTTGTTACACCTCTCATGCACACTTCATATTCGCAGGCCTACAGACGAGTGATCGAGTTCTTGAGAAAGGTCCACAAGTCGAGATAGCTCATTCCCGGACTTCTGCAATTGAAACGTACTAGATGCTCTAGCATATTCTTGGACAGGTGTTTCTAGGTCTATTGCCATCCATCGTTCGTGCTTATTGGAGGGTCTTCATGCTGCACCATTACCGTTTCGTCTATAAAGCCGTTTCCGCCACTACCGAAACCACCGATAGAAATTCCATGTCAGTAACCTCTTGGGATGTGGTATGTGTGCGACCAGTTATTGAAACGTCCAATATCCCAAGTACGGATGCAAGATGAGACTCAGCACGAGCATAAAGCCATAGAAGTTGCAAACGACGTACTAGTCCCAACTCACGATCACCTTTAGCAAGATAGTTTTCAGTAAACATACTGTGCGTCAGTCATGCGCTCTAGAGGAAAAATGCAACATGCTCATCTGACCCAAGCGCTCACAATGCTGGACTGCGCGCCAATTCATAAGGTCCCCAAAACGGAGCTCAACTCATTCAAGCTTAACGGCGCGGCGGCGCTAATATAGTAGTCATTAGAGGCAGTTAGGTTGCGAGGGACGACATCAATCCCAGCCAAAACTCTGCTGAAAGTTAGTCCAGCTGCCTCGTTGGGGCTGGAACGTTTCGGGGGGTTAGCTAAAGCCGGCCCCTGCCATGCTTCCAATTATTTCTGAAAAGTCATAGCCTAGATGAATTCGGAATTCGGAGACATTCCGGAGTCACTGACACCCATACGCCACGCTTCTTCACTTCCTAATAACGACTTTGACATATGCAAGCCGAGTGATGTGTACATAGCGTCAGTTGCAGCCTCGCCTGGGGATCGATGGGGAGAACCAACAGTCCTTTGAAATGTCCGAGTTGTTTCGCGATGGCGTGAAGAAATTCAATGCGTTAGATTCGAATCAAAGAGGCGAAGCAGCTAGTACAACATGGATCCATGACATCCTGCGACCAGTATGAACTAAGGGCCAGGTCGAGACTCTCTGGGCTCTACATTCACGAATGTAAATGAGCTAGTTACAAACACGAAATACCGGTTCGACTTACGTGACCATTGAACTGACAAAATAAGAGAATCATAACCTGGACGCAAAGTTTCAGGAGTGTTACGATGAACCGAACGGCAAAGGCTTACCGTATCCATTCATCTTTTCCAGCGCCTTTTGAGCATGTGCACGATCCTCAAAACTGACAAAAGCAAATCCTTTGCCAATACCAGTGTCACGATCCCTTCCGATGAACACGCGGGCAACACGCCCGAATGTTGAGAACAACTCTCGCAAGTCGTCTTCCGCTGCATCCTCCGACACATTTGTCACTCGCAAAGTTGGAAGGTCATCGCGGCTGCTTCGATTCATTGTCTCGCCTGCACCGCGGCCGGCACCGGCGCGCATCGATGGCGGGATGTATTTACCACTGGAAGCAGGAGCAGCGCGCCCTGCGTCGGCGGGGCTATCATCGTCATGCCCGGTACCTAAATCAGCTAAAATAGTGGTCGATAACAAAATCGGCAGGACCTTTAGGCTTGGAGCACTCACCAGCATCGCCCCCTAATGGTGCAAGGACATCCTTGTGCGGACATTTTGAGGTAAAGTGGGCTCCCTGGCACAAACGGCACATAATCTTCTTTCCGCTAAGTTGCTTCTTGATATTAGCTTCTTCATCAGGCTCCTGCTCTGCGGCTTTGTTCCCGGCACTAAGCTTGAGCTCGACACGTTCCGCTACAGTGGTGGTGGCCTTGTCAAGTCCTGCCTTCCTGCCTTTGTCTTCACCGAACTTCGCCCACTGTTTTCGCTCCGCAACTACGTGATCTACCAAGGATGTTTGGAGCGTTCGCCTGATTTTTCGAGTGACCTTTGAATATGACAGTACGTGAATACGTTTGTCGGTGGCCGGTAAAGGGAAACCAGCGCACTTTAACTTTTTTCCCAGCCTCATTAGTAACATATTCCACGATCGTTCGTATTCCATTCGCATCGATGGTATCCAATGGCTTGAGATCGTCTAGAGCGAAGCGTAAGGACACAAACCGCGAATGACTACGAACATACCAAAATCTTCAACTTCGTCCGCCCATGACTGTTTTGGTGGATTGGAGTCGACTCTAATTTCAGTGTTTCAGCGGTTCTTAACGACAAGAAGACTCATGAAATCCGTACGCTGCAGACATCGGGCGCGATTGGGTAGAGTTATGAAGTCGGATTCACGTGCCTGTGCAAAACTCTGTTGCAGAAAATACTTTCCCAAAAAGTACTCATAATATTGCTAAGCGCCATCGTATTTGGGCCGATTGTGATTATTAAGACAAAAATGTATCGAGGATAAAGACACGTAGATGCGCATTTGAAAGGTACAGAAAGTCAATAGATGAACAACAGCTTCGGTATGGACTGCGTTGAGCAGGCGCACTCTTAAGGTGCCTAACATGGGTGTATCGTGCATATGAATGGAAAACGGAGTGAGGTGTATGGAAGAATAGGTGAAGCTGATAAGTAAAGCATGCTCTATGGATGTTGAACCATGGAGCTGGCAAGAGACGCAAATCCATCGAAATGTTCCGAGCCGAATGCAACGGCAATGTCTTTAAGATAAAACTAGTCCACGAGCAACATCATTGATAATTTTGTCCAAACCGCTTGGTTTTGAAATGTCTAGATGATTCGTTGTACCGCCATTCGGAATCACATCACAGTCAACCTTTGCGAGCTTCTCGTCCATCAAGAACGGTTCAAAGATAAGGTTAGTGTCCTTGAAGTCGTTATGAACAACGTTCACTAGGAAATAGGTGTCCATTATTTCGCTGATAAGTTTATGGGTGGGTGAGTCAGGTTCATAAAGTCGCGACCATTGTCGGCCGAGCTCAAAAGCTTCATCCTAGAGGAGGATTAAACACTGAACCGCATCCGACAATCTTCTCACCTTCCAAGCCATGAATGACACAGCTTCAACAATTGTGGGTTGAAGGATTTCCTTCCCAGGGAAAACACCCCATGTCACCGCATTCGGGCCATCTGAGTGGTTGTTCGTTCTCAGGTCGCCTTGGTTGTTGATGGCGTAGTAGGTCATCAAAGGCTCTCGTGAGATACGCGATATCAAAGTATTGAGCTGAGATGGAGATACGAAAAATTCAAGGTACGCCTTCAAGAACTATTGAGTTGGGATGAACCTAAAGAGGAGCGCGAGCACTACCTTCTGGTAGACATATCCGTTAGTGGGACCCCACCCATGCACTGGGTCGCCACTGTGTACACCATTCACTGCCGGCTGGGAGTTGATTGTGAGGTAACCCAAAGTGTTGACTCGTGCAAGCTGCGACGCGATGACTCTGGTTTCAGCAGATGGTGGCTGATCAGACCATGGAAGAGCTTTGACCTCTCCGATACAGAATTTGGCAAATAAATCGTTGATTTCAGCGATTGAGACAGGATGTCCCCAGATCTCAGCGGCTTGGTCTTTCTAGGGGCTATTCAATAACAGAACCTGAAGGTGGGAATGGAGGTGCCCACCGTCTGCTTTATCCATACGCCGTATCCGTCAAGTTCGCCGAACGCCGGACTGCGTGCATCCCCAAAACGGCCATTCGGGTACTCATCCCAATTTTCTGTTCGTGACAAGTACGACTGGGTCCGATTCGCCCAGAAAATAGGACGGATAGTTTCGGTTCGTCTAGAAGGGGTGAGAGACTAATAGGGTAATAGTCGTGTCAAAAAGATTCATGGCACCCATGTGCATCGTGCTCACCTGACGCCAGGGCAACGGTCTGATGACTTCCACCCTAGGAACAAGCTCCAGTTCTTGAAGCAACATCTTTGTGCCCCTTTCAAGGTTCATGGTATAGAAGTGCAAGCCAGAGATACCGATATTGGCAGACAGAATGTCACGACACAATCTAGAAACCAACTTTATCCCCTCTGCTCGCACTCGTTCGTCGTCGTTTTTAATTGGCTCCAACACGTTGAGGTAGGATTGAGGAATGATGGTTTGCGCCAGCTGAGTGGCACGGAGGAAACCGTTCCAAGTTTGGATCGGGTTAATTCCGGGGATGATAGGGATGGTGATGCCCGCGTCGCGGACAGCCTTTACCCATCTAATGAAGATATCGACATCATAGAACATTTGGGTGAAGATGAGATTAACCCCAGCATCAATCTTCTCCTTCAGCCATTTGAGTTCCTGAGCGAATTCTTCGGGGGGTAGTGTGATTTGTTGAGGAAATCCGGGGACGGCAACGTCGAAGTAGTCGCCGTATTGCGTGCGAATGTGGCGAACAAGATCTATACCATGTTCAAATCCTCCTTCGACGGACGACCAGTGATCTTGGCCTGCTGGTGGGTCGCCGCGCAGAGCGAGTATATTACGGCATCCATGGGCCTTGGCTTCTTTCAATGCTATATCAACCTTCTCCTCAGGCATGTTGGTACAGGTAAGATGCATGCAAGTCTCAATGCCAATTAAACTCTGACAAGTCCGAACAAGTTCCGATGACAAGTCTGATGTGCGTCCACCAGCATTCCTAAAATCGAGCTTACAGGTAGCCTAAAATATCATGTTTCGAGAATGACTCACCATGTGATGTCTATGAACTCAGGGCCCCATCCCCTCATGCGCTCAATGCGATCCAATAAGTTTTGCAAGCCCTGAGGATTACGATCAAACGCCGTCACAAAGTAGGTAACAATGACGACAAACCTGAGCAGTTCTAGGAGGAAAATACTCGAACGACCACCACACACGTTTTTCCTTCTCCGCTTCAGAAATTTTAGCTGAGATCTTCATGATGTTACGTTAATTGAAATCAGCGGGTGATACCACCGTAAGGTAGGTACGTCTAGCACGATAGTCCAATGAACAGACGTTGTCCAAGTGAAGGAAGGACGGGATTAGCGAAATTTTCAAGTGGATCCCAATTATCGAATGATTCAGGTTGAATGATAACTGACCACCACGTGACAGATCGAATGTTTTGAGCCAAGCGCTGGGCGATTAAATTGGTGATCCAACCCCTCGGTTGGCTTTGACATAATTCAGCAGTCTGCCGGCTAAGGAAGAAAGGAGTGAATCCAGGAAAGTGGGGGAAACTGGAAGGCATAAAACATGAAGGATAACAAAAATAAAGTCCCAAGATGGACTGCGCCATTATGTTCTACCGTCATTAAGTTTATGTTTCTTATCTGGAAGATTCCCCGAAGCCGGAGTTTCCTCTGCTTTGCGTTTTCCCGAAGAAGAGGAGTCGTCTGGTCCTGGGGCTACATCTGGCACCTTTTTCTTCTTTTTCACCATACCTGTCAGGTCGTTGATCTGCGCATTAGTTAATGATGTACCCGATGGTCCACCAAGTTCTTTAGTTAGTTGTGCAGCAGCTAATGCAGGGGCGCTCATCTCTTCGGCTTTCTCTGGAGCCATCCTGAGGTCATCAAGCTAGGAGCCTTCTCGTCAATAAACCCAGAAATTGAGTTCATTGAGCACAAACCTTGAGCTGAAGCTCTCCTTTCAACTCCTCAAACTCGCTGATTTCTTTCTCCATCTGCTCCTTAGTCAGCGAGGCAATAGGATCCCCAATTTGAATGCCGACAACGGTGGCCTTCCCCTTCCCCTTCGGGTCGGCGCGAGCTGGTTCAGGTAGTTCCCCTTGCACGCCATCCCGGAGAACTCGAAGACGGGAAACTACACTGGCTATCGCTTTTTCGACGTGCTCGACGGCATCACCTAGTCGCCCAGAGGTAAGATCAAGGACCATGCTGAGCTTCCAATGCGCTTCAGCTATCTGACGATGGTGTAAGGGCAGTAGCTCGGTCTTGAGGTTCAAGGCAGAAGTGTAATCAGAGATGGCTTGTTCGAATTTCTCTGTAAGGATTAAAAATGAATGATCAGTCAATTCCTGGTCTACGAACCCTCACTGACCTGTCTCAAGCGAAACATCCCCCAACGCAACATAGCAGTCTGCAAGCTTGAGTCTGGACTCTTCATCGTCCTTCTTCTGGTAGAAAGCACGAGCCAGATCTAGGACCTCCCATGCAGCATTGAAATCGTCCTCTGGGGAATCGTTCTTATCTTCCTCTTGTTCCCCCTCCGACTCGTCTTCGGATAAATCATTTCTTAAATCCAGAACCTTCTCCCCGTCTTCTTCCTCGTCGCCGCCGAAATGGAATCGTGATGCCTTCTCCTTTACCACCTCGCCTTCCTCTGAAATAGGAGTAAATTCACGAAATAGAAGCCACTACGTGCATTTTCGCTAACCATCCTCTCCATTAGCCTCCTTCTCTTGAGCGAGAACGGCGGACTGGGAAACAGCATTTTCTAGCAGCGTTTTTCCGTATGCAAAGAGAAGATCGGCAGATTCAGGAGAGTTCTCGCCGTGCTTCTCAGTCCTGTTCAAAGGGCCAGAAAACAATGAGACAATCTCAGGAGCCACAAGATTTGAGAGGCAGTCTCGCGCACATCAGCTCAAGGGCCATGGCATAGTATGATACTGCTGCCTCCAGCTTTCCAAGCGCATAGGCTCGCTTAGCCAGTTCGGTAGCAGACTCAATAGCGATGGGTTCATTGTCCTGGACAGTAGGGTATATTCTCCACAACGCGTGAGCATTAGTTATTTGGTAAGTGAAAAGACTTACTCGGACATTCTGGAGTTTTTGACGCGTTCGATGGCGTGTTTCGAAGGATCGACGTTCACTCTCTCGCTCAGAATGAGCTATTCCAAGGAAACGATCGGTGCTTGCCGTCGGAGCTTCGGTGCCTCAAACCTGTCGAGTTTTGCGTGTGTCATGTATGCCGCAAGGTCAGCATGGGAGGTTAGTTAGGCTGGAGAGCATATATAAAATCTCTCAAGTACCCAGTGGGGAAGAAATATCATAGTGGAAAGATTTTAACTCAGCATTGATCTCCGTGCCCGGCGCCCATCAAGTCCTTGCCACAAATCCGACCCTTGAAAGTTATTTTCCTATAGTGCAACGTTTTAGAGTCGGGATTACGACTGGTGAGGTAGCTTTCTTTTTTGAATATATAGATTGTTGCTTGCGAGGCCACACTGAGTCCATCGCTACCGTCGATGCGCCTTACACTGATCTCCAACCAATGGCAAGTGTGCATGTTATCTCATGTTACTCACTGTGCTAGTGCACCAGATCTTTGACAGGCGGTGCACGTTCGATTGCCAGGATTCGAAAACCAGAATAAATGTACATAGACCTGAAAGATGACAAACGACTGTATGGCATAACATGATAGAGTCTGAAAAGGTGGCATAAACGAGTTTTCGGGATCATCATCCAGATCACTTTCGATAGAATTCATTCGCAATTAGTACTTGCGACCTTGTCATTTGACGGTTCACACTCGAGTACTTCCACTTGAAGGATGGAAAGATGCCTCTGGCATGGCAGAGTGCCAACACCCTTAACCACCGCAACCAGTAGACGGGACGGAAATGGTGTGGCATGAACACCCTCTAATAAAGCACGAACGATGGATGGCGACAGACTCAGAAACACTCACCGATCGAGGAAAGTTTCCCACGCCTCATCCCGACTTGAACGTATGCCTCCTCCAACGTTCACAACGGTGAGCGTTGGGACTGCCGCTTCCCATGCATCTCCCCAACTGCTACAGTGGTCCTGCGCGGGACAGCTTTTGATTATGATGCGCAGTGTGATATATATTCTGGTTCGTAAGGACGATGATTTAACGATCGTAAGTCATCCTTGAGCTGACCGTAATGAGTAAGACGCCGGCCCTGGGAGTCAATTTTGACATTGACTCATCGTTCATTGGCCAGCCCCCAGGAATACTGATTCGAGACACGGAGCCCCATCTTAGGTGGTTCCGAACTGTGATAGAACTTGACATGTCGGAAACGCATCGCTGGGCGAGCTTTTCTATGCGTGCGCCAGGTCTCTGCATCCAACTCTGCTCTACGTTACAATCGTTGCTTTTTAGATCCCTCTACAAACTCCATTGGCACTACGAGCTTCACATGGCGGGACGCCGCCTGGTCGCCACCGAATATCTCAACTCATGGGTATCTTAAACCTTTAAATTCAGCATATTACATGTTCAAGGGCCATATAGATGCGCGCTAGCAACATTGAGTAGCAATCATGAACTTGGGATATGGACGCCAAATAACAATTATTTGCACGGAGAATGGAGCAAGGCATGGCTGATCTATGGCACGCTGGATGCCTATTGAAATTTCATCCAAGATTCAGGACTTAACGGAGCTGCTCAGGGATTTGGCATGTTCGGTCTTTCCTGATGATACGCCTGACGTCGAACAAAAGCGGGTTTTGTTCTGCCAAATCAATTGTGAGTCGAAGTCTTTTACACGAAAATACACAATTCCATATTGCACTGTGAGGTGTGGCCTGGTCGTCACACTTGAGAGTTGGTTTGGGGGATCATTTGAAGCACATCTCCGTCCTTTCCCTTGGAAATCGCCTTGGGCATGTCATATTTTTAAGGTTGGGAACATTCTGCCTCTACTTACCGGCCTTAGGGTTCTCATTCACTGATGACTTTCATAGGCAGGACACCAAAGGATTGCACTTTTTTGGCTTCCATCAGTTCTCCGAAGAGTGGATATTAAAGTTGGCATGGTCAGACTGGTCCTACAGCGAAGAAGGACGTGGTACGCTCGACGGGTTATGATGCAGGTACATGGCTGAACACATTGTCCAGTGAAGGAACCTTGGCGATTCTCACTTCTCGTCATATCCCCCTTTGTGTCGCCTTTGTGTGCAGCATGGAGAATGGGATAGTGTCGATGAATATTGACAGTGGTTCGTGGACCTATGTCATGGACAATGACACACGGACAGTCACTTCGCTCAAGTGGACAAGAATCATCGGTAGTGCTCAGGTACTTATCAGTGCCGCTTGTGGGGCCTTCTCCCGAACGTTCTTATAGATGCTGGTTTACACGAGACCTGGAACGGTGCATTTTGCACGTCATAGCGACGGCGGGCTTATTGCTGTCTCAATGCCACTATCCTTGGTTGCTTCTATTCCTGGGGCTTCAAATGCATCTCCCGTTTCTGGTAAGCCATTTTTAGGATTATTGGTAGTCCGTTTAACGTGATTCGCTCAGGACTACACTACTACGAACATCACGATATGCTATTGATCATTTTGCAGGATGGATCATTCCAGACAATCCGCAACGTATCTGAGAATCCAACGGTATCAGGTCTATATGATGGAGAAATCGAAACATTTTCATTGACCCGAATTGCTCGGGAAGTGTTCGTTGAAGCTGAACGAGGCGGGGAAGAAAAACCCCACCGAAAGGAGGTCATGCAACTTTTTGGCGTTGCTCCTCTTGGGTCATTTGGTTCAGTGGTATGGGTGCATGAGTACGTCAAACATGCGCCTTTCTTGTTCCTGCTTTTTGAACTATCCTAGGGCGAAACGGCCTGACTTATACGCTTACACTCCCGATGCGCTGTTGCGAAGTATGATCGTTTGTCAACAGCTCTGGTGCGACGAAAATCTTGGTGAACTTGTCATTGCCGAGATAAGTCGCTGCTTGGATCACCCGCCAACTCGTAAGGATGCTTCTTCATCAGGGTGTCCTTTGTCTCACACCAGTTATTTTCCCAGCTTACGACGCTCTGCCGAATCATCAACTATCTGGAGTACTCCTCCATCTACGATCACCAGCTCTCGTGTCGTCAATTGTTGCACCACTTCTGGCTTTGTTATCTCCTGGAGTTTCGCTAGTGAATCCCCTGGATGAACAGAGAGACATTTCTCATTCACCGGATGACTTGGTCGATGTCACCAGAAGCCGATTTCTTGATGCGACGCGGAAGTCCCTATACGACTCCGCTGCCGTACTCCGTAATCGGCTCAAGTTTTTCATATCCCGATATTGTTCCGTGAGTTAATGACCTAATCTCGACGACTTGATTCTAAGGCACGGTGAAAGATTTCATTGGCAAGCCTGGATAAGGAAACAGCGAAACGCTTTTCTGATGTGGAATCTCAGCTTCATTCCATCCTTCGAACACAAAATACAGCCATAGTTCTCCTCCAAATACTCGCTTTTATACCTCATATACAAGGTGAGGTCAATTTTCCACACAAATTTGAGCCAGGCCAATGACGCCCCGTTCCCAGATAAGGATGGTGCATTTCTTAAGCGCGTCACATTGGTGGGGTTAAGGAGTGGAGACGCGGCATGTGTCCAATTAGCCCAGCGCGCGACAGAGAAATTCGGACTCGCTGTAGACAACGAATCGGTGGCTTTGTTCGAATTCGATCTCCGTGAGACTTGCCGTGTTTGTCAGGCTGGGGTTAAATTCACAGACTATTCTTCGGCTGTTTGCGCAACCGGACATGTTTGGGGTAAGTCTAATTCATTTGAAGATCACGTGCTGAACATTCTCATAATCTCGATGCTTTGACTTCGACCTTCCGGAACACGATTGAATGAGTAGAACGGTGTTCCGTAACATTGGAACTGCTTGAGATGCCACAGACGTGTGTTGGGTGCCTCCAAAAAGTAATATCGCCAAGCCCTGACACGGATGGGGTGATCGGGCTGTCTTGGATAGCTGGTGATGTCGTGAAAGCGGCGTTGGGATGTTTATTCTGTGGGAGCTCGTTTGCAAAATTGTTGTGACATCAACTGAATTCATTCTATTAAAATTCGGTTTTTGATTCACATCACGTGCATCCCCAACGATTTCGTGAAGGGCTATAAGTTGCGGAGCCTGCTCGTGGCTACCAACTCTTTTCTCTCCCCAAGTCGTTGAACTTGTTGCTCTCCTCAAAAGTGACCGTCATGTCCGAGGAGCACGCAAAAGTTGCACATTTCATTGGTGGGCTTCATTATGCCACTTCCTCCACTCCCTGATAAATATTTTGCTACAGGTGGTAATTCCGTTGATAGAGCCCCGCCGGGCCAGGTGAAAGATTTTGTCGCATCTCACGGAGGTCACACTGTAATTTCGAAGGTAACATGAATCTTGATTCCGTCGATTCACTGAGTGATGCGTTGATTGGCTTCATCCCGCAGGTCCTTATTGCAAACAATGGTCAGTCTGTGCGTTTTAGTCAATTAATGGCTCATTCATCCTTTGATTGCAGGTATCGCAGCAGTTAAGGAAATTAGATCTGTTCGCCAATGGAGCTACGAAACCTTCGGCTCTGAACGCGCCATCGAGTTTACGGTCATGGCGACTCCTGAAGACCTTAAAGTTAATGCAGATTATATTCGCATGGCGGATCGCTACATCGAGGTCCCCGGTGGGACCAATAACAATAACTATGCTAATGTCGACTTAATTGTTGATGTTGCTGAACGCGCCGGAGTGCATGCAGTATGGGCTGGTTGGGGTCATGCCTCCGAGAATCCTCGTCTTCCCGAATCCTTGGCTGCATCGAAACATAAGATTGTTTTTATTGGGCCTCCTGGGTCTGCTATGAGATCATTAGGCGACAAAATTTCCTCTACCATCGTTGCTCAGCATGCCAAAGTGCCCACGATGGCGTGGTCTGGCACAGGAATTGCCGATACTGTCATGTCTTCTCAAGGATACGTCACGGTGCCTGACGAGGCATACGCAAGGGCCTGTGTCACTTCGTGGGAGGAAGGACTCGACCGTGCCAACAAGATTGGTTTTCCTGTTATGATTAAGGCGTCGGAAGGTGGAGGAGGGAAGGGGATCCGTAAGGTTGAAAGTGCGCAAGGATTCCAGATCGCATATTCCGCAGTATGCGGTGAAGTCCCAGGTACGTTGAAGGGATGGATTGAATTTGAGCGCCGGTAAATCTGACGAAATTATTCATGCAGGTTCCCCTGTTTTCATTATGAAGCTCGCCGGCACCGCTCGGCATCTCGAGGTGCAGCTATTGGCTGATCAATATGGCAATGGCATCTCGATCTTTGGGCGTGATTGCTCCGTTCAACGTCGCCATCAGAAAATTATTGAAGAAGCACCTGTGACAATTGCAAAACCGCACCGATTTGAGGAGATGGAGAAGGCGGCCGTCCGTCTTGCCAAGCTCGTAGGCTATGTTAGTGCTGGGACGGTTGAATGTAAGTTCACAGCATGAGATCTCTTTTGTATCGTGTAGTAACGGGTCGGTTCTCAGATCTCTACAGTCCGGCGGAGGACTTGTTTTACTTCCTTGAGCTAAATCCGCGACTTCAGGTCGAACATCCCACCACTGAGATGGTCAGTGGTGTCAACCTTCCCGCTGCCCAGTTACAGATTGCTATGGGTCTACCCCTTCACCGCATCAAAGATATCCGTCACCTCTACGGTGTCGCTCACCAGGGATCGTCTGAGATCGACTTCGAGTTCTCCAAGCCCGAGTCGTATCAGCTGCAGCGAAAGCCACAACCAAAGGGACACGTCGTTGCCGTTCGCATCACAGCCGAAAATCCTGACGCCGGCTTCAAGCCGTCCAGTGGAGGACTTCAGGAACTGAATTTCCGCTCGAATACCAACGTCTGGGGCTATTTCTCAGTCGGAGCTGCTGGAGGTCTACATGAGTTCGCTGACTCTCAGTTTGGTCATGTCTTTGCCTATGGCGCTGACCGAAATGAGGCTCGTAAGAACATGGTAGTGGCGTTGAAGGACTTGAATATTCGTGGAGATTTCAGACATACTGTCGAGTACCAGATCAAACTCCTGGAAACTCAAGCCTTCGAGGACAACACGATAACGACCGGATGGCTAGATACCCTCATTCAGGACAAAGTCACGGCCGAACGTCCAGAATCGACCCTCGCAGTCATCTGCGGTGCTGTGACCAAGGCACATGTCGCTTCGGAGGCGAGCTGGGACGAATACAAACGCATCTTGGAGAAAGGTCAGGTACCGCCCCGCGACACCATCAAAACTGTCGCTATGGTCGAATTTATCTACGAAGGACAACGTTATTCTTTCACAGCTAACCGCTCCTCCCTTACATCTTGGACACTCTACCTCAACGGTGGCAGGACGGAAGTCGGCGCTCGTCCCATTGCCGGTGATGGTCTCCTCGTTCTTCTCGATGGAAAGAGTCACTCCGTTTACTGGAGGGAGGAGGTCGGCGCCACTCGACTTTTAGTCGACTCGAAAACGTGTCTCATCGAGCAGGAAAATGATCCAACCCAACTTCGGAGTCCCAGTCCAGGGAAGCTAGTTCGTTTCTTGATTGACAGCGGGGATCACATCAATGCAGGCGAGCCATATGCGGACATCGAGGTAAGTTCGGTTGATGTCGAACATTTTGTCTCAAATCCTAAAATATTTCAAGGTGATGAAAATGTATATGCCCCTGATTGCGACGGAAGACGGTATCGCTCAGTTCGTCAAGCAGCCAGGTGCATCGCTAGCCCCAGGCGACATCCTCGGAATCCTTACGTTGGATGACCCCGGTCGCGTCAAACATGCTAAGCCTTATGAGGGGCAACTTCCAGCGACAGGAACCCCTAGCGTCACTGGCTCTAAAATTCACCAACGGTACGATCGCGACATTGAAATCCTCAGCAATATCCTAGATGGATTTGACAATTCTGCCGTCATGTCATCCACACTCAAGGAGTTGACGTCCACTCTGGACGATCCTACCTTACCATTCTCACAAGCGTTTTCTATCCTTGCCACGCTTTCGGGACGCATTCCCGCGAAACTTGAAGAAAACATCAGGGGTGTGATCGAGACTACCCAAGCCAAGTCGGCCGATTTCCCTGCCCTCCGCATTCGCAAATTCATCGACTCGTTCCTAACTGAAAATGTCAAACCTCAAGATCGTACAACTTTCCGTACGCAGCTTGGAAGCTTGATCGAGGTCGTGGATAAATATAAGAACGGCACAAAGGTGGCCAAATGGGCCACTATTGCCGATCTCTTAGCCCGCTATCGGGATACGGAGATTCTTTTCGGCGAGGGTGGAAGCATCGAAGAACGCGTTTTGAGGCTACGTGAAGAGCACAAAAACGATCTTGGGCGTGTTGCGGCGTTGGTTTTGAGTCATATGAAGGCTCAAAGCAAGAACAAGCTCATTCTGCCGCTGCTCGAGATCGTCAAGTCCGGCGGGTCCTCAGCCACTACCCTTGAACCCCGCCTCGTCGAAATTATTCGGGATCTTGCGTCGCTAGACAGCAGGTGCGTAAAGTTTTAGTGAGTGCAGCGATTTACTGACTCGACTATCTCAGATCAACAACCGCCGTCTCGTTGAAAGCTCGCGAGGTCCTTATCGCTGCACAACTTCCTTCATACGAAGAACGTACTACACAGATGGAGCAAGTCCTTAAGGCGTCTGTTTCAGGAACTGTTTATGGTGAGCCGAGCGCCAGTGGCATCAGGTCGGTGTGATTACTTTCTGCAAATGCCGCAGTGGTCTAAATGCAGTCATACAGACAACCATCCGCTGAAGTCCTGAAGGAGCTCAGTGACTCTCGCTGGATCGTCTACGATGTTCTTCCTACTTTTTTCAAGCACCCTGACCCTTCCGTTGAGCTGGGTGAGTGTTGTTGCCCTTTGATCTGATTGAGTTTGGCTCACTCTGCCTTTAGCCGCGTATGAAGTCTATGTGAGGCGAGCGTATCGAGCATACACGCTTCTTTCTTTGGACTACGAGGAAGGAGATGGTGAAGATGAGGCACCAAGCGCGATTACTTGGCGATTCAAACTTGGCCAAAGTAATTCTCCTCCGGTTACGCCAGCCATCACTCCAAAGACTAGTCCTTTTGCGTGCGTAAGGAGCATTGACATTCAGATTTAAGTACTCACGTCATACGTAGGGAGAAGCAACGAGCGGGTTCCGTCAGTGATCTCACCTACATGATCCCCAAGAGTTCCATTGAACCTATTCGAACCGGAGTTATTTCAGCGTTCCCTAATGCCAAGGCACTCAGGGATGGCTTCTTCAACATTATCCACCTCCTTCCCCCGTTTTCCATTGACGAGTTCAGGCAACGCCACGGCAGTGATGCTCAAGCGCCCAACGTTGTCTACATACCTCTTCGTATCTTTGAGCCAGAAGATGATCAAGATAATAGTCAGTGGAGGGAAACTGTCCTGCGGCTTGTCCGGGCGCACGAGAAGCAGCTCGACGCCCGTGGTGTTCGCCGTGTCACTTTCATGCTCTGTCGCCGTGGGCAGTACCCATGGTACTACACTGTTCGTAAGATGGAGTCGGGATGGGGCGAAGAGGAATCTATCCGAAATATCGAACCTGCCTTAGCCTATCAATTGGAGCTTGGTCGTCTCTCAAATTACAAACTTACTCCGTGTTTCGTCGAGAATCGACAAATCCATATCTACCACGCTGTAGCACGAGAGAATCAGTTCGACAGTCGGTTCTTTGTTCGCGCACTAGTTCGTCCAGGACGCCTTCGCGGGACAATGAGTACCGCCGAATACCTCGTTTCTGAAACAGATCGCTTGGTTGGGTCGATTCTCGATGCTCTCGAGATCGTCACCGCCCAACACCGTAACACCGACTGCAACCACATCGCCCTCAACTTCGTGTACAATCTCCAGGTTTCTTATGAAGAAGTACTCCAGGCTATTGCTGGATTTATCGACCGACACGGCAAGCGCCTCTGGCGTCTACATGTCAACGGTGCCGAAATTCGCATTGTGCTTGAAGACTCTGACGGGATCGCCACTCCCATCCGAGCTGTTATCGAGAACGTCTCAGGTTTCATTATCAAGTACCACGGATACCAGGAGATCACGACGGAGCGTGGCCAGACGATTCTTAAGTCGATCGGGGATAAAGGACCCATGCATCTTCAACCTGTACATCAACCTTTCCCCACGAAGGAGTCTCTGCAGCCGAAACGCTATCAGGCACACCTTGTTGGCACCACCTACGTATACGATTTCCCCGACTTATTCCAGAAATCACTCTACAACATATGGTCTGATCTTAAGCAGCGAGACCCGTCGGTTATTGTGCCTAAGGGCGTCCTGGAGTCGCGGGAACTTGTCCCTGATGAGAATGACGAGCTTCAGGAAGTTGATCGGCCTGCCGGTAATAATACTATTGGCATGGTAGCATGGGTATTTACCCTCCTCACACCGGAATATCCTCGCGGGCGACGGGTGGTGGTAATCGCAAATGATATTACGCACAGGATTGGCTCCTTTGGACCTGCAGAGGATGCGTTCTTCCACAAAGCAACTCTTTATGCCCGCGCTCATGGGCTTCCTCGCGTCTACTTGTCCGCAAACTCAGGGGCCCGGATTGGCATTGCCGAAGAGACTCTAGGTCTCTTTTCCGTTGCCTGGAATGTCCCAGGTCATCCTGAAAAAGGCATCAAGTACATCTACCTTACACCCGAAGCCAATGAGAAATTGAACGAGAAGTACTCTGGCAGTGTTCGTAGCACAGAAATCGAAGAGGAGGGAGAGATTCGCCACAAAATTACCGATATCATTGGCAAACAAGACGGCCTTGGTGTCGAATCATTGCGTGGCTCAGGCTTAATTGCCGGGGAGACGTCCCGTGCTTACGATGACATCTTCACCATTACTCTTGTTACCGCACGTTCCGTCGGCATTGGCGCGTACCTCGTCCGTCTTGGTCACCGATCCATTCAGGTTGAAGGGCAGCCTATCATCCTCACAGGTGCTCCGGCCCTCAACAAAGTTCTCGGCCGCGAAGTCTACACGTCTAACCTCCAGTTGGGCGGAACCCAGATTATGTATAAGAATGGGGTTTCTCATTTGGTTGCATCAAGTGATCTTGATGGAACGACAAAGATACTGATGTGGCTAGGCTACGTCCCTGATGTCAAAGGCGGCCGTCTCCCAATTACCTCGCCCATCGACGGTTGGGACCGTGATATTTCGTACTATCCTCCTAAGGCTCCTTACGACCCTCGATGGTTCCTCGCTGGTAAACAAGATGAAACGACAGGTCAATTCCTCTCCGGGTTTTTCGACGCGAACTCCTTCCAGGAGACTCTTGGTGGGTGGGCCCAGACTGTGGTATGTGGAACCCACCATTCCCGTAACAACTTCAGTTTCATTCTATGATCATAGGTTGTCGGACGAGCACGGTTAGGCGGCATTCCTGTTGGTGCCATCGCTGTGGAAAGTGAGTATTCGTCACACAGTCAAGCCTGACCTAATCTCGTCTTTGTAGCCCGCACCATTGAGAAGGTTATTCCCGCTGACCCTGCCAACCCTGCATCCTTCGAGCAGCGCATCATGGAGGCAGGTCAAGTATGGTACCCTAACTCGGCGTATAAAACCGCTCAAGCTATCTTCGACTTCCAACGAGAAGGTCTTCCCCTGATTATCTTTGCCAACTGGCGTGGATTCTCCGGAGGCCAGCAAGATATGGTACGCCCTCACTACTGCATTCGTTCAATGTTGCCACCTTACCCACCTGCTTCCGAAGTATGATGAAGTTTTGAAGCAAGGGTCGAAGGTAGGAGAAATTCCACATTTACATTGATAGTAGCTTACACTTGAAATAGATTGTCGATGGGCTTTCAAGCTACAGACAACCTGTTTACGTTTACATCATGCCGAATGGAGAATTGGTGAGTTCTCTATCCGATTATTCCGTTCACTGTGACTCATTCCGCGCAGCGAGGAGGAGCGTGGGTTGTCCTAGATCCATCAATTAACCCCGACCACATGGAAATGTACGCGGATGTTGAATCTCGTGCTGGCGTTCTCGGTGCGTACTCAGCGATTGAGTGGGCTTGTTATCATTTTCTTGACATTTTGGTACCAGAACCTGAGGGAGTTGTCGAAATTAAGAGTAAGCACATCGGCTTATAGGGTTGATCATCGATGCTGACAACTATGAAGTCCGTCGTGACAAGATTCTTGCTCTAATGGACCGCCTTGACCCAGACTACTCCGCATTCAAGAAGGCAAGCAAGGATGCTGCTCTATCAGAGCAGGAACGCGCTCAGGCTGCCGAGAAGCTTGCGGCACGCGAGAAGCACCTGCAGCCAACATTCCAGCAGCTCGCCCTCCTGTACGCTGACCTTCACGAGTAAGTTCAGCAACCTTTCGAGATGGCTTCCGCTTGACACAGTTCCTAGTCGTGCGGGACGCATGGAGGCCAAGGGGTGCGCGAAACCAACAGTTTGGACGAATGCCCGCCGGTACTTCTATTGGGCACTGCGAGCCAAGTTGCTTCGTCTAAACTTTATCAACCAAATCATTGGCGCTTCACCTGCGACCACCCGAGATGAAGCTGACAAGATTCTCTTTACCCTCCTCCCTCCTACCCTCAACACTAAGGATCATCGTGCCGTAGCCGACGCCCTCGAAACAATCAGGATCGAGCCTACGCTTGTGGAGTTGCGCAGCGCCGCTATTGCTCAGCAAATCAGAGACCTTCTTACCTCCGATAACCGAAAGGCGACCGTAACCGGATTGATAAATGTCGTTGATTCTCTCAACGACGAAGAAAAGATTTTGCTGCAAGCTGTCCTAAGCAGATCGGGCTTGGACACAGGTTCGTGAAACTCCCGACTATCTAGATAGTACTACATAAACAGCGATGCACTTTAGGTCCCCCTTCATACTCATAGACGCCATCATGCTTCACGCTTACACCGATTACTGCATCACATAATGTTAGACAACAGTACTTCCATTGTACCCTTATTTCCGTTGCCCTCCTTTTATTGATGATATCGTGTACTCGTCTCGATGTCGCGTCACAAACATCTGCACTCCATTAAATCGCAACATATTCCTCATTCCCATGCAAAGTGGATTTGTGCATGTATAACATAACACCAAGCAGCGCGATTGACATCGCATATATACTGCTCAACTGTGCAACAATCCCCTGCAAAAGCTCCGCTCTTGATCATTCCTTAGCCTAGACCATGGCATTGTAAGCAGCTCTTATGGACGGGGGTTAGTTATCTGGTGTATGTTAAAGGTTTTGCGAGTATAAAGGCGAAACCCAAAGGGTGTTGGGAAACTCAACCCGTTACTTGAGCTCGGCAATGAAATGATAATCTCATCCGAATCGCCAGCACCAAAATGCCAACTGAAGGTGTGAAACTAAAAGCATTACCATTAGGGAGTTTGGATCCTCCATCAGGCGAGAAGAGCAGAAGTAACTGTTCCCAAGACGTACCTGGTACAACGACGAGCGAAGCGAACAGTGAGAGGTGAAATGAGGGGGGGGATGTGGAAAGAGCATTGAGGTGTTGGAGTTGGAGTTCATGGTGGAACTGAGAGACGCTTATCGTTTGGCAGAGAAGGAAGATCGATGATCCAAGCCGGCATAACTATTTCGCGTGTCCGACGACCGTGATCGAATGAGATGTGTTGGTGTCGATTTGTAAACGATGGCGCCGGAGTTGGAAGTGAAGGGATCGAGGGAGCAATAAGAGAGACGTATAATGGGGGGGGAAAGGATCAATGGGTGTTATACGTTATTTTGGACCGGTTGTGCCCCCCGTCGGGTTGAAGAACGGGCACGCGTACTTGTACGTTTAGCTCTGGATGGGAAACGGACGGGAGCGAAAAGTCCCCGAAGAAAAAAGATTAAGGCATTCTGCCGTTGCAGGTGAATAACCAGGACTCGGATCCAGCCTCATGTAATAGGCTCTGAATCGCTTTGGCAGACGCTCTTGCAAATTCCCAAGATAACACTAATTTCACGCAGTCATGGGTACAGTATGATTGCTGATTCTCGACAGGATTTCATTGGTTGAGGATTTCTACCTCGACCCTCTGTTCCTCTTTCCAAGAATGGTATATATATAGAAAGATGATCCCCGCGAGAACCTCGAGCGCCTACCATCAGACAAGAAAACAAGCAACTTGTTTCTGACGAACCCTTGCTGAACAGCGAAGGTCAAGATCAGGTGCAGTGTCCGACTACGATAGATCATGGTATGTTCAATGCTGCATTAACTTGAAGGCATCCGGGGGAGACTAGAAACACGTAGGAAGTTTCAGGTATCTCGGCGATCTTCCACTCGGTTTCCAAAGCACCAAAACGTAAAGCCATAGACCCATCCCAAGGAGCCCGCGTCCAGGCTAGGGTGAAGTTATGTGCAATCCGTCGGTTTGATCGGAATCGACCCGAAGGGAAGGGGAAAAGAACCCTGTAGCAATCCAGAAATCTGTGGCGAAGGGAAGGGAAATAAACAATCTTCAAGGACAATGAGGATGTTCACTCCCATCAACGCTACTCGTTGGCCGCCGGAACTGATCTGTATCCCCAAGTGTTCAGACTGTGGAGTATGTGGCACCACTTGCGTCATTGGCCATTCTTTGCTTCAAATCATTAAGTCAGCATTCCTGGGGAGAACAGACCCAGTCGCCTCGGCCAAGTTCAGAACATAAACACGTTGAGCTGCAAGCTTGACACCAAATTTCCTCAGGCTTGGCTAGCCCTTCCAGGCAGCTAGGCCCCAGATAACACTGTACCGTTACGCCAGTGAAAACTATAGCGTAACATGGCAGTCGAAATTGCAGACAGAGAAGGGAGGGGCTTGGTAAGGAAGGTGCCGACCTGTTGTTTACGCTTCCAGCGTCGAACATTGTTTCCGCACTTATTTCTGACGGCTCTTTCCATCCGACGCCCGCGAAATACGCCCAGGGGCAAACGAGCGACTGAGAAGGCGTTCTCAGCTGCTCTCGAGCTGTAGCTACGCCCCATGGAATCTTCCATAATGCTCAAGCCCAAATGGGTCCCCATAGAGCAGCTAAAGCCGGGCGAAAAAAGGAGGCAGAAAAAGCTCATAGGGCTCTGTATTAACCTAAGTCCTGAGATCATGGACAGGTTGATACGGAGCTATGGGCCGTATCCTCTGTTCTGGAGCTCCAACGTGCATGCTATGGTGAGTAACGCCTCCATGTTCGACCTGGAGAACCTGAAAACCACTAATTTTTTCATCGTCAAACCAGGTTCAGGAACTTGAGGCGGGAGAGCAAGGTAGTTCGGAGGGGGTGAAAGGACCGGCGTTCACGGTCACCCGCAGACGGCATCCCATGGGCCTCCATTCCAGGGAGGCAGTCAGGGACGCCATTGAGATGTACCCACCACCAGTGAGGCACAATGTCAATCAGCCGCTGGGATGTTGCGTTGGTTCCCCAACGATGTGTGCGGTCCCTTTCCAATCCTACCCACCCACCCACTCTATGCTGTGGATAAGACCTCAGCCTTTCCCCATTCCGCCGCCGCCGCCGCCGCCACCCATACCACTGCCATCGTCTCTTCCTTCGCTTCCGCGTACTCAGATCCTTGTGAGTTTACCTAGTATTGTTGCATGAATCTCTTGAATAACAGTATTGGGTTGCACCGGCCAGGATGATGAGTACATTCCGGCCGTTCACGGTCACACACCAAACACCCTTGGCGCGATAGGTTCGCACCTTCCCACGAGGAGGAACTTATGAGCGCGCAAACCTGGCGCTGACCGCGAAGTGGAAGTTCACCCACTCCGGCAGCGCAGCCAATATATCGAGAGACAATCTCCTCCCTTCCAGTCAACTTATGCTTCATCCTCTTGTAACACGTCAAAGCCTTGCACCAAGGCGCTTCCGATCTCGGAGCGTTGGAGTGTGAGCGTTGATTCGGGTTATGTTTGTATATGTCAAAGAGGTAATGATCTGTTTAATACAACTTTGATTTTGCGCAGTCCTCAGCCTGGGCGTTCGTGAATCGCTCCGACGATGAAGGTGTGCTGTAATGGCGACTGTAGGAGAGAAGGGGGACCTTTGCGTTGGCGTTCCAATTCCTGGAAGCTAGCTTTATTTACAAACCCGCTGACTGATTGTACCCGAGATCAATATTCGCTTCTCGGGCTGTTTCGCGTCCGATATCAACTCGCGTGAGTTCTTTTGGGATGCATGTACTTTGGTGATCATGTCAGGTGTCCTCCTGCTAATCCCACACACTTATTAGCTCATTGGCCCAAGAGTGGTGCAGTATCGCAAGAACCCTAGCCTGGAAATTTGTTCAAGCGAAGTCACAGCGTCATCGCTGGCTGTAACGTTCATCCGCCCGGCAGCTCGAATGTAACGTGAGGTTCCTGGCGTTGGGTTGAAGGAGGCCACCTGCAACATGCCAATCGGCGCATGCTTGCGGATCTTGACATTAATTCTGCAACTTGAACTTGATCATGTTAACGTACCCCGGCTTCCGGCTTCGGCACTTCCAGCCAAATTGAAGGGGAATCGCGCAACGGCTCGATCACCGCCCGAATTACTCGAAAGCCAGCCACCGAAAATATTCGGGTGTCACGATCCAATTCTGTTGAGAGTGATGAGTCCGAGCGCTTTTACGTAAAGCAGGGAGGAAAGCTGCGGCTCAGTGGTGCGTGGTCCCAGGGAGACAGATGTTCGGCACGAGCTACAAGTTAATTCGTTGCGTCAGAAGCCAGTCGAAAAATAGATAGTTTCTGTCGCCTTTAGATCTCGTTGAGGATTTCGTGATGAAAATAGTGTATCACGAACGTGGCACGGTCTATGATCAGCAAGCGCTTTTTTGTTCCTTCTGACGAACTTGCTGAACAGCCCTTGCAAGGTCTTTGGTTCGCTGCGACAGCAATCTTCCGCATACCACTGGCATAGTTGTATCGAGTGAGTACCCGACTGCAATGGATCACAGTACCTTCACGGGAGAGAGGGCGTCCGGGAAGATAAGGAGTCATTGCGGCGTCGTTGAAAGCGCGGCACAGGTGTTCAGGAAGAACAGGACCGAGCTTACAATGCAAAGATTCATGAAGCCGCCCGAGTACTTCAGGCGGCTAGGACAGTCAGTGGATCTGTCAAAGGCTGCTACTGAACTTCGAGCTCGGAATCACATCTATATGGAATGAGCCACCGAAAAATAATATACTTGTCACGGGTTCATGAATTATATGTCTGACTTGTCTGACTTGATCGACATACTTAGGTCCGGGTTCAAATTTTATATTACGAATGTCGAAGTCACGTTCTGCTTTCAATACAAAGGATCACATGTTACACGGGGATAAACCCAAGTCCGATCACCTACTCCATTCTGGGAGTGGCAACACGCTTAGGCATTTGCCGAAGTCTGAGAAAACAAGTCTGGAGGTTCCCAGACAGTTACTTTGCTATGAAGTCGGCACCCAAGCCTGTGTTGGGATTAACTACTTATATATTACTTCGCATGCAACAAAAGCGTCGGGTGTTGCGGTCTAGGTGGTGGAGTGTCAGCATGTAGTTTTCATTTTGAAGCTATGGGTTCGATTCCCACTAGGGGTAAATCTTGTTTTTTTTTGTTTTGTTTTTGTTTTTGCATTCCCATGTGGTTGCAGTGGAAATTTTTTATGCACAATGCCAGTAAATTAGGAAAAAATAGAACCGAATCCATGCCTTCATATAAGTATTCAGGCCCAGCTTGGAACACAATAAAAAGATGTACACAGTGGGAGTCGAACCCATGCCTTCAAAATAGAAACCACAAATCAGCACTCTACCACCTGGACCACAACACCCAATACTTTTGTTGCATGCGAAGTAATATATAAGGGTTGGGTTGGGTTGGGTCGTTTATCCCGTGTAACATGTGACTTTTGTATTGAAAGCAGAGCGTGACTTCTACATTTGTAATACAAAATTTGAATCCGGACCTGAGTATGTCGATCAAGTCAGACAAGTCAGACATATAATTCATGAGCCCGTGACAAGTATATTATTTTTCGGTGGCTCATTCCATACATCTAGCAATTCATTTTGGACCTTATTTTCATTGTACCCCAGTCAGTCACTTTCATTGATGATATCATGTGCTCGTCAACAAGCATCTATCATTCTCATGCAAAGTGAGTGCATTCGTGTGTAACACCAAGCAGCCCGATCAAGCACCGCACAAATACTCAACTGTGCCAATTTTGATCGTTCCCCAGCTCGAGGCATGACATTGCGGGTGGGCCTGTGGACGGGGGTTAGTTATCCGTTGTGTTAAATAAGGTCTTGCAAGACCTGCTAAATGAGGAGATTATATTACGCCGCCGTTCCGCCTGCTTGCTTGCATACATGTAGACCATCACTCGATTGAGGTGCTTCATTTTTTATGACTGTCTACGGAATGACTTTGTTTCTTGGCCTTGACCTCTCAACTCAGAGTTTGAAGGCTGTCGTAACCAATCAACAGGACATTGTGGTGTGCGAAAGGACCGTCAATTTTGACGAGGATCTTCCCCAGTACGGAACCGTCAATGGCGCTATCAGTGGGACAGAAGAGGGCGTCATCACCTGCCCCGTTGCGCTCTGGATCGAAGCACTTGAACTTGCAATGGACAGCCTGAAGGATGCTGGTGTGCAACTGAACTCGATCGTAGGTGTTTCAGGTGACGCGCAGGTGGGTTTGTTCAGGCGTGATCGAACAACGAGACAATGATCTCAAACACGCTGGCGTTAAGCAACATGGAAGCGTGTACTGGTCGCACACTGCTGCGGGGCGACTCGCCAATCTCGACCCATACCTCCCTTTGCGCTTACAACTCATTCCCGAAGCCTTTTCTCAAACTCGAGCGCCAATTTGGCAAGATTCCTCCACTCGTGAGGAGTGCGACATTATTGAGGCTGCTGCAGGCGGCCCCCAAATGCTCTCTGACTTAACGGGAAGTAGAGCATATGAACGTTTTACAGGTAGCCAGATCCTCAAAGCAAGCATCCCCTTCTGGCGCCAAAAGCTACAGTAACGCTGACTGATTCCTCAAGGTTTGTCGACGTACCCCAAAGATCTACGAAGCTACAGCGAGGATATCTCTTGTCTCATCCTTCCTTGCAACCCTGTTCCTCTGTCAATTCTCCCCACTCGAGGTCGCAGACGCAAGTGGAATGAATCTGATGAACGTAACGACCAGAAGATGGGAAGAGAGTCTTTTGCAGCTATGCGGTGGACCTTCATTACGAGAGAAACTCGGCGAGGAACCCCTTTTAGGTGGCACCATCATTGGCAAGATCGGCGTTTGGTGGGTCAAACGATATGGGTTTCATCCAGGTGGCCCTTCTCTCCACCCCATACCCGTTACGACAGTGGATTGATTTAACTTTTAAACAGATTGTATAGTTTCCCCTTTCACGGGGGATAATCCAGCAACCATTGTAACACACTCAAGCCCCGGAGACGCCATACTATCGTTAGGGACGTCCACTACACTTCTCATTTCCGTGCCCGCCCCTTCTCAGAACTCGCCGGCCCCCGCGTGTACGACAACATCTCATATACTTGCTCATCCTACTATCGGGATGGGTAGCATTATCATGCTGTGCATTAAAAACGGTGCTCTCACCCGAGACCTGATTATGAAGAAGTACGCTGGATCGTGGGAAGCTTTCAATGCACAAATCCTTTCGCGGCCCACCGGTAACGAAGGTTGCTTGGGCTTCTACTTCACGTTGAAAGAGATCATACCGGATGGTGTGGTCGGGGACCATTTCTTCGTTAACGGTCAGAAACTGGGTTCAGATGAAACATCGAGGTTTCCCGAGACGGCCCATGCACGAGCTGTCCTAGAATCACAGCTTCTTTCGATCAAAAATCGGATGGGGGGAATCCTTCAAGGCGGTATGTCGTCTTTGGAAAGGTGCATATTGACAGGCGGCGCTAGCGTGAATCCTGTCATCCGCTCAATGGCCGCAGACATACTCGGACTCCCAGTGTATGTAGCGCCACATGGAATTGGGAACTCGGCCGCTGCAGGTGGTGCTATTCTTGCCAAGTATGCCTGGTGGAAGGCAAGCAACACCGACGCTGGCAATTCCATCACGGGGCTTAGGCCGACAGACACCACTCCAGCAGTCAGGAAGCACACCGGCGACAGGGAGGAATGGACATTCGAACAGATGAGGAACACAACTGGTGGGCTAGCCGTGGAATGGGTTGCCGATCCTGACCCAGTGAACGTCGACGTCTACAATAGGATGGTGGGGGAGTTTAGACGTTGCGAGGAGTTAATTGGCATGAGATTTTTCTTCCTGATTTTGGGGTTTTGTTACAAGCTGGACGACATGTGTTGTATATCTCTTCATAGTGAACAATAATGGCACGTACAATCACAAACAACACATACAGTATCCATACTAATGGCAAAAAGAGAAGGCTTGTACATTTACATAAGAAACCGTCGGACAGGGAAAAGCTGGGTCAATAGACACTGTGACATCCCTCATTAAGCGATGTTTGAGTCATCTCGGAGGGGTTGTTCTGTGGTAATATCGGTGAACCGCGGTAGCCCTATGAGTGGCACCGTTGCTCCTGCCCTGGTGACTGGATTGGGGCGCCATCGATACCCTCCTTTACTGCAGGATGAAATAGTTGGTCGCGTATTAATCAGCGAATGTTAAGCTTGCGTACGCTTATCAGCGACCAGCATGGAGGTACTCAGTGTTGACGCAGCACTTCTAGCAATACCACCCTCTCCATAACTTGTGGCTTCCGACGCATTATCGCTGTATAGAACAGAGGATAAAATCTCGCTCGGATTGAGCGTCTCCCCTTCCGTATCATAGTCAGACGTATCGGTTGAGCCTTCAGTCCCAGCGCCGGCGAGAGGAGACGCCATCTGAAGTTGATCCTCTAAACTGCGAATCACAGCACGAAGCTCCATCGCCTGCGCAATGGCACTTTCGGCCTTTTCTTCAGCCGCCAGAGCGGCGGCACGGAGTCTGTCAATCGCGGAGTTAGCCACGCACCATCATTGCAAGGGCGACGGAAACCACCTTATGCATTCTTCCTCTAGAAGCCAAATAGATTCCATATCCTGGAGAGAGGGACGGGGAGATGTCAAGTGCTTCGTGCAAGCAATTGATTAGCCGAGGGTGGCCAAGGAAATGATTGACTGAACCTACGCTAAGTCTTAACGCGGCACCAAGATGTTCTTGCTCAGTAGTCAAATCCCTCACGTCCGGACCAAGATCTTCAATCTGCCTCCTCACATCCAACAGCGCACCAGGGACCTGGCGCATCGGGGTAGAAGACCCTGGTTTCCTCATCCTAGCAAGTTCTTCAATACCTCGGATCGTGCGTACGAGTTCACATCCTGAATACTCACGTTCCAGTGGGAGGTGTTGCAGGGAGAAACACTGAAGAAACGCGGGGTCGTGATGTATTAGCCTCCGTTTTTGGACTGGGTCTCTGGGATTCGGGGGTGGAGAAAAATGGAAGAGGCTCAGGAAGTTTAATAGGAGAGTCCAGCATTTTAGGCGTTGCTGGGTTCGATATGATGTGAGATTCAGCTCGTGTGGCCATAGTAGGAAAAGTAGCATCGGATGCGGCACTGGCGGTTGGCACCAGTTCCGGAGTTTCGAGGGAGGAGTGGTATCGAGGGGTTTCCTCAGCAGAGGGTGGTGCATGACTCAATTTGCGAGCTTTAGCTGCATCTAACTATGGAATACTCAGCCTTCGTATCCTCGTTCCTTACTTTAAATTGGTCTCCTACCTCTTGACAGAGAAGCTCAATCTCTCTCTCAAGGGCTCGGTTTCTGTCACTGGCTTGCGGGAGAATTGATAGTGCCTCGCCGTTAGATGCCCGAGAGTCTTCAACCCCCGAGTCTCCGGTCTTGCTTGGCCCGAACCCGTTGAGGATGAGCTCTTCCAATTCGGCGTCCCTACGGGCAACCATGGCGCGAAGAGTATCGATCTATCCCGATACTGTGTGATGAGTGTCCACGATTGGCAGAATGTCAGTATATAAACGAACCTGAGCCTTTGTTACATTTTGGATATTAGTTCGCAATTTCTTTTCTTCCTCCAATGCATCAGTGAGGGAATGAACAACCTGGTCGTGCGATATTCCATTAATAGCCTCATTATTGATGCGTAACGATTCTGACGGCTCTACACCAACTCATTTCTCAGTTGCATCTCTGCAAACAACAGCTTAGCTTACCCGTCAGATAACTGATCTGCAAGGCACTGTGGGACAAAGAATGGAATCCGTTCGCAAGTTCCACTACAGCAGCATCAAGTAGGTGTTAGACTGCTGGGCCAATAAGTCCGGCTTAGAAGTCCGGCTTGAACGTGCAGACTAACCCTTCTCAATGAGGCTCTCCACTGCCTCTCGCATATCATCGTACTCCGATTTCACTTCCGTCAGCCTAGCCTGTAGACGCAAGACCTTCTGTTCAAGCATGTAATTAGATCGCTTCAATTGCGCAGTCTCTGCATTATGAGATAGCTGGAGCTGATCAAGGGCATCGAGTGTTGTAAGGAGTCGATGATGAAATTGAGACGCCTTCACTTCCAAGATGGAGCGTTCCGTCCGGAGCAGAGACATCTGTAGTCATGCCATTAGCAAAAGGGGGACATTTGTTGATTCCCATACCTGCTGTTCCTGTTCCCTTATCTTGTCGGCGACATTTTTAGGTATGGACATACGAACGCGAGCTCTGCACGCGATTAAGGTATAGTTCGAGGTTGATTGTGATACAAAATTATGCTAGTAGAAATCGTGCGCTTCAAAGCAATTATACGCAAGACATATGATGACAGGAATAGGATCCCGAGGCGTAGTTTCTCGAGCGCGTCCTAAGCGCTCGAGGGAAGGCAGTACTTGATTGAACCGAAGGCCAAATTGCATGTGACTGTTTTTTCCCACCTCCCATGATCAGATTCATTCTTGTCCAGGCAAGCGCCTGTCGTTGGCTGACATGATTATACTGCTGACCCTGCCCACCAGAATCGCCAGGGTAAAACGCGGCTATCCAAATGGTATGTTCCATTCGAGGATGACGAGAAGGTTCGTTGATCCCTTTTGTTTTTGTTGCAATTGTCCCTTATTTATGCGTAGGTGCGATTAAGAGGGGAAGTTCATCGTTTAATTGCCCCTCGGGATCAAAAGTATCAGTCAAACTTCGTGGAAGTAAGTCCATCAGCGTTCAAAATTCTCGCTACAGAGCAGCTCACAATATTGCAGTTTCGTAATTACAAGATCGTGTACAGAAGATATGCTGGGCTTTTCTTCTGTGTCTGTGTGGACTCGAATGATAACGAACTGGCGTACCTTGAAGCAATACATTTATTTGTGGAAGTACTGGGTACGCGTTCAGGATCGATTGTCAGGGAAGAGTCAATGAATGAGTTCGCGTCTAGATTCATTCTTCTCCAACGTTTGCGAGCTGGATCTTGTCTTCAGTTTTTATAAGGTATGAGGGTCTCAGATGGGGACCACCACATCTGACAACAAAGTTCAGGTGTATGCCATTCTCGATGAAGTCTTTCTCGCAGGAGAGGTCGAAGAAACAAGCAAAGAGGTGGTACTAGGACGATTAGAGCAGCTCGAGAAACTGGAATGATTATCAGTCTGCTATGACTTCCACTTCAGAGCCAGCGTTACTCGGTCCTCGCATCGTACAGACAAACGTCAACTGCCCATCGTCTTTGATATCCTTACAGTGTATCTAATACAGCATTATTGTGCAACCTCATACCCTACGATTCAGCCATCTGTTTCTGCCGACTTCAAGTCCAAAGTATTCTCATCGACGTCATTCGCTCCGGACTCCACTGGCTCTTTGAATGCTGTGTCACGCTGAACACCTTTTTTCTGTATTGCTGCCTCCGTAATAACGCCCCCAGCATTGAGATATTCGAAGTCGGGTCCAGGGTACGAATCGATGAAAGAAACCCATTGGGAAAAGCTGCATCGGTCAAAGTCAGCCCCATCGAACGCAGACGCGGTTTGGAGCCGAAATCTCACATGTGCGACTTGGTGTCTTCCTCCCTCATCCGCGAGTAAATCATGCGGACCTTAAACTCATCGATGATTTCCCGGTGCTTCTCTAAATCGATAACGTCTCTTATAATATCATTTCTGGATAGATTCCCCTTGTGTCCTTGTTCTGATCCCGTTTTCGATGTCGATGTTCTGACGTGTTCATTGGATTCTTCGACCTTTTTATTGTACACCCCGAATTGGGGTTGTTCGAGCAATAGACCAAGGGCCGGGGCTTTTGGGACATGGATACGAGTTTGTTCGAACGTCTTTTGGGGGACGGTCAGCTCCGCCATTGGGGCTGATCAGGATCAGTAAGGGAGACACACTTTGACGATGAGGTTTGGTGATGTTCGGGTTCGTGCTGCGAGTATCACGAGCCCAACCATTTTGCGCTATCATTCCAAGAAAGCGATGTGTCAGGGCCAAAAGGATGGACCAGCCAGAACAACATCAACTGACTATCTACCATGGGCTTTATTAGTCACTGGTCTTGTGATGCATCAGTGCTACACTCACTTGGTGTAGCATGAAACTTTGTCCATGAAACCTCAGGCTTATCCATTCCAGACCATCGTACACACGGGGTCCTCGAACCTACATAGTGTTGCCAAGACATGGTGTTAGTCATCTAGGATCTGCAACGAACTCGCCCTGCTACACACATCGATGTTGATCATATATCGCTTCGAGCTGTTGTCTACAAAATCCCTTCCAATGGTGTAATTGTGGAAGTTGTGTGTTCCTTCGTACTTTTTCAAGAGTAACCGGACACGCGTGATGTCCTCTATCGAGGCACGAAAAGATCTTCGTATCTCGTCGAGTATTTCGTGCTCGGGCGGTTCTAGTGGCAGGTCCCATGGAGGCTCCAATGGCGGCAAGGTGAGCTCTTTGTTTACTCGATTGACGGTTTTGGCGAGTGCGCTGGAAGGGAATGGCGGCATGAGCATGTACGATGGGAAGAGGTATTCATAGACACGGCTATTGCATGATCTGGAGGCGAATCATGTGAATAAGGTGAGCTTGAGCTAAGGTGTCCTGACGAGAAAGCGAGTCTCACATTCGGGCGCTGCAAGTCAACAGTCATTGGGGTGACACAGTAATGTGATGCAATCCACCCACTTGAAGTTGTTATTTGTCCTAACAATATCCCACACCCGTATCTCAGGAGGCAAGAAGGTATTGATGTGAGACACCAGCTCTACTCCTGCTTCTACTAGCGACGGGATCTGTGTAATCAATTTGAGAGAAATTGCGTTGCAAGCAGCGTGAACGCCTGCATCCGTACGAGCAGCTCTGGCAAAGGCCACCTAAACTATATGTGCATCTCATAAGGCAACTTGATGTGGGGGAGGCGGTCCATACCTTCGTGGAATCGTCTGAATTGTCTTCGCTCACTCCTCCAGCTTTAACTAGAGCCTCAAAGAGTGATCCTTCAATAGTTTTTGCGCCTTCGCAGTCGTTTTGACTATAAGTGTACAAAATGTCAACGTGTTCCTCAGCGATATATAATTCTCGTAACCCACATCTGCATTCCGTTGTACCCAGCACCGCAGAAACCTATCAGCATCACGCATTTCTTCTTTGGCAAACGTTCCTTCTTCAGTTCATTGGGATCAGATCTTGGTGCGTTTCCCAGGTCTCCATCGAATCCGATCCCCGATTCAGCGGCAGCTCGTACCTGGGCATCTTGCCGCCATCGATCTCGTTTGCCCTTCCGGCCAAAGGCCCATACGTCTGCTTTTTTACTTTTCTGCTTCCCATTAGGGGGTCCACCAGGTGTGTGAGAAGCTGCTGGCATGGGACCACACGCGTCTGTGTTGGACGATCCTTCAGGAGTATCATGTGGCTCTTCCCGTGATCGTTTACTAGGACTTGAGGTAGCATCGCCTGAGACCTCTGTTTCGTCCCTGAATCTTTTCGGTGGAAGTTGTGTTGTCTCCATTGCCCATAGGCGACAATGGGGACGGACCAGGGCGATCAACCGCGAAGCGGCGGTATGAAATTGCATGAGTCAGTTTGGGCCGCCGACATATAACTCCAAATACTCTCGGATACAGTAAAAGTAAGCACACCACACTGGCCTCTTCTGAACCGCTGCCTCCGCTGCAGAAAGAAAAGAAGGGCCTCAGGCATGGCGTTGACAAGCCATTACGGAAGACTAGCTTAGGTACTTATTCGATCGTGTCGGCCATCATTATTTAACCATAGTAAACCTTCTGTGTGTTTTGCTGTTGGCTCCGCACTGAGTACTTCCTTTCCTGAACGTATCACTAGACCCACGGGTGCTACTACATCGATGAACAAGCCTGACGATGATGCATATCAATGCTCATATCAGTCATTGATATTGCATTCGTCATGTGCTACGCTATTATGTTCAACATCTAGCACTTATTATTAAGTAATTCACATCTTATTTCCTTATCACTTTTGTCTGATATCTTCTTGTTACTTTAGCTACTTATATTACTTATATATGCCGCTTGTGCGGTTGCAATGTTATCAGAGATCTTTCCCCCGTCGTTCGTGTGTCCCCGCTGAAGTGCTACGTAACAATAAAGTGCCTGGTCCAATTCCGAACGGGAAAGTAAAGCAAAATTGCCTGCTTGCGATTACATACTGAGCGAGTTTGACCGTTTGTGGCGGTTGTGTGGGGGCTGATCGAGCGGCCGCCGGCGTTCGGATGCAAATTCACATCTCACTAAGCACTGACTTCAACTTGCACTGGCTTGCTCGTCACCACCGCTGATTCGCCGGGCTCATTATCTGCTACTCGGGCACTCGTTCTTTGATCTCTAAGCCTCTAAATACAAGCCCCTCAGATATCGTGGGGCTGCAGAGAGGAACACCTGCAAAGCAATTCTCATAGATTTATTGTTTTGCAGCTTTGGCCCTCTCTTCCGCACTTTCGTCTCTTCTAAGCTACAGGGCATCTCGCCCTTTGCCTCTATAATATCCCCTAGATATAATATAAATATCGACCGCAATGGCCACTCTCGCAGACACCTTGTCACGAACCCTGTCCTCCCTTGTTCCCACCTCTAAACCGCGACTCGAGTTGAATCCAAATTTATTCCCGGATGAACCACTTCAAGACTCGCTATCGCCAGATTCGAAATGCGAGCTACGGGTCGAAGGAATGACATGTGGTGCATGTGTGGAGGTAAGGGGTTTACATCGAACGTCACTGCATACTAATGACGAGATTTTACTGTTAGTCTATTGAGAGCATGCTTCGAAAACAAGACGGGATAGTCTCTGTTCGAGTCGCCTTGCTTGCGGAGCGCGCTGTGGTGCAATATGATCCTGCCAAGTGGACGGTGGAGAAGATTATGGGCGAGATTTCCGACATTGGTTTTGAACCTTCAGCTGTTCCCAACTCAAGTAAAGAAAGTGCTACCCTACGCGTATACGGCATGACATGCGCTAATTGCGTCTCAACTATCGAGAGAGAAATTTCCCTCCTTCCAGGCATCATTTCCATCGTTGTTTCCCTCGCACCGAGTCATGCAAAGTCGAGTTCGACCGCGGTATTATTGGTCCTCGTGATGTTATATACCGAATAGAGGAACTAGGATACGATGCGGTTCTAGCTGTTGATGAGGACGATAACACTCAAATCCTGAGTCTGATGAAGACGAAGGAGATCCAGGCATGGCAACGTCGTTTCTATCTTAGTGCAACCTTCGCAGTCCCAGTTTTTCTTCTCTCTATGGTCATCCCCATGATTAGCTTCTTGCGGCCCCTGTCCCGCGTCCGTCTCTTTCGTGGCATATACCTCTTCGACGTCTTATGCTTCTTCCTCACTATACCTGTTCAATTTGGGGTGGGAGCAAAATTTTTTCGAGCAGCTTACAAATCGGTCCGACATGGGTCAGCTACCATGGATGTATTAGTCATCACCGGCACGATGGCAGCTTTCACATACTCGACGATCAACCTCTTCGTTGCGCCATTCAACGCGGACCCTGACTATCGGCCTGCAACATTTTTCGATACCTCGACAATGTTGATTACGTTCGTATCACTCGGTCGATATATGGAAAATATGGCCAAAGGCAAGACTTCGGCGGCGTTGACAGATTTGATGAAGCTTACCCCTTCTATGGCGACCATTTACACCGATTTGGAGTGTACACAAGAGAAAAGGATAGGTACAGAGTTGGTACAAGTCGGTGACGTACTCAAGATCGTTCCTGGCAATAAAATTCCTGCGGATGGAAATGTCGTGAAAGGGTCTTCGTCTGTAGACGAAAGCGCAGTTACGGGAGAGCCTATTCCAGTAATGAAGCAAGTTGGCGATGTTGTCATCGGCGGAACTGTGAATGGGCTTGGTGCCTTCGACATGAGGGTCACCCGTGCTGGGAAGGACACAGCCTTATCACAAATAGTCAAATTGGTGGAGGAAGCCCAGACGTCAAAGGCACCCATCCAGGCGTTTGCGGATCGAGCAGCAGGATACTTTGTACCGGTTATCCTCTTCGTAGCCTTGATCACCTTCGCGGTTTGGATGGTTCTGTCACATTTCGTTGACACCGAAAAACTCCCTGCCGTATTTAGCCATTCTGGCTCGAGCAAATTCGCTGTTTGCCTCAAGCTTTGCATTTCGGTCGTTGTGGTTGCGTGCCCATGCGCGTTAGGCTTGAGCACCCCTACAGCTATCATGGTAGGGACCAGTGTTGGGGCGAGGCACGGCATTCTGATTAAAGGCGGACGACCGCTCGAGGCGAGCCGTTTCGTCCGGAAAATTGTTCTGGATAAAACGGGTACGATTACGAATGGCAAGCCGGACGTGGTCTCAGTGGCTTGGGCGGATGACACGTCTTCATTGAAGCCAGAATTGCCAACTATGCGTACAAGTGTTGATTTGTTCGCCTCGTCGGCACACAGCCAAGTCATGAGAGCTGGCGTGTGGGCGTTGGTCTCGGCTGTAGAAGCACGTTCGGAGCATCCGCTTGCGCTGGCCATAACTGCTCATGGCAAGGAGGCTCTGCGATCCCTGGGACCTTCTGCACCTACTGGCACGGTCAGTTCGTTTGAAAGCGTCACGGGAGAAGGGGTAGAAGCAGTGGTAGAGCTATCATCTTCCCCTAACCCCACCTTCAAGGTCTATATCGGGACAAGCAATTTTGTGATGCAATCTGGTGGCCGTGGCTCTCTTCCACACGACCTGGAGTTGTTCCAAACTCACGAAAACAGCAAGGGGCGTACAGTCGTGTTCGTTTCAATATCACAGAATCTGAAGGTATCCCCAGTCGCTGTTCTCGCTATCTCGCTCTCCGACACCGCCAAACCATCTTCCAAAATGGCAATAAAGAGCTTGAAAGAAATGGGGATTGACATTTACATGATAACCGGGGATTCGGAAGAAACTGCTCAAACTATCGCTCGGGAGGTTGGGATATCAAACTCCAATGTCTGGTCGAAAATGAGTCCAAAGGGAAAGGCAAAGATTATCCAAGGTTTGGTTGACATGAAAGAGGGTGGTGTTGCGATGGTAAGTTGGGTTCCTGTCGTGTTAACACAGCTCATGCCTAAACATACCACCGTAGGTGGGTGATGGTATCAACGACTCGCCAGCGCTGGTCGCTGCCGATGTAGGCATTGCACTCTCGAGTGGCACGTCCGTGGCTATCGAGGCAGCGGATATTGTTCTCATGCGATCTGATCTTCTCGACGTCGTCGCCGCCTTCGACCTATCCATATCCATCTTCCGAGTCATTCGCCGAAATCTTGTCTGGGCATGCGGATATAACATTCTGGGGATACCGCTGGCTATGGGAGTATTCCTCCCTTGGGGTTGGCATTTACATCCCATGACGGCTGCAGCTGCTATGGCGTTCTCTAGCGTTAGCGTGGTGACGAGCAGTCTTACCTTGAGGTGGTGGAGACGACCTCAGAACAGTGTAATGCCCGGCACCTTCGTCCCTGGCGAGACAATGATGGACAGTGCGCGTGAAGCCTTGGCAAGGGGCTGGAATCATGTGTGCCAGTTGTTGCCCGGCGGAAGGCGCACGGAAGGTTATGACCAGGTTCCAATGGAGGTTGTTTAGAGTCAGCTGTCGACTCGGGGGTGGTATCCATATTGGATTTATATTGCGTTTGCTCCATCTTCGTCAGGTATTTTTTTGGACCTTCTGATTTGTACTTTAGCTTATATAGTCGTCAATCTAACATTCAAGTTGAATAGACAAATAGACAACTGTAGGCGCTTGCAGATCGTTGGCACGTGATTCGGTTCTCACCGTCGTTCTTGCCATGGTCAAGAGAGAGGTAACAACGCCATACCCGCTTATTGATGCCGATCCGTATGCCGGACGTGTAATTCGGTATATGAGACCGTCCGATTCTGCGTACATAGCCGGTGGAGGAGTGCTTGCTCCCGCGCTTCTATATGCCTATGGTGCAGTGAACATTTGCGCTGCCTTTGGCGTGGAAGAAGCCTCATACGATCCTTTTACGAAAAGAACTCGCCGATCCCACTAAAGCCGTGCGATCCCATTTAAAGCCAGCTTTACGGTTGACAGGTTTTCTCGGTCTCGTTGGTGGATTCTTGTTCGCGTATCAACGGTCGACATGTCAGTGGCTCTGCATGTTTGTACAACTGGCGGTTTGCTTATTCCAACACGAATTTAGTGCGCTTCTGGGGGTGGACAGAGAACAAACGGGAGCAGGAAATGGATTTCGCAGAATTGAGCAAACTTGCAAGAGAAGGTAAACCGCTCTATGGCGAAACCAATGAAACGCCCTTTATTCAGGGCGTTGCTTATCGTAACTCCGTGTTCTCTCAGCTGAAATTTGGTAAGTCCATTTTAGCAGGACTTGCCAACACCTTCTAATGTCAATATTATTCACCCTCCATGCACAGGTGCTGTTCCCTGGTTTGTAGACATTGTCCTGCCATCCGTTTATTTTTACATTTGCCACTTCCAGGTTTAATCTTGCTGTCCACCCTCATCACGGGGTTGACACGTCAAAGTATTACGCTAGTGCAAAGCAAGAAGTACAGCAGGATAAGAAAAGCTCATAGAGTTTCTGAAGTCATGCTCGAGTAGCTGGGACTGTCCACTTCATTGTGCATTCTCACTTGATCACTGTACATAGTAATATTGGCGCTTGCTCCGCAAAATTCCCAATTCGGGGTATTCCATTTTGAACACTGCCACCAGTCTCGCTAGTTCATGGATGACGATCCTTGGCGCAATCCCTTTGCTGAGCCTGAGTCTGGGGCCGAGCAGGACATTGTCATAACGAATGACTTGAAGCCGTCAACTGCTATATCTGATTGGGGCCTAACTGCATCAGTTCTTGACTTGCATGCGGGTCAGTCATCGCTTGAATCGCCCAGTTGGGAACCGTCGCCTATTGCAGATGAGGGTATGGGTGGTTGGGCATCATCTGCACTCCTAGAAACTCCGGCATGGGGTTGTGAGCGACCGGAGAAACCTTCGTGGCAGTCATCATCTCCAGACCCCAGAGCTGAAGACGCTGAGCTACAGAATCTTGAGAAGGATGTCCAAACCACTCCCAGCACTCATGACTTAGATAGACCCGACTGGAAATCAGAATCTTCAGTGGAGACCATCAACGTGGAAGAAAAAACCCCTTCAGAGCTGTCAGAACCTGCACTGAAAGCTGAACTGGACGACACGCCTAGTACTGATAATCCCGATGCTTTCGGCGGTTTCGAGTCTGGGAGTTTTGGGGAAATTGATGTGGACAACGCCTGGAGAACTGCTGAAATGGTTGACGACCAAGCTTGGTCATCTGCTTGGTCTGGGGGACCACCAATTTCTCAAAGTGACGAGAAGGAATCAGTCAAAGACGAATGGGATGTAGCTTTGGAGATGAAGAGACAGAGAGAGAGCATTGTCGTAAGTGCCCTTAAATTGGAACCTCTTTAGGACTCATCTTACCAGAACCTAGCCTAGGGAGCGCCTGGACGAATGGATTAGCAGCATACAGACTAACATATCCGAAGTGTGGCCATCTCCAAAAGACGGTCAGTCTAGCGATGACTGCAGCTGGAGAATTTCGATGGATCCAGACGGTAAAATGTACGGTGCCGTTCTGCCCCTCAATCAACCCTTCTCACTTCCCTGAATCGTAGCGCTCGGCTATTGGAAACTGTTCCCTCCGAAATGCAGCTTCCGCGTCTCCCTCATTTTCATCAGACAAAGCTATACGCATCCCAAGCAAAGGCCCTTAAGTTAACCAGAAATCTTCCGCTGAGTCTCAGGAGTCCGCTTTCCCTTCTGCAGATTTCCAAGGGTTCTGCCTCTTGGGAAAAGTCCGTGAGGCAGGATCCAAAAAGAGAATCGGATGACTGGGACTGGCCCCCAAACCCAGTCCCGAGCTCCTCTGCTGCGCGCCAGGAAGGTCAAATGGGCAGTGCGACCGCTCCAAAGGAGCAGCCAAATTATGGGGAGAAGAGGACCATCCGTAGTAGCATCATGTCATTCTTGAGCAGCAAAACTGCCTCCCTTGCATCTACGGCCTCGACATCCAGTTCTATAGGCACCGAGGCATTCCCGAAGACTCCCCCGGCTCTTTCGCCAGTCTCTAATGAGCCAGCACAAGCTAGCCTCGAAACCCAGTCAAAACCATCTGAGTCAAAAGAGGACGTGATTGAAGTTACTTCATCTGCCCTTCCCCAGGCCGACAGCGATCAACTTCCACACAAATCCAAGGATTCAATTCGCTCGCTCTTCAAAAACGCCGACACGTCAGTTGTTGCAGTAGAGGATGATGAACACACGGTGGAGGGACCCGCCACTCATTCAGTCGTCTCACGATTCCTGAACCGGATCACTCGAGGTAGGAGCTCTGCTAGTGAAAATGCAGCGCTCTCACTGTCGAATTCGGATCTTTCTTATCTTGAGGAAGTGAACGGGACTACTCAGGGATCCGACACGGCTGGATTTGATGATTCCATATTTGAGAAACCGAGCATCCCAGACCCGCCTCAAGGCACAAAGCCGCAGCCAATCGTGCCAACATCATTCCTGCCCTCTTCACAGGAGCTGTATCGCCAGAGGGCGGTGGCCGATGCCATATTTTCACGTCCGTCAAGAACATCATCAATTTCATCGACAGACATATGGGATCTCCCTATTGCTTCATCACACACACCCGTATCACCTCAGTCGTCACCCCGCAATTCCTTTTCTTCCCAACCACCACTTATCTCCCCAACCCCCAAACCAGCAATGACAGGTTTGCCCCGCCCTCAGTCTAAGACCCCCTCATTGAGGCGCTCTGTCAAATCCACACCACCGCCTGCACAATCGTCTTCGCCAACTAGCACGGCGCCTGCTCTGCCGGCTCCACCTCGAACTATCACCCCTATTCAACGCCCACCATTAAACGCTTCCCCGGATCACCCAATCCTTTCTCTGGCTAGTCCAACTAAAAGAGCGGTTCGCGTGGAGACACCACTAATTGAGGATGACTTCGATGATTTCATTTCTAGCCCCTCAGATCACACGCCTCACTGCCTCACTATGCGGAGTATTCCCCTTGCTGCACGAATTGTGCCACCAAGATCATCGACTCCCCCAAAACAGATACAGTCTGCGATGCAGAAGTCTCCCCTTTCGTTGTCAACGTCCTCGAAGGCTCCTTCAACATTGAACTTCGACTTTTTGAGCGCTTTTGGAGGCTCATCTTCATCAAGAGGGACGACTCCAACCATAGGTCCTCCATCGCGAACATCAACACCTGGACAGAAACTCGGATTTTCGCCTACGCAGCAACCACTCCCAGTGAAGCGATCCAGCGTAGTCGATTCAAAAACAGGTCTCTCGGCGCAGGATCTTTCATTTTTCGAAGGATTGTGATGACGGAAGCTGGTATCCTGGACTTGTCACTACCTATTCTTGATATTGGGGGACATTGCGAGGTTGTGTGTTTCTTACATACATCCTAGTTGAATTACATCATGCATCTAGTGTATAATATACTACGTCAGTCGCAGCTCCCATCAGCAGGCCCATCCCTCCATCTCTCGTCTATTTTACTGCAATCAAAAACCTCCTTACCCAGTCTGACATTGACGTCGTTATGTCTAGCGCAGAGCCAAAGACCCAGTGACTCCTTGCTACCAACGTGATTTTCGGGAGGATGTTGCTGGATGTTCTCAGCTAAGTGAGTGGCACAATGTGGACATGGGTAAGTATGAGGTAGAGCTTTGAGGAGGGATAGCATATGGGACCTCTGGACCGGGCTGGGCTCGGACGGGTAGTATGCAGCGGCAGTATGAAGGAATGTCCAGGTAGCTCTGCCCAATGTTTCCGTGTCAGGGGGACACGAATCATGTCGGTTATCCTCATCAGAGGAACCGCCGCGGGAAGCCAATGCGCCCGCTGTCCCAAGGCTCGCTGCTACTGTTCGCTTATCGGATGGTGGTTTTCCCGAGCTTGCTGGGTTCTTTCTGGGGTTTGACCATGAACGCCAGTCAGCCCCCGTGCACACTCTACAAGGTTTGCCATCTGGACCCTAGTCAACACGCATGACTATTAGGGAAATTTCAAATGACATCCCATAAACTCACTATCACAGTACCTGAAGGCGGTGTGTTGTCCCCTGCCGGGCTATGAGAGTTATGAGATCCATTGGTCATCGCAACAATTTGGGAACGGGTCGGCAAGTGGCTGTACATTCCATCGTGGGAAACATTCATTATGCTACCACCACTTCGCACTTTTGGACGAACTCGCTGTCCCTTGAGAATTCCTCGACTTTTGCATTCCAGTTCATTCGAGGCGTCCTACCAGTCGACATATGATGAATATCACGATGTTGTTATCGTTGGGGGTGGACCCGTTGGTTTGGCTTTGGCCGCTTCGTTAGGTACTGTCGGCAGGCGAGAGTGGTTGCCTTACTTATTTGTGCGCCCATTTGATGTAGGGTCATCGTCGATCACATCTCATCGACTTTCAGTCGCACTCATTGAAGCCAGTAATCTGGACAAAATTCGCACGTGGAACCCGCTGCCTTCGACATATTCAAACAGAGTGAGTTCTATAACGAACGAGTCTTCGTCATTTTTGAAGAGTGAGTAAAGCGTTTGAGATATTTCCTATGTTTTCGCTGCCCATTGTCTGTTATTGTTAGAGCATCAAGCTTGGCGACATGTGAACGTAGAACGAACTGCCCCAATCCGGGACATGCATGTATGTGCTGACACCTTAATCTTTCGAGCATTTGCCTCAAAGGTTGGGATAGGTTTGGGATGGCATCTCCGATGCACGCATCACTTTCTCCGCATCTTCCATTTCGCGATCCGAGATGGCTCGCCTCACAGAGAACCTGAACCTACAACGGGCCCTCCTTCGGCGAATAGACGAGCTAAGTGGCCCAAGCATTCGCCTTTTTGACAATGTTAAGGTCAACACTATTGTCCGAGAGATGGGAACGTCAGCGTTGGATGGAGGAGGATGGCCTATCATCGTATTGTCCAACGGGCGAAGTATCCGGGCACGACTACTTGTACCGATCCCCTTTCTTGCGCCTGTTTACCTGTACAGCTGATCGTTTTCGCATATTTCAGGTTGGCGCAGACGGGTTCAATTCTCCGGTGCGGTCGTTCGCCGGAATACCCAACTTTGGCTGGGCATACCCTACCCATGCTGTAGTTGCCACGTTGCAGCATCACCCCATTCAGCCCATTTCACCATTCACCGAAGCCCGAAACGGTTTGAATACCACTGCGTATCAGCGACATCTTCCCACCGGGCCCATTGCATTTCTCCCGCTAACTGACAATATCTCATCCCTTGTTTGGTCGACGACTCCAGAGATTGCTCTCGCTCTCAAGACTTCCCACTCTGCAGTTCTTTCCCAAATGGTGAATGCCGCTTTCCGACTGCCTCATGTATCCATTGAGTATCTCGGAAACGTTTTGTTGGAGAGCATGTCAAGAGATCTCGCAACAAACTCGCCAACCACGACGATCACTCCTGAGCAGCTGGGAAACGAGATATCGTTCAGGGAGAAATCTCACGGAATATCACCAGAATCTGCTCTCTCTTCATTGCGTTATGAGCAAGGACACACAGGCATCCCGCCGTTAGATGCAGAGCTGTATCCTCCACTCGCTTACTCCACTCAGCCCGGAACGCAAGCGTCTTTCCCTCTTAGGCTATCGCACGCTACAACCTACATCGGCGAAGGTTTACAAGGGTGCCGTGTTGCTCTTGTGGGAGATGCTGCACACACGATCCATCCTCTTGCTGGCCAGGGTTTGAATATGGGTTTAGGTGATGTAGAATGCCTCGTTAAGGTCCTGGAGGATGCTGTGGGCATTGGCAGTGATATCGGTAAATGAAATGTTCTCTGTTGCACATCTCCTGAAATAAGCCTGACAAACTGGTTCACAACGTTTAGGTTCTTATACATCACTTCTACCGTACCACCAAGGAAGATACGCCACCAATCATATGCTTCTCTCCGCTACGGACAAGCTGCACAAGATATATTCAATGACGAATACTCCGAGCGTATGGGCCCGCTCTGTCGGCGTGGAAGTCCTAAATGAACTGCACAGCGTGAAAGGCACGATGATGAGCTTTGCGGGTGCCGACGACTCCGAGAATGTGAACCCGTCGACGGGGAAGTGGAATGCGGTGGCGACTGGCGTCGAGGCTGTTGGAACGGCGGAGAAGGCTGCGAAAGCAGTGGCGCTGGGTCTGGGTAACGTCGCACGCAGTGCATTTGAGAGTGTGCTGAGATCCTTGCCTCGATGAGTATCGTGTGGCAGGGGAATGGGAATATGCTTATGAGTGTGATGAATTATCTCGCGGCACAAAGGAGGTATAATGGTGGGCCCCGCCTGACGCGGCATAACCCGCCACTCTTCTCATCCAGCCAGGTTGCCTCCTTCTGATATCTCACTGATATAACATATACCCGGAGTACTGTGGACATTCACCCAACCACACTCGGCAAACGTACACTCGTCTCGATTCCCACCACATCTTTACTGTGCTGTCACTTACCGATCAGCAGTCCCCTCTCTGTTCTTGTTCTTCTATGCGTACTTCACATGACAATGATCATATAAGTCACTTTTGACTGATCACTCTTGATTACTTGCAGTATGTACACCAAGGGGTGTTGGTGAAACAGCCGTTAGAGATGTTCTGAATATGTTCTCACAATAACTGCGTGCCAATCGATTGTACCACATGAACATCATTACATACGGTGGGAATGCGAGAGCAGTAATTCCCGCTACTCTGTAGCGGGTCTTATAAATTTTTCGGAATGCGTTTGATGACAAGGTCCTCTATTATTGCCAATTCTAGATAACCCAGGGTCCTCCCAACTCCTTATATCGTACCGCTTCCTGATTCCCCTTGCTGAAAACCACGTTTCAATGTTTGCACCAACACACGGAATGCGTTCCAGACAGCAGACAATGGCAGAAGAACACCCACCCAGTCGCCGGATGAGACACAATCTATTGACTCACCTATAATCCCACCCAATCCTAGACGAAGATGAAGACCACAGAAACGCAGACACCTTCACCAAACTGTGCGTCACTGATCCATTCTTTTCTACGGGCAAAGACTCAAAGATGGATTGCTCTCCCCCCAATGAGGATGACAAGGGTAAAGGAAAATCGCAAGATGCCTGGGCTGTGAAGTGAGTACCATGCGATGGAATCCGTCTGCTCAAACTCTGACAGTCTAACTGTTTTGGCAGTAGCTTCTATCATTGATACTCATCCCCGAAAAAGTGATTCGATCACGTCCGTATCTCAATGACTCCGTCTGCTTCATCTTCCTCTGGGATTCTAGATGCATCAATGGATGCCATTTCATCCGACGACTGGGTTTGTGCTATGGTCTGCTGTCTGGATTGGTGCGGGACCCTCTACATCTTCTAAGGTGAAACGCTTGCAAGACTGTGTTTCGTGCGCGAGAACTGAAGAATGGTGTTAGGACCTCCATCTGATCGGACAACGAAGGAAATAGTTGGCAATGGAACTCACAAATGCATCGAGGCCATTCCAATGACTGCCACCCCTTTTACAAACGATAATTCGAATCGGTCACGTTCCACCGATGCTCCGTGTTGATCGAAAGTGCTGACGTCGCCCAGGTATCTTTTCGAGTCGCGGGGGAGGGAATGGCGTGACAGAAATGTCCTTCTGGATCCCGATGTGGATGGGAGAAGATTGTGGGACTGACTTCGGCGTGCACGGAGGAAGACCCTTCTGCGGAGGTCGAAAGTTCTGTGCTGAAGTGAAGTGAATGACGGCCACAAAGGATAACCATCGGCGCTTGTGCTTACTTTGGAATGCCTCGACAACACTGATCTTTTTGCAATCCTTAACGGACGGTGTGCGGATTTCTTTGAACATTGCGTGAACGAGATGGCAAGTTGCTAGGTAACGATCGAGAAGTAGAACGAATGCAGGGGGAAGATAAGAGTATAACTGGGAGGGCCCTGGGTTATCCCGAATTGGCAATAATAGAGGACCTTGTCATCAAACGCATTCAATCAAAGTCGAAAAATTTACAAAACCCGCCACAGAGTAGCGGGAATTACCAGAAAAGATGCTCCTCTGCAGGCGCTTATTTACATTGAATTGATGCTATTTGGAGAACGGCCTGCGGGACCGTCCATACTCAGCATCAACTTGTACGACCCGCTGTCAATTTCCGCGGATCCGAACATCCCATCTATTATCGTGTCTCAAGGTTGACATGGCCTCCCGCAGTGTCCAAAGAACTTCAGATGCTCCCTCGTTCATCATGCTATTTTACGCCGTCTTTATGCTCACGCACTTCCTCATCATCATCTTCATCGACATGCAACCTTTCTATCCCAAGGAGGTCGTACCTCCATGGCTCGGCCAATTGCCCAAAGATTATATAGCGTTGTCTCAGGACCCGTTAGTGATTGGTGTTCATTCACCAGTGAAGAACTTGCATTATGTTTGGTTTGAGTCCATGGCGGTATGGATTGAAGGGTACTGCATATTCTTCTTTCCCCTCGAACATGCTGGAACGGCATCTTTTATTAGGTTCATGCAAACTCCTTTAGCTTTCTTTGGTGCTCTAGCACTCGTAAAAAGTAAGTAGCAACGTCTCGCGTTTGTCGCCCCTTTCTCGCTGCGGGAAACCATAGGCCGAATGATACATTATTGCTCTTTAGATAGATCCTATGCTTGGATCATCGTCCTCACTTATGGGCTTATCACCTTCCCAACTCTCATCCCATGCTTTGCCCACATCTTGGCGATCCCCACGACTGACATTAACCATATCACGAAAGAAGGCATCACCACACTCACCTCGTGGCAAAAGTACGCCCAGAAATATCCTCATTATTGTTAAACTGTCCATTGATGGTATAATTTCTCCTTATACACTAGACAGTTCATCCTTGCAAATTATGCACCCTTCGGAATTGTACCGTTCATCATGTCAGTTGATGCGGCATACCGGATTTACCACCAAATCAAGATGCTTTCGAACATACAAGAGGCGGCGGAGAAGTCGAACATGTTGGGTGCATTATTAGACGCTGGATTAGAAGGACGGTTAAACGTTGACACGAAGGAAAGAGGGTGATTATCCGGTCGGATTGGCCTTCGTGTTTGGGACTTAGAACTTCAGTAAAGGTGTGTATGAAGGGAAAAGATATTTTGTTTTGGATCGTCAGCGGGTGATGTGCAAATCCGTATGGCATAAGGATGGATATAAAGATACGAAACGGATCCCATGATGAAATGGAAGATATGCTTCTTGAGAAGACTGGACACCGAAGATTGGGGTCTATTGGAGGCAGGCTAGATAAAAATCCTGATCCGTCAACGGAATCCGCGCTGTTGTGTTCCTCTCTGCTGTTGTTGAAGTTCATTTATCCTTCTTTTTGCCATCTTTCGCAGCGCAGCATATGTGTCCTGTTCCCCTTCCATAACGGTGCCCAACCGACTCTCGATCATCGATTGAACTCCGGCGGAACTTAGCTGTTGGATGGCAGGTGGTGCAGGAGCTTTTGAGTTGTTGGGACGGGATTTTATAGCTTTCCCTTTCCCGATTTGCTTGTTAGCTGGTGGGTCTAGAGAGAAGCCGAGCACCTGGGAGGTTGGAGTGATAAACATGAGTGACGTTCAGTCAAGAGCCGGGCCAAAGGGACCTACATTGCAGAGAGACTCTAATTCAGACCGTTCCACTTGCATGGCAAGCTTGTGTGGTCGATTCAGCAGCTTTCAGGAGGAACGGGATGGGATTGTCAACACACCTCTTCTTCTGGGGTGAAGTCATTCTCGATGTGGAATAACTGACGGATGTCGTCCACGCTTTTCCTATGTATAGGCCTGACTGTGAATCACGTACGAAAGCCACATCACAAAGAGTTGGAGGACGTACCCTGTCATCATATTGGCAACGGTCCTACACCCAAGATCTCTAGCATCAGATGAGGGTTAACAATGCATGAGAACGTCTTAGTTTAAGGGTCGGAACACACAAGAGCGACTGGATGTCCAGGTAGCTAGCAGCCTGGATGACCTCGAACAAGAGTTCCTGTTCGCATTTCATATATTGTTGGTCCCAGCCACTAATATGCGTGTTCTTGCGGCGCATAATATCGAGTGAGGGAGAAATGCTGTATTCGACATCGAGAGGAGGAAGAGGTTCATTGCGGTGATGTTCGCAATACTCAAGTACCTTTCGGTGTCAAGGTGAGTTCGAGAGACGCACGGTAAAGCAAGAAGCAGCTGTATAATTACTTTGGTTAAAACGTGGCTTTTGACGTTGAGTAACGGGATAGGGTCCTTGTTGCCGACATCTACATTTGAGTGGTCAAAGCTGAACAAACAATCTGCGGGAAATTCTCTGACCCACGAGGACTGTTCGAATAACACCCGATCTAGAGGCGGTTGACTCGTCTACTTCAAAAAGTACTCCGTCCGATGAGAGCAGCTTGACCTTCATTAGAGATTTGAGGAACAACGGGGTTCTCCACCAAAGGAGAAGAGTCACGTGTCGAGACGTCCCTATGTAATAAATTGGGCGGTTTGACATTTAGAAGCCTGCAATACAATTCTAGATGAGTTGCCAATTGTCGCGAAGCGCTCCGGGCACATAAGTGTGACCACGATTGGGGTATCCCACAACCACACTGCATCTCCCATCTTTTGATACCCACTATTACAACCTACTCAAGTATCTTGTTCTCTTCATCACCAGCGGCCACATCCATCCCCTTTCTGAGCGATGTCAACGGTAGCCCCTGTGCCATCGAGCATCGGTAATATAACCTCAAGACGGACAAAATCTTCCCTAAAGCCCAGCGGCACACTTCCGACGGGAAATGGGTCACCTTCCCCAGAAGTGAGTACCCCTACGTCAGCACACACTTCATTCTCACAGGCGATACTTACATACGGACATCGTCATCTCCATCTCCGAAGACTCTCAAACTTCATAGCTCACCAAAACTCAAAGTACGTCGCCTTGTACCTGGGTGTGTGTGTATTATCCAACCACCGTTTCTTTGTACAGAAGCGATCCCCTCAGAAAACTTCATTTAAAAGATTTAAAAGGCATCTTTTCTGGCCATTCATCTTCGCACTCGGCTATCTTGCGATCGTGTGCCCCAGCAAACCCGACTCAAATATATGCATACGCTCTTCCGTCTATTGGGACTCGGTGAAGACACATTCGACACCGGCCATCCAATATGTTATCTCTCATCCTTCCGTGGAGCCATACGTCCAAAAACTAGAACCCCACTGTGACCGGATCACGCGCTTCTTTGCCCCAGCGTTCAACCAATTCAGGGGCGTTCTCGGTCCCATCGTTGTGAAAATTGAGTATTTCTTTAACACGAAGGTTGGCCCACACATACAGCCCTATATTCGAAAGGCTCAACTCCAATTCGATGCACGGGTCCGACCGTTGTATTTGAAGTACGCCGAGCCACGCATTAGCCGATGGCGTCATTTCGTGACTAAGGCTTCTCCGTACTTTGAACGCACACGGTTTGCACTGCAACAGTCATGGTACAGGGCACAGCCCTACATTCGCAAGGTTCAGTTTTATCTTATCAAGGCCTGGAACGCTGTTCGCCCACACTTGAGCGTTCTTTTGGAGAAACTGAATGGAATACCACTATGGGCAAAGCAGCGCTTTGGACCTACAGTGTACCAAGTCTACAAAACCTACGTCGAGCCGCAGATTCGGAAAATCTCGGCAAAAATCGATGAGTTGGGCAGCAGAGGTGGCAACACGACCCCTTCGTCAATAACGTCGCCTGTGCCGACTGTTTCTTCCACCGGACCAGCAGCCGTGGTGGAGACAAAGACCTCAACCCCAGACATGATCTTGGAAACGGTCCAGCCCCCCACCAACTCCGTTGAGGATGTCTTTTTTGATCCCACGGACTTCATCGCGAACAGTATCGCTGAAACCCCGAGTCCAATTCCGACATCTGCTGAAGGCACTGAAGATATGACAAGCTCGCCCTTCGAAACTTTGTCCCCTGTTTACCCTGCGCAAGTTTCTCCAGCACACACTGAACCCGAAGTTAAACCAGAGCCCGAAATAGATGACATCATCGATGATATTTTCAGGGCGGACTCCCCGGAACCCACACCCCGCGAGGAACCACCTTCCGAAGAAACGGCCACAGTTGAGGATGCTCAAAGGCTCTCTCTTGAGGAGATTCACGAGAAGCGCAAGAAAATAGAAGCACGACATACTGAATGGGAGGCTAAAGTCGACCAAGCGGGCAAAGTTGGTATCGAAAATCTTATTGGGTCCATCACCTCTATACGCCATAAGGCCGTAAACAGTTTGTCTTCGGCGGAAGAAGGCACTATCGGTGTCCAAATCGCCGTGTTTAAGGCCGAAGGCTCCAAAGCCATTAAAGGAGTTGGGGCTTACGCGAACAAGCTCATGAACGGGCACTATCATGGTGCGGAGAAGATTGGGTTATTCGATGCTGTGGTGAGGAAGGTGGAGAAGAGATATGGCGAGGGCGCAAAACGATTGAGTGATGCGATTGCGGAGTGGTGGGCTGAAGTGAGAAATGAGGCGCAAGGAGAGGTGAAAAAGGAGGGAGGGAAAGTAGAAGACGTGGCAGGGGATGCACAGGCCGATTTGGGAATGGATTATGCTTGGTTGGAGGATGTAACTACTCATGATTGGACGGTGAGCAATGGTCTAGCACTACGTCACACAGTGAGGCTTAACGAACAATCCCATTCCTCTGGGATGCAGCGCTATCATGACCTCAAGCGATGTGAGTGGACCCATCGCACCCAAAATTCCCCTCAACTGATGTTTGTATTACCGTAGATGCAAAGGAATATGAGAATCAATACCAAGCCATCCTCGATGGAGAGCATCCGCAATCACCAGTGGATCCTCTTCCTGATGTCCTCCAAAAGCTCCGAGACGAGCTTCTTGAGATCGTATCCGTTTTCGAGAAGGCCCTTGTAAAGGCCCGTGACGATGGCTTCGGGATGTTTGTTAGTGGTGCACCGAAAGACACCGAGCCCACATCAAGTCCTAACGACCAGGCATCTTCTGAGAGTTCCCCCTACGAATATGTCACAGAGCAAGTTTAGGACTGATGAAAGTGACGGTAGGCGCTGCACGAGTTGCCAAGCTCCAACTGTTTTCCACTCCGTGATCAAAACGTGTGCCAAAGGAAGAACAAATATAAATTATGCTAACAGATTTATGTTCCCCTACATGCAAGCAGTTCAAAGTCAATACTATATAAGGGAAGGGAGATGGCGCGGTGACGCAAGTGACAGGAAAATGTAGTAAACAAGTTCATGATACCGTGGGCGTTGAAGCCGAAAATCATTGATCAAACCAGTTCATCAGGCTGTTGAGGACGCCATTTGAGATTGGATTCATAAAAGTCGAGCAACTAGGCAACAACTCTATTAATGAGACATGCAACGATAGTTATGGTCTGTGCATACCTTTCCTGATGATTTGGTCCTGAAAACGGGGCTCGTGGCCTTGTATCTGAGACCATCAACTCTGGATATAGCTCAGTTTAGCTTTCTTTTGTACCTTGATAGAGGAATCTTTGGACGCACCCTTGGAAATAAACAATCAGTAGTCCAGATGAATCCCTTTCTACTGTTGTGACTCGCTCGATTTCGCTCGTCCAGTCTTTCATTTTCTTGAACTGTTTCTCGGCATCGTAGACAGTATCGTCCTCCATGCCATTTTCTGCTAGAGCATTTACAGGCGTTGTGTCTTGCTCAGTGTCAAGCTCAGGAGAGACTTGTCTCTTTTTTTTTGCGCTGGCAGTGGTGGTGGTGGAGGTACGAGGCTTAGACTTTTTCTTTGGCGGTTCCTCGATATCCTCCATCTCCTCATCTACGAGTTCTGGACTGGCGGACTTCACCTTAGACGCACGCCCTCGTTTCGTAGCAGGTGTGGTAGCCTTCTTTGGTACGTCAGAATCGTCGTGTCCCACCTCTGAATCCTTCCGTCCTGTTGAACGTCGCGGCTTTGTGGCGCTGATGCTCTGCCTTCCTTTCTTTGCACTCCCACCTCGCGCATCCCAGTACTCGTCGATGAGCTCCTTAGCTCCCCTAGGAAGAAAAAAAGGCTAAGTCGTTCATGGCAGCGTGTGGCAAAATACGAAGGGCGCGTACTCGGCGTCGGTCTCGTTAACCCACGAGTTCTCTTCATCACCGTAGCCCTTCCAGCTGACAAAATACGCGTAGACGCCCTAGAGATGGAACAAAGACGCAGCCATAGGGCAATCCCGGTTGATGGGAGAAAACGGGGCGATGAAGTTGCGAATTCTTACCGATTGAAGGTGACCCATTTTGTGCTTGATGATTCGTTCGATTTCATACTCTTCCTCGCCTTCATCCTCTTCGTCTTCCTCGTCCGACCCTGTTTCGCGGTCCTTCCCATTGTCAGACGCGTCCTTCACATTCGAAGCGCGACCTTTCGTGCTGCTGCGGGACCTCGCGCCAGCAACCTCCTCGACCTCAGCAGCGCTATCATGTTCGGATCTTCCTTCATCAGCGACGGAATCTTCTCTTTCGTGCTTCGCGGGCATCAGGTAGGATTCGGGTGGGTTTCAAAAGTGTGTGCCGCCTCAAAGTTTGTATCCGAGATTGCACTTTCGGGGTTGCGCCACTGCACGTGTCACTGTTCATCGACAGGGCACGTGACCCAAACAAGCGGGTTTCACACACGTTTAGATCATTGATGCGCGTCCAGAGCTCACATCTTTTGTACCCCAAAAGTTCGCTGATATCCCTTCGAATCCAAAGCGTGGCTCTTAGAAGTAGATGTTTTGGTGGCGTGGTAGTTCCGGCTTTCCGATCAGAGTACTGTTTTCTGGCAGGCCGCGGAGTAAGTAACTTGCTCGATGAATTGCCAGCAACTCGTCTCCTCTTCACCGTGTGCAGCGAAGAGAAGACACCGCTAATAATACCATGACGCCCTTCTCTGAAGGATTTGCTTAGTATTACACTCTGTTACTCTTCTCGGCCGCACATTTCCCACTCCAGATGACAGGATCCCCAGACAGCTTCTTAATCGCTCAAATGCCCAATGATTGTATGTCCAATTTTCCCATCTTGTAATTTATATAACATGTCGGAGGCGCATGGGTGCCCAGAAACCTGTTACAAGGGAGCGGTCACCGTTGACATGCGGCGAAAATGTAGTTTGGCAAGCGTTCGTCGCTACGAACATTTATGGCTGAATCAAGCGGGTAGTAATAAAGTTCTGAGGCCAAGAGCCGCCCGCACTATCATTACCATCTAGGCACGGGCCACGACCTTTTATTTTGAGCTTCGAAACTCTTAATTTGACGAGAAGCAGGGTCCTAAACACCCACATGAGCGCTTACAATTCACAATGATTCTTTATCAGCGAGACAAGGACTGAGCGGTCTCCATCACCTCGTATCAATGAGAAGATTGATACCAACAACGGAAAAAACAACAGATTACAGATGAATAAAATGCGTAGAACATTTGCGTAAAAACGATACATGAATGGGCGCACCGCGGTGGGAGGATCTGACGGTGTTTCTCACTATGAAACCCTCAAGTCATCGCCGACCGGGACTAGCGCTCCGCCCTCTCCCCTGCCTGTTGCCGCCAGCTTTTTTCCTCGGCCCCGTTGGAGGGGGTCTTACAAATGCAAAATCACATTCCAAAACTTGCTCCAAATGGGTCGATCCGTTCGCTTCGTCAACGGCTCGTTTAGCTTCTGGATAAGTTGCATACTCCACTAGTGCATACCCCTGTCAGAGCAACATGAAATCAAAGAAAGGAGGCGAGAAAATTGTGAAAAAACGGTGAAACGCTCGGATCCATGGAACATACTTTAACGTATCCCGTGCGACGGTCAAGGTTAAGGTGCAAGTTGAGAATTTCCCCATAGTCTGAGAATCGGTCGTGCAGATCCTCTTCAGTTGCTTCTTCATGAACGTTGGTCACCATGACTATCCACCCCTCTACAGCTTTAGACCGGGAGTTCAGTGTACAGTAAAAACATCGGAAAATCAGAATTAGAGATGAGGACATCATGACGTGGTGACACACATCGGGCGGCCTTGCCATCTCCATCTTTCACTTGACTCTCCAGAGTCTCATAATCCTGCTCTGCCACTTCACTGGCTCCTTTTCCGCCTGCTGATTGCTTAGACCGAACAAAACGGAGAGAGCGGGCATCAGATCTTCACACCTGTGCTTTTGTGTAGCCGTCCTTTCTTGCGAATGGCTCCATTGCCTTCAAGGCGCCGAACAACACGATGCTCAGTGACTCTCTAAGGGTCGTCGACGACCAAAACTAACCCTCATCAATATTCATGAAATCATCCATGACGTTTTCTATAGCCCAGTCGAGAAAATTCGGGATGTGTGAAGTTCAGTGTTGAGTGGCCAACTGAGTCGGCTTCGTCCATGCCCAGGGAATTTCCAATAGTGCTCACGGTCACCTATATTTGTTAAGCGCGCTAGTCTCCCATATTTACTCAGTGGCCCATCAGCAAATCCATATTATTTAATCCAATCGTAAAAGGGATCATAAAATGCAAGATGGCCGTAAGGGCCCCAGATCCAGATCCTTGCCCATTTTTCCGAAATTATGGTTTCAGAATCTGAGCTCTATTATTTTCTCCCGTTCATTCCCAGCGTCTCGGGGCGAGTAACTGCTCAACGGATCAGTTGCTATGTAGAAGCGTCTGAATTCTCCGCATAGAATTACTATCAAACCATACAGTCGAAGCGGAGGCGCATGTCAGCTGTATGCCAATCTAGCGTATAAAAGCGCCGTGCTATGACGCCTACTGGCCTCATCAGCTCTCTCCTTCACGCACTGTTCAACATACATGGCTCTCTCTACCACTGCCACTCACCCTTGCAACGTCTGCCGGGAACCCACTACCCTCTGGTGCTCCAGGTGTCACCTTGCTTGGTACTGCAGCCCAGAGCATCTAACAGGGGTGAGCTTCCCTCTTGTGTATGTGTGAATATGCACTGACCCGTTTGCTTAGGATTGGAACAGCCATCGTTACGAATGTCGGCCATATCAACCCTCCATTCCTCTTCAAATAGACCCTTCCACCATGGAAGCTAGCACCGCCGCATCGTTCACCGCGATCCTCTTCCCCTGCAGCAGTGACAGTCCCCAGCTCATCAAAGTCGACTGCCTTGCACGCCCCCAGGCAACTGGCCCGTGCAAATGGACCCCAATTGCGATGCCACACGTCGGTGGCCAACGGGAGCCCGGCAATGTCATTGTAACTCGTGGCGTCGGCGGTGCACCTCTCCGCTTTCCGATGCAAGTTTTCTATCGGGCCGACTTCTTGAATGATGGCTCGCCGCCGAACAGGTCGATTATCAAGCTCACTGGCGGTCAGGGTATGTGATGCGGTTTCATCGCCTGCCGTCGTTTCTGGCATTAATCGTCCATGTTGCCGCACTCTTTCCCTCCTCTGTAGCTACACATATTTGGAACGGAAACGTTATCGCGTTGAAATTCTATGGAACTCGACGACAAGGGTAGGTGCCAGCTTCCTTATTCTACCTCTATAATGCATATATGCACGGCGAACTGGCAATGCTGCCATCCTTGTCTGATTCTATACGATTACTAATTACCCGTTTCTTCATTTCACATTAAGGTACGCTGATGCAACTAATGGAGATCTGGCAGCGCTTGTCGCATATTTCATGGAGCCCACCTGCACCTAATCCGACTATCCGTTTCGCTTTCCCCTTTAGTTTCTTTTTGCATTACCTCGTATAATTTCCTCGTCTCCTACCCTGCATAAGTACACCGCCATAATTCCTTTCCCTACTAGTTTCGTGCAGCTTTCCATACCCGCTTTCTTGACTCCCATGCTCCTGTCACTATACTAATACTTTGGTCTTGATTCTTGCATTTTGCGAACATTGAGAGTTCAAATGCTTTCTTGTTTTACATATACCCATGTCCCGGGCGGCTCCGCCCAGTGCATATATACAATTCATTGTTCACGGTCGCCGATCAATACACCATATTTTCTTGAAATACAGAATTGACTACCCTGGTTCTGAATAGACTTGGGAAACTCACACCATATACTGTGTATATGCGCGTATGTTACCCCTCTTCGCTTCGTGATATGATCTAGATGCAGACAAGTCTGCCATCCTTCCCGAAACGTTGTGCATTTGTGAAAATCAAAGATAGCGGTACACGATTTATTGGTACAAAGGAGAGGCAGTTCCCAAGCCCATTTGTTTACACTCGACGTACAATGGCTCTTACACGCGCGACCCATATACATCTTTGGGTTCGACACCTCCCTGGCCCTTTCGAACGTTCGCCTCACCCCATCTACGGAACAAATAGGACATTATGCAGCCCAGTGGCGGAGTGGATGAGGGAAACGCAGACCAAATGAGCGACATTTTTCATAAAGAGCAAAGCAGTGAGGGCATACTTTTTGATGCGGATAGATTCAATTTGAATAAAACCCGTAGTATCGGTTGGCTCAAAGCCGCCTAGTTCATCCATTGAAGATTCCCTCTCATCGTAAAGGCCCTATGATGCGGAGAAATGCGGCAATAAGATAAGTATGTAACAGGAGCCATTGGGTGGCGAATCTGCCTCTACAAGCGATTCGCGTGCGGCCACAAGATCAAATGATGCTCACCTCGTTCGAGAACCGGCCTTGGACAATAACGTTACCCTTGTATAGCTTCAACCTGACCGTGCCATTCACGGTGCGTTGGCTGGCTGGGATAGCAGACGTGATGAATTCTCGTTCTGGACTGAAGAAGTAGCCATTATACAAAATTTGGCTTAGGTGGATGGTAACGAATTGATCCCTAAGAGCCCGCACATTCCTATCCAGCGTGAGACCTTCTATGTCTAGGTGCGCGACCCGAAGGATCGTGGCCGCGGGGGATTCATAACAGCCTCGGGACTTAACACCAATGAATCGATTCTCCACGATGTCAAGCCTTCCAATACCATGCTTGCGTGCTAGCGCGTTCAACGCGAGGAAAATATCTACAGCGTCAGTGTACACTTTGTCGCCATTGACCACTTTGGTTGGAAGCCCGGCGGTGAACTCGATCGAAATGTATTCCGGCTCCAGTGGGGCAGTGTCCGGTGACGTAGTTAACTTCCACATATCCTCCGGAGGCGTCGTATTGGGATCCTCGAGAATACCCGCCTCATATGAGATATGGAACAGATTTTCATCTAATTATGGCTCAGCCCATGTGGAGGCGGGGGAAAAAGTAATTTTTGTGCATACCAGTGGACCACGGTTTTGCGGCAGTTTGTGCAACTGGGATGTTCTTTTCAGCAGCGTACTTCAGTAAGGCGCTTCGGCCCGCGAAACGATTATAGAACTCTGGTGTACGGCAAATGTGAGTGGATTGTCCCTTCTCAGCATATATCCACCGACCGGGGATCCGCCATGGAGCAATAACTTTGATGTCCGGTTTGAGACCGTAAAAAGCAAGCTCAAAGCGAACTTGATCGTTCCCTTTCCCGGTGCAGCCATGTGATACAAAACTGGACGGAGGGGGGTCAGGAAATGTGTCTATAAGGGGATGCTGTGTACTCACTCGCATCCCTCTTTGGACGCCACAGAAATCATCCCACGAGCAATGACCGGACGCGCCAGAGAGGTACCCAGAAGGTACACATTCTAGGTCAGATCAGATCAAATTAATCGGGATCATTAGAATGACAATCCTGACCTCGTAGATGCAGTTTGCCTGGACTGCTGGGTAGATGAGTTCCGTGACAAATTCGCGCTTAAGGTCCTGTAGAGACGTGGAAGGCTAGAACGATACGGTCCCCAAAAAAGTGCCCCCCTTTACCTCAAGGAAGAACTTTTTTGCGCCAACCCCCAATGCTTTCTTACGAGCAGCATCAAAATCCTGTGGGGCCTCAGAACAACGCTTACGCATCGTAAAATAAGATTACCCACTTCCTCCTGCCCAACGTCCGCCATGAAGGCGTAAACCTCGTAGCCCTGCTCAATGAGCCAGGCCAAAATGCATGATGTATCTTTGATCCCAAACTGAGCACGATCGAAACCCAGGGCAGTCTTGATACATACCGAGGCCACCAGAATATGCCAATAGAACACGTCCTTTCGATTGTGATGCCATTTGCTCGAGAGCTCCAGATGTGCTTCGGAATCGCAATCGAGCGGAAGCAAAGCTGCTGATGGATTATATTGGATGTCAAGCTTTGTCGGCCGGGAACCTCCGGATCCACCATGACCAAATTCGTGATACAGTCAGTCCACAGCCCAGTTACCTCCCGATATTTGTTGGTGGCGGATTTCCCTCCTACCACTCTCCGCTGCGTGGGGGCAGAAGTGGATCAATGGCAACAGTTCTCCTCTCGCAAATACTAAACATTTGAATTGTTCTACACTAACTCCTGTCATTGCCGCCAAAGCTTCGCAGAAGCACTGAAGTATCCGAGCAGGGTTCGTTGATCAAGTCTTGGCCTCCTGCCTAATACATTTTACTAGGTCTAATCCAGCATCTGGGGCGTCGGCTGTGTGGATCTGGTTATGTACAACCACATGGGATCTCTCAGGACCAATGGCAATTATCATGTCAGTTATGGAATGCACCATATATTGACAAATGATGCTCACGGTCGTAAGCTGCCGTCAAGTACGACGGTTAATAGGCGGCAGATACCGCATAAGCTTGATTGAAACTCAACGATATTGAACCGAGATGTGGGGACGCGAATCAAGTATGTTTTGGGAATGTTTTATCATTGGCTGTTTTACATAGAACAAATGGACAGGTACCACACCTTCTTTGGGAGCTTCTGAATGACACGAAAGCGGCCTATATATTAGATCTAATTTTGAACTTAGTATGGAAGGACGTGGAGTTTCAAATTCGCAACATCTCGCAAACTCCTTTCTTGTCGCTCACGTGGGTCTAATTCTCACGGACAAGGGCAACTGTGAATATTCATGGGTCATCTCATCACTGTCGCAACGTGAGATTCACCCCACCTGGATGGGTTCAGATCACTAACACACATGGTTCGTCTCAGCTGGTGAGCTGATTCCGCTAAATGCTGCATAATATGACGGGCCGATCTCAGTTATTGTGACGGAGAAGCGCACTAAACCAATGGGCTTTGGATTTCGGGGTATGTTCGTAAGCTTATACTAAATCTGTTGACTAATACATACTTCTTGTCGCAGGGGAACAGGGATCGCATTCTAGAAAGCATACGTATTTCAAAAGGGCGTGGGGCGACGCTTAGAGTCGGCCCGGAGCTCGAAATACCGTGCGTCGCTTGGCCAATCTTTGGACTTGCTGATCGCGGAAAACCAAATGCAGGGGATATGGGTGTCTTGACCACTTCTTAGAAGGTCTGTCGGCTATGTCGAAAAATGGGAAATGAGAAGCTCAGGTCTTATCAGGTGATACCACAGACCACTCATGGGAAATTTTGGGAGAAATTCTCCAGAATGAATGCGTTCAAGGAATAGTATGCGACCTTGGAATGTACGAATATGGACCCTTGGCTCTTCATTACCGAATTTAACACCTCATCTCCAACGGTTTCTTAATCAACAGGCCAGTAATCCACAAAAGTGTAACTTACAACTGCCGAGTTATTATTCGGGGGTCCAAAATCCTCCTAATTCGCCCAAAGATGTGGCTAGCCAATGACGGTAATTATAGGGAGTTGCGCTATTTTTCCCCGTGGCACAAGCATCGGCAAGTCGAGGATTTCTATCTCCCAGAATTCATTCGCGAAATAACAGGCCAGGTTGGTCCTCCCCAAGCCCTCGGTGTCGGCACCTCATGCTCCCTCATAACCATAGATTACCGTCCCTATTGGAGATGCCGTTATCAGTACATTTGATACATGTATTGGTGTGGAGCTATGCGAAGAGTTATTCACACCTGCGAGGTAGAATGAGATTATATCTCTATTGGTTGGATTGCAGCTGACTTGATCCTCTTTCAAGTCCACATACATTAATGGGGCTAGATGGGGTGGAAATATTCACTAATTCGAGCGGGAGTCACCACGAGCTACGTAAGCTGCACGCACGCGTGGACCTCATCAAAGAAGCGACAGCGAAAGTGGGTACCCTTCAATGACACCATATTTTTGGGTGCTACTTGAACTTCACAATAATTCGCTCACCATCAGCTCGGCGGAGTATACCTTTACGCGAATCAACAAGGGTGTGATGGAGATCGCCTGTATTACGATGGCTCTGCTCTCATTGCCGTGAACGGACGCATCATCGCGCAAGGGTCGCAATTCTCCCTCCACGATGTGGAAGTTGTTTCCGCCACTATTGATGTTCACGACGTGCGATCCTACCGCGGCCGCAGCAGCAGAAATATGCAAGCAGCATCTTCCGCGGCATATCCCAGAATTGAGGTTGATGCGTCGTTATCGCCGGGTGTCCCTAAGGTGCTCCCTGACGTGAAGGCTGCCCGCGAGTTCCAAGTTCGATTCCACACTCCCGAGCAAGAAATAGCGTTAGTCCTATCAATTTATTTTTTCAGGTTCTGATCACCTTTTCGCTGTTAAGTCTTGGTCCTGCATGCTGGCTATGGGACTATTTACGAAGGTCCCGCACTTCGGGATATTTCGTTCCATTGAGTGGCGGCATCGATAGCTGTGCAACCGCCGTCATTGTTTATTCTATGTGCCGCCTCGTAACTCAAGCGGCCTCTGAAGGGCGTGAGTGTCCGCTTTCTGATGCGATCTCCACCTAGCTTGACGCGATTGATTTTTAGGCGAGCAAGTGATCGAGGACGCACGGCGAATAGTTGGTGAGAAACCAAATTCATCCTATGTTCCGATTGATCCACGGGAGTTCTGCGGGAGGATATTTCACACCTGTTACATGGGAACCGAAAACTCCAGTGCTGAAACAAGGGACCGGGCCAAGAATCTTTCAGGGGCCATCGGAAGGTGAGTGTGGGACTGTGTTTAGTCACTCTCGGCATTGACAGGTCCCGCAGTTATCATATTGATCTGAACATGGACACACTCGTTACGGCCGTGCGAAACTTATTTTCTCTTGTCACAGGTGTCAAACCAAGATTCCGTGTGCATGGTGGATCCGACGCGGAGAACCTCGCACTCCAAAATATCCAGGTCTATCCATGTCCAATCCCCTTTTCCTAATTTCCTTTGACTTCTTTGACTAGGCCCGCCTGCGGATGGTGCTAGCTTACCTGTTTGCGCAGCTGCTTCCCTGGGTCAGGGGCGGAGTTGGCGGGCTCCTTGTATTAGGCAGTGCAAATGTTGATGAAAGGTGAACATCCATATTCATAAAGTGGATGCTAGGGGCCCGAACATTTCATTAGTATACGCGGCTATTTCACCAAATATGACTGCTCTTCCGGTGGGTTTAATATTCATCCTCGTTTGGTGTGATTGACATAATATTGGTTTGACTCAGCCGACATCAATCCGATCGGTGGGATCAGCAAAACAGACCTCAAAAAGTTCATTGCCTATGCTAAAGATGCATTTAATCTTCCTGGTTTGCAAGAGTTGGTCCATTTGAATGATTTCAACTGCCCACTTCTGATCCGCTCCCCAGTTTCATGGATGCAGTTCCCACGGCAGAGCTTGAGCCTATCACACAGACATATGTTCAGGCTGATGAGGTATAGCGCCGATATTGATATTGGACTTACTGCAGGATTAATACTTTGTCCATTCATTCATCAGGCCGACATGGGCATGACTTACGATGAACTTTCCATATTTGGCCGCCTCCGCAAAGTCGAGCGATGTGGCCCATACAGCATGTTCACCAAGCTTCTCAATGAATGGGCGGGCATGTGGTCTCCGGCGCAGGTATGTCTTTGTCCGGGATGCGGTGACGCTTTGTTATTAACACCCCGCCGGCTTTTCCAAGATTGCGGATAAAGTGAAGCGTTTCTTCTTCGAGTACGCGCGAAACAGACACAAGATGACAACCATCACGCCATCATATCACGCAGTACGTCACAGTTCCTAGGTACTTGCGGTCACCCTCATTGATGCGCTCAACAGGAGACCTATAGTCCTGACGACAATAGTGAGCAGACAGAACCCCATTTTGGTTCAATCTGACATTGGTTTCGCGCAGGATATGATCTCCGCCCATTCCTTTACCCAGCTCGCTTCCCCCACCAGTTTGCGAAGATTGATGAAGTTGCTGACCGATTCGAGCACTCAGAGCTCTATCAAAAAGCAGACCCAGCGTAAGAAGGGCTTGCATCCGCATTCAGTTGTTTCGGTGGCGAATTTCTCGGATTGTGTTTGTACGAGTGAAGGAATTGTACACAGTGTAACCAATACAATTGACAATAGAAATCCCGGCAAGATGTCCACGAAGAATCTCGACCACGTTGCGGAAGTCCTTACATTACATGTAATGATGTGTTTGCAAAATTATTGAAGTGTTAATATTATGAACGAGATGTGATGTCCATAAGCGGCTTCACCGTGACAAGAAAGTAGAAAGTATACTCTGCATAACAATTTTCTTCATGATTGTCGGCTCCGGCGCTAGAGGGAAGTAAGTAAGCGTGATGTCCTAGAGGTTCGCATATAGTTGACATACGATCGCCTAGCCCCTCTTCCTTGACTTTCCTCTTAACGCTCTCCATCACCTGATTGACTGCACTTCTGTCCAGATCATCTCTCGCCTTCATGAGACCTTCCACGAAAGTTAAGTTAGGCCCATGAACCTTGGCGAAACTCCAGAAGCTTAGGAACACCAAGTTCTTGCTTGCAGTGAGGAGCGCGTGGCACATTTCAATAATTTCGAATTGTCGCTCCAATTCCTCTGGACGTTTGTTTGGACCGAGAATTTGTGCGAAGAAGTCGTACGTGAGAGCGATGTCTTCTTTGATGCGATCGGCGGCAGCGGGCATCTTCAGTTTCGATGTCCGATGAAGGGCGGTGAGATAGGTGACGAGGAAATTATCAAGGAAGTTCTCGATCAGAAGATCGAGAATGGATGGATTCAGGAAGGATTGATAGTCATTCATGTAGTCCTTCAACGTTTCGACAATCTGCGTAGCTAGCGTCCCGTCGTACCATTGTGGAGAGTTGAATAGTTGCTTAGTGGCTGGTTTAATGTCGTTGAAGGCAATGGTAACGAGGGATTGTGTGCATCTGTTGACTACCTCTACGTAGCCGTCAATTGTGGTATTAAGCTCATTTCGAATGACGACGCGATACTTCTCGCTGACGAGCTCCTCGATACGTGCCGATAGAGCTTCGCAGTTATCGGCAGATCGAATCTGATCGTTAGCAAGAGCAATGATATAGTCAACTAACCCTCCGGGAACCTCCTCTCCCGGCTTGGCGTCCACTTGTTTCTTGAGTTCGGAATCGACAAGTCTCGACCATGTGTCTTGCATACCGCGTAGCACTCGCGACACCTCGGTCACAACCTTGGCCAGCACTGCACCTTGGCCACTGTCCAAAGCTAGGTCTACTTGCTGGTTGACCATCTGGAAGAGGATGACCGTCCTCTGCATTCCATACAGACCATCTGCATCCTCTTCGGGAGACTCGTCTCGAGTGATGAACACCTTTCGTTCATCCTGCATAATGTTCTTGGACCATTCAGATAACTTGCGCAAAATGAGGGAGACGTAATCGTCGATCAGTGACTGTTCCGAGCCATCCAGGAGTGCTGGTGTCACCCATTCCGGATTAGACGCAAGTTCCTTCATGTCTTTTTTATACTGCTTGAGGAATGCGTGGAGAGCAAGTAGCGTTGAAGCCTCAGGATTTGAAGCCACAATCCTGCGAATGACACCGTCCACGGCCTTGTGATATTTCCGAACATATTGACCGTAGATATCCCAATCGGCAGGGAAGCAAGGGGTAAGCAGAGATTGTGCCTGGAGTAGGTCGGTATACATCCAACTAATGGTATCAAGGAATCCAGCTTCGCCTTTTCCGTTCGCGAGCGACTCCTCGTATGCCGTTTGGACCTTACGATTGATAGTTTCCGTTACTTTTTGTAGGATATTAGCACGATAATGCTTCAGTCGTCTGGACTCGGCAGCTATCGACTTGAATTTGGCAGCAGCATCGATTTTGGCAGCTTTTTTGACGAGACGTATACTGACAGCCTGGGAGATAATGAAGGACGAGTGTAAGCTATTGGCTATATCAATAGCCGCGGTCATTGCACACCTTCTCGTCCTCTTTTCCTTCAATTTCGACAATTTTTACCAGCTTCACGATCGCATTTGGGTAACCAGCGCGAGCAATTTCGAGCAGATTTTCGCCCATCATTATAATGTACTCGTCGAAACTTTGTATGACCCCGTCGAGTCTGGAGAAATGATTTTTGAGAGTGTTCCTCACATCTGCCGATGCACGCTTGGCTTGATGTAGAGTTTGGTTTCGGAAAGCTTCCAATTGGTTGAGGCGGTAGTGTATGGTAAGAATGTAAGGTGCTGGTCCGAGGATGTCTTCACGAGAGGCTTCCAATTGGGCTTCCACTGTGTCCAACCGAGAATACATCTCTGTCAGATTGTTGACAACTTCCTCGGTTTGAACAAAATTCCGGTGCACCATCGAGACCTGTTCAGAGCCCGAGCAGATGAGGCTGGCATCATTTCTCTACGCCGAGAGGACGAACCCTGCTAATCTGGTCGAAGGTTTTGATATTGTTTGTGGGTCCGTTAAACATGGTCTCCACGTTCTGCAGCTCATCCCTAATAGACTGTACATGACTCTTCGTTTGCAAGAGTTTCCGCAGTCCCTCCCTAGTGGCTTCCAGCTGATCTTTTACGCCACTCTTTAGTTTAGCGTCTATGGAAGCTTTCTCTTTCTCGAGCTTCTTCCTGAACGCGGCGAGCTTCATGAGATCGTCTGGAGATTGAAGAAACTCTCCCACCATCTGGGCGGGTGTCATATGAGAGGATGCCATCAGACCACGGCGGTGGCCACTCTTGGACAGCCTCTCACAAGCAGAGCCTTCGGGGCGTGGCTGTGCAGAATGTAACCAGTTTTGGAACAGCCTAAATTAGGCTCCATCCATGGCTGATAACGAGGGCAGTGCCCACGCCAAGGCCCCTGAGGTCAAGGTTCCGGTGGAAGCTGAGCCTCAAAATGAACTCACCAAGAAGTTCACTGAGAAGGATTGGGACGCCGTCAAGGAATTGAGAGTGGGTGGTGGCACTCGTCGTCGTCGTGCCACGCGAAAGGACTTTGATAAATGTTGCTAACATCGAGTTCACAATAGACAGCGTTGCCACTCATTATCGAGGAAGCCGTTCCGACAGATCCTGAAGGCCGGTTCCGTGTGACCGATATGTGGGGTGTTCCTCTGGACCCATCAAGAGTGGACGATGCTCGCGTCAGTGTTATCCTTTTGAAATTCATCAAAGCAGTGTACGTGCTTTGGTTTCATATCATCCCAATTCCTTTCCTAACGATAACTAAGTACTCAAATTCACCGTTTGTTCCCTCCCCTGTAGCAATTACGACGTAGAAGAAGCGACGAAACGACTTATCGCTACCATCAAATGGCGAGAGGAATTCAAAGCCTCCGAGACAGTCAATGAGGAGTTTCCAACGGAAGTATTTGGGACTTTGGGACACGTCTTTGGGCATGACAAAGAGGGACGTCCCATCACGTACGTACGAGACTTATTCGCAATCATTTGCTCAGTCATCTCAGTGAATTCTGGCAACTCAGATGGAATGTGTATGGAGGTATAGATCAACAAGCCGTATTTGGGGACTTAAATCGCTTTCTTCGGTGAGTGAAATTGGAGCTTACCCACTCCATCCCTTTGACAAGTTTCCACCCAGCTGGAGAGTCGGCTTGATGGAGCGTGGCCTTCGAGAAGTTAATTTCACAACCGTAGACTCTATGATTCAAGTTCACGATTATCTCGGAGCATCGAGAGACGCAAATAGCAAGAAGGCAGCGACGGCAGCCTCGAAATTATTCACCGATTATTATCCTGAACTACTCGTACGTCTCGATTTGCGCGGTTGCCAAAATCAATCTTCTCACTACGATCTGATACACATCCAGCATCAGAAGTACTTTGTGAACGTCCCAACGCTTCTAACTTACGTCTTCTGGATATTTAAACCACTCTTACCGGCAGCGACGTTCGCGAAACTGAAGGTTGTCGGAGTTGGGCCCGAAGTCATCGGTAAAGAACTTTCACAACGTATCCCCATCGCAGAACTTCCAAAACAGTATGGGGGTACAGCAGAAGGGTTCTGATCTGGTTTTCCGAACCGGATGGGCAGACAGCTTTAGCAGATGACCTGAAGGAACGCCATCTTTGTAGTTTCTGAGGGCAATCTCAATGCCATTTCATGATGATGATCTGATCTTCCGTCAACTGCTCAATAAAATTCTCGTCTTTCTTCAGCTGCGCTAAAGGCTCTGGTCTCGTAGCTCTTGGAACTGCGTATTAGACCGTTCATCCTGCAACTTCCACCGTGAATCTGTGAGAAGGATGAGGATCCAGAGAGTGTAAAATATCTTGGCAGGCGTAGGAAACGGTTATAGCATGGCTCGAATTGTCTCAAGACTAGCTACGTTTTCTCCACCTTTCCTGTTTCGTTTTGGTTCAACATCTCCGACTCAGTCTCCATCTGTCCATGCACAGAGAATCCTTGTGACTTGCCTCAGCCGCATCATTAAAGATCTCGAGCGGGGTAAGGTTCATCGGAAAATCAGATAAAGTAGACTCCTAACTAATCCATGTGCGTATTTGCTGCCGACAATGCAGACATCACGACGAGAGTGGTGGGGGCGCAGGGGGGCACGGGAGAGACGGAGCATGGCTTGTCATGGCCAATTGGAGCTTCGATGAAGTTCCACGAGCGAACCATCCTCATTTGAGAGCGATGGCGAGTTTTCCTTGCGGTGCATTTCGTCCCTTGCCGAACATTGAAGAACCCCGGCCCGAAGGAAAGATGCCGCGGAAGTAACACTGTACAAGTGGTTGATGTGATGGTGACGAGTACACTGGCTGGCTGGATCGAAAGCAAAAACAACAAACACCGCTCACCCTCCCCGTCGCAGGTCTTCCGGGGCAGAATATCAGGCACCTGAGGGGCTTTGCTTATCAATGTCCTCGGGTTTGCCCCTCTTCTGCGCGGTGTAATCTTCAATGCAAACGAAAAAAATGGGTATCCCCGCCTCCCGCCTTCAAAAATGGATGAAACGAGCATTCAGGGTGAGTCCAGGGACTTCTACCCGTCAGCTAGAGAAGCTTCCCGAATCCACCGCCATAACGCGCCTCGTATCCGGCCCCCGCTTCTTTTGGGGCTGTTCCGTTCATTTTAATGAAATCCCAAATGGATTGCGGCACGCGGATGGACGAAGATGCAACTTGGATCGATATCGCTAGGATTGGGTCACTTTAGACTACATAATTCATCGTGTGGTCGGGGGCGGCCTATCGAGACGGAGGCCAAAGTTTGGCGTTGTGAACTCGAAAGGCGAGCCTTAATGTCCTTGCGATATGAACCATTTCTAGGTATCTCGTCAGTCTCGAAATAACCCAATAAATGACCCGATTCCACGGTATCACCAGCCATCTAGCCGGGTCCATGGGGTAAGCGTTCCAAAGAGCCATCCCCTTCTTGTTATATTATTCTTGAAGGGGAATGGCATAACCGCCACTCCCCACTTTACTTTTTCTATTTATTATCTCATTATTTTAACTTCTTGTTATCCCTTCCTAGCTATGCGATATTGATATCGCAAGGGAGTAGATTGTAAGGGAGAAAGGTCGCGTCCCATGTTCCTGTAAGCACCTATCAACGTCGCGTCGTGAATACATCGCGACGTGACGTCCCATCTTGCAGACCCGGCGCATCTTGTATATATATCAAGCCGCATACAGAGATGTAGATACAATGCTTGTATATAACACACAGGGGGAGGGATAAAGGCTTAGCAGCCTTTACTCCCCCATCGACAATATAGCATCATACAATCAGACGGACCGGGAGTATAACGCGAGTATATCGCGTACAACGCTTAACACGCTTACAATGGGTTTCATTTATCGAACATGAATCTGATTCATGTTCAACAAACGAAACCCATCCGCGGTTGCTAAACGGAAGACCCCCACATGCACATTTGTCTGAAATCGGTTCGTTCGCTGCCTTTCACTCCCATCCTCCGATTGACGACGTTACACCCGTAGCGTCCAAGCCACTTCGATGTGACGACAGAAATCTCCAATCCAAATTCCGTCATTCGGGTGACCCTTCACCTGGGTTAAATGCTGCGACAGTACGTATCTGTCTATTGTCCACTGAGAGTCTCTTTTAGGTGGGTTCTCAGCCTGACGAATTCCGTCACTCCCCTTCGCTGCCCCGGCTGATTACACCTATGGAAAAGTGAACGACGGATTTGGACTGTAGAGAACAATCAGTACACTTCGAAGGTTGTAACAGGGAAACCACCTTACTGCAAGTTAGTACGCGCCGGTAGCGAGTGTGAACCAATGATCTTCAGGAAGATATTCGTTTCAGTAACCGGATGCGTGTCCCTCCCGGGATCGCTGTTGAGCAGGACAGTATAGGTAGACACGGTGGAAGCGATGAAGGATCCTCGTACGAAGAGTAGATCCCTGGCGAAAGGGGGAGGAACCGAACCAGTCTTCAGGACGAAGAAATCGAACTTCGCAGCGATTGCATCTGCGGCATCTGGGGAGGCCAACGCTGCGGCAGCAGTTGGGGATGCCAGAAGAGAAACTGGACCCACCAATCAGAATGTCACTGTGAAGATGATTGTTGGAGTCGAATTTAGAAAAGCATACCCTGTGAAGTGCGAACGCAACGCAATGTTGAGCGCCATGAGAGGAGATCGTTTTATATCAGGACGAAAGACAGCTGCGACTTACATGAGTATCAAACTTGAGATGAGACGGATGTCGAGAGTGGCGGAAGATGGAGCGATACATAAGCGAAACATTCCTATACTGAACCGATCAACAATGGGCAGTCTGTGTGCCCTCGGAGCTGAGGGTGATGCAGTTCCCGATGAACAGTGGTAACCTGGGTCAAAATGGAAGTGAACGACGGACGAAGACCCCGGGTGGGCCTGCCACTTGGACTGGCAGTGGTCCCAAACGGTGAGAGCGATACAGGTGGACGCCATGGATGTTGAGGCGCAATCGGAGTGAGTTGCGTCCAACATGATTGTCAGTACGACGTCAAGCCGCCAAAGCCCGCCCTAAAGCAGGAGGCCGGAAAGCGTGGGAGAAAGCGACGGGAGCCAATGAGAAGGCAATGCAACCAATCGGAGCGCGTCGATCGTAGCTCGCCCCAGCCAAGCATTTAGTGATTTGGAATTAGGCGCCAATGCAAGTGTTCGATTTGCCTCGGGCACAAACAGCCTGCAACAACGTTTGCGGATTCATGTCAACTGAAGAACCAATATCCTCCCAATTGAACGAAGGATCTCAACAAGAGCTTGACTCTGGGGGGTCGAAGAGACACTAGATCCCATTGTTCTTGAGGGACGTAGTAAACGATACATTCAGTTACACAACGCGTTTCATAGCGCGTTCAGGAAAGCGAATGAGAAATGGACGTGAGTGGTCCTTCCACCCCCGCCTTTAACATTAACAAAATAACTTAGAGAGAGAGAAATTCATAATTTTGGGATTGGATCCGTAGCGATGAAGATTGTGCCTTATGTTTTCCGCTTCTTGCAGAAGCTGTACCCCACTACTTGAAGAAAGCACGCAAGGAAGCTATCGATGCCGGTCGCGCCTACGCAACTGTAAGTCTAGCCCCCCCCCTCTCCCCTCCCTTCCTCGCTTCATATCTCCTTTTTCCTTTTTTTTTCCTGTTTACCGCGTCAAATATCTCATTTCTCGAACGGTAACGTAAACTCTCAATTGACAGTTGGAGGAAGCGAAGATTACCAAAAGCTACGATGCAACAATAGCCATAGACGCGCTCCATGCATGTATCCTCGAGGCCCGTCGTCGTGACAAAGCACGCCGTGAAGAAAACCCACCACCACCACCCCAACTTTCATCTTATCCCGATACATGGCAACCTCATATGGATCCCCGTGCTTCCGTCCGCGCACATACCGTTCCTCTCATGGGAATCGAATTGGAAAGAGTGGAGAAGGAAATTGCGGCAGTACGTTAGCCTTAAACATCGCATTCTTTTCTTGTTTACCGATGGCTGAGCGTCATTTGCGGATCGTCACCCTTTCCCCCCCTTTCCTTTTCCCTCCCGCAAATCACGCACGAAACACTAGGGGGAAGCGCGCAACGAGATCCTCGATAGTAAATTAAGAGCCAATATTGCCGCCCAGCAAGAAGCCACCGCTCGAATACGCGCTTTACTCGAAAAATTCCACGCAGTGCGTCCCCCCTTTCTACCTCCCTCCCTACCCACCACTTCTGCCTCCTCTCCCAACTCGCTAATCTTTTTTGGTCGCTGATTAACAATTGATCCTGGTTTTTTTTTTTACCCCTTGCAATGCAGACTGTCTCATCAATGTCAAATCCCCAGATAGCCGACCTCGAACAATGGGCGATCATGATGGAAGAAGAGGGTAAAGTTTAACTTCCGAGCCCCCACACCCGCAACTCCTTGCCCCCCCCCCCCCCCTCTCCTCCCTCCTCCCTCCTTTGCCTCCCTCAGGGTATCTCTTCGCCTATAACCCCGATCTGTATACGTATAAGCTGAATTCAGGATTATCACGCATGAATTAATATTTCTCTTGCTATGGTACAAAATGCCTCTTTGTGTTACTATTGCATGCATGCAAAAAAGTAAACAAGAATTTGAAAGTGCATGTTATAATTAGATTGTAGGGAAATTCAAAATAGAAGCGTACGATGAGCGCGAGCGTTCTGAGTCTGAAAAGGGGGGGGGGGAGTGGAGGGGAGAAAACGCCTCAATAAGTAAAAGGAGGGGGAGAGGAAATCAAACGACGAACCGGACGACGGCCAAGCCAGGTGACACCACCGCCACCACCACCACTAGCCAACCAACCACTCGATGATGTCGTCAGGCAGTGGCAGCAGTGGCGCCACGTTCAACCGCTCTCCATCTTCCTCCGCTTATACTCCGCGATCATCTCAACACTGATCATCTTCAACCCATACTTGTTCGCAAACGCTCTACAATCGTTCCGTCTCGCCATCGTCCCTTGAGGATCGTCATTAACAAGTTCGCAGAGAAGTCCAGCAGATGATGAACCAGTTAACCTGCATAGGTCTAGTGGACCAAGTCAAAGTCAGGGGAGTCAGCACGGGGTGAGAGGAATTGGTTGAGATCCGGAATAACACACATACCGACAGCAGCTTCCGTATGTCCTTTCCTAGTCAACGTACCCCCTTCTCTGGCACGTAACGGTACAAGGTGACCCGGGCGATTGAACTCATGGGCCGGAGCACCCTGCGCAAGTTTTCGAGCCGTCAAAGCCCGATCGTGTGCCGATATCCCTGTTGTCGTCCCTGGCGCCAACCCAAACAAAATCCAAACGACGGAAACGCAAATCCCAAGCGCCAGAGTGTGTAAGAGACAAGTCAGCTTCTTTACCAAACAGTTCGAAGTGGGGGTGATTCAGAATCAATTAAGACAACGTACCGATCGCATAGTCAACCGTAATCGTATACGCCGTCTTGAAAGTTTCCATATTATGAGCGACCATCATCGGAAGCTCAAGTTCATCAAGTCTCTCCCCAGGTAGAGAAATACATATAAATCCACTGTACGTTCAACCCCCCAGTCATCGAGGATAAAATAAGCATCAGCCGTTTCCGAACGCCCCACGGATGCGAGAACTCACCTAGTGACTTTAATGAACCAAGCCATTTGCTCGGTCGTTATATTCGCAGCAGAAATGATCAAATCTCCCTCGTTCTCTCTCGCCTCATCATCCATCACCACTAGAAACTCCCCTCTCTTAAAAGCTTCTAGGGCCTCTTCCATAGTATCAAACGTAAAGCTCTCATCTGCGTTAGAAGACGACGAGGACAAAGTTGTGGAGGAAGAAGAAGTAGGAACAATGGAATCGGAGGCTGCATCCGCAACGGTAGTCGCACTCGTGCTGATGCCATTGACAAGGGGGATGACGGTGGCAGCGGTAGAACTTGAGATGGAGGCCGCTGTAACGGGGGATGATCCAAACGGAGCAGTAGAGGATGGTGAAGATGTCGTCGTTGAAGAGCCAATCACGATGGGGCTTGAGGCAGGAGGAGGATGGGTATCCCCTTTCGTTACGGTGCCTCGACCAGCAACAGCTGGAGTCGTCATCATGAACAATATAGCCATTAAATTCCGATTTTTTTAATGTCTTTCGGAGAGGGGGGGGGGGGGGTTTAACTGCACTAATAGGACCCCAAACCCCAATGTCAGCTTTCATCATGAAACGTTGAAAGGTTCCAGAACAAAACTCTCGAACCCATGAAGGACAACGATGGCGAATGAACGCGCCTACTCACCTCGAGTGAAAAAAAAAAATATGGTACGAGAAACTAGTGGGAGAAGGGTCTAGGCTATTGTTTTTGATATAACAATTTTTCTTCCCTCCCCCCTGTTGTTGTCGTTGGAAACAGACGTTCCAGGCAATCGATATGTATACGATCGACAACCCGAGATCAGTTTAAAAGAGCGCCACCAAGAAGGCTACTATGAAGAACAAGAACAATGAACAACACAGCAAACTCGGAGCTCCGGAGCCGTCACTTCTCGCCCAAAGGCCTTTCCTTTCTTGATTATCCGAACGCTACTAGTCCGAAAAGGATGAAAAAAAAAGCTAACCCCCTGATTGGGACAGCCTCAACAAGCAGAGCAGAAGGAACGAAGCAAAGAAGCAAGAAGGGAGGAAAAAAGTCTTCAAGTCGTCGGGATTCAAACACCGATCCGTCCAACAAGCCGAACCAGAGATCTAAACTTGGGCGCTTTTCGTCGTCTCGGAAGAAAGTTGGGGGGAGATAGTTCCGAGTTTGCCACCAATCAGTTCTGAAGCTTTAGGGGCGCGGGTGGGTGTGGGTGTGGGTGTGTAGAACAAGGGGAACTTAACCGAGGGCGGAACTCTTCTTCTAATTTTCACACGCTCTTGCGATGTACTGTATTACCTATTCACCAAAACGATTACACCATCGCTCTTACATGTATAACCCCCAAGTGCCACAGCCAAGCTATGTCAGCTTCGATGTTGGCTCTCCAAAATTAGAACTGAAAAAGGAATATTAAATCCAAAAGGAAAATAAAGAACGCTTGCATGTCTAGTAACCGAGAAGAACCCTGCTTGTCATGTACAGCTTCCCGGCCTTGAGTCCCGCTAACAGTTAGGAACTGGGAACACAACTGACCCCTAGCCTGGAGCGGCCTCGCGCCCCGCCAATCAAAATCAAGGCCATCACCCCCCCCCCCCCCTTCAAGCACCCCGTCTGTCCAACTTGTAGCTTAGCGGCGTAAACGGCGCAACTACACACACACAACGCCCACAACGTTCGCACACATACTCCCCCCCCCCCCAGCTGTGGTTCGATTCGATATGATATTGTTCCCCAGCGGCTCAGCTGCAATCCGCTGGCTCATATGATACTAGTTACCACTAGTCAGCCCCAGCTGACCCCGTACTAACAATCAGCGCAGCTAGTACCAACCCAAATCCAACCCCCGTTGCAATTAACCCCGATCAAGCGCGTTCCAAAAAATAAATCCCTCCACTAATTCTACCGTACATGCAAATTTGTTTATCAATACATATTACCTCCCCTAAATCAACACCCCCCCGCTCGGCCACACTCTCAATCAGTACTTACTTGAACTAACAATCAAAACGAACATGCAAACATTGATCGATCACCCGACCTCTTACCTGCACATGCACATGCTCTAGTACTTACTCTCCTTCCTTCCTTCCTCCACACTGCAACACAGCCGGCATTCATATGTACCTTTGTCTCAGATAATTCGTTTTCAGCTACTTTGCCCTTAATTAAATTTTATATCAAAGAGAATATGTAGAACAACTTTGCGGTCTCGGGGTTGATGGAGAACGTACGTGTAAATTGCGCCAAAAGTTACAAAAGTGGCGCGATACCCGCGGTTCTCAACGGGACGGCGCGCTACGTGCTATCATTTCATTACACATGGAGCATTGATTAATGCACCCTAGCTCACTGAGCCTTTGCATGTCAGCATGACAAATTATCTGTAGTTGCACATGTAAGCAGCGCCTCAGCCAGCTTGCATGAACCCGTTCTCATCCGCCCGTTTCCACCCTGAACGATGATATTCCGGGTCCAGACATCACATAGCATCTAATTCAAGAATAAGCTCATAGCTTCGAACAATTCCGTCTTCCTGATCGCGAGCGTCGGTTCCAGGCGTTTACTGCAATCATCCATGCGTCACCATCACCTATCCCATGCATGGCAACAAAACATCCAGGGGGTCACACTCAAGAAACCACCGACAAAGGGAAATAAAAACGTGTGTACAGCAGACAGTGCAAGTACACTCAACAGTCGACATTGAAGACGGCCGGTATTATCAACATACAAACACACACACACACACACAAATGGAGGAAATCGAGGAAAGAAAGAGAAAACGGTAAGTGTGGGAGCATACATACTTGGCATTGGCGTGCAATGAAGATGAAGATGAAGATGACGAAGACTATCGAATGAAGATGCACGTTGGACGGAGAGCGGATTGGGCGAAAAGGGTACAACTACAAAAAAAAAAAAAAGGAAACAAGGAAGTGAACACCATTAAAACTTCGTAACCTGTTACACTACTCTTGTCAAATGGGCATCGAGCCCGAAGAAGGAAAAATCATTCCATCCATATCGTCAGTGATGTGTTAATTGCAGTGGTACTAGAATTGAGGGGAGCGCGGTACATGGAAGTCAACCACACCATGAACCGCCGAATCGAGAAGAGGATGAGATGTGCATCTGTGGGGTAACAGTCTTCAGACGGGGAAGATGTAAGTGTATGCCAGTGTTATCAGTGTGATGTAGACTAGACTAGACGAGACGAGACGAGACTAGACAGGAGCACGATGACCGAGACTCATAGATGATTGAGGGGAAAAGGAGAAACGTGGGGGTTTGGGGGTAGTAATTTTTTGGAGTCCAGAAAAGAAAAAACAACAAAAAGAAAAGCCAAAGCGTCCAAACTTAGGGCATGCCGAGGAAAGGCAATGCCTGGCGACGACAACATGTGGCCTAATTGAACGTGGCATACCCAAAAGAAAGAGAACGATACATCAGAATCGAGCGGTGACAGACGTTCTACAACCCAACGGGTACAGTCCCAAAACGATGACTGCCAAGAGCTAGCCAAAGCAGAGAATGCACACGAGAGCCAAAAGGATGGAGACGCTCACCGCCATTGTAACTTCAACAACGCATTCACCCCAGGAACCCTCATAGGCGATGATCAGCGATCAAAAAATGGGGGATTCCTATCTCAAAACTCAAGGGGGTTACTAGCACCGTCGATCTGATTCCATATCCTAATCCTTTCCCAGGGCAATAGATAGCAAGAGAAGAGAGGCGAAAAGCGTAGAGGGACCATGAGCATAGGGTGGCAAAAGTCTAAACCAGAAGGCGGCACGTGGAAGCCGTGGCAATCAGAACCACGGCGACCCAGACAGTGATGTGGCAGGCGCAGGCCACAACGATAGAAGGGGAGTGGGCTGACTTAGCCAACAGAATAGGCATATGGCGTTCCACTCCCCGAGGGACCGCCAGGATCATGTTCATCTCTCCTCAGGCCTCGATAAAACCTACTGCTCCCACCTTTCCTTGCTTTCTTCCTAGCTTTCCACCTAGCCCTCTCTTCCTCTTCTTCCTCCTCGTCGTCCTCATCATGGTAAGGCCTGATGGTACCATATGGGGGCATCGCCATGGGAAATGCCGACGCTGTCCAAGTCGGCGCCGAGTAGTTTCCAGCCATTGCTGGGAATGGCACAGCAGCACCAGGGGGGGCAGCAGGCGTTCCTACCTGTCCATAGTGATGCTGGCCGTAAGTGCCCAGAAGAGGTAGAGTTGGCCCCAATGCTGGATGTGCATTGCCTGGGCTGTGGCCAAGATGGGGTTGAAGCGCATGCCAGACTTGATTCGCGGGCGCTACCATTGCTGTCGGAGAATAATCGATATTATTCCCCATCGGGAACGGGACTGGGGAATAGGGCAATGGTTGGCCAGTGTTTGCATTGTACAGCCCAAGGGTACCATATGTAGGGCTGTAGGCATCGTCGGGCATCGCAAATAAAGGCACGTTCGACAGGGGCGTGCTTGGTGGGGTGGGGTACCCATCCCTTATTTCGGCCTGAACAGCGAGTAGCCGAAAAAAAATATAAAAATAAAAATAAGCACGACATTTACCCCTGTCTCGACGACGCGCAGCGCAACGACAACGATGGCGACGAGGAAAGGAAAGAGGAAATAGAGAACGTACAGGTAAAGGAATTAGTGGAAGTGGGACGGGCGCAAGGTGCGGGGTTGGTGGTGGTGTGTATACCATGTCTTCGTCCTCTTCGTTCTCGAGTTGAGAAATAGTTTGGGCGATTGGTATTGCTCGAGAGGGCGAGGTATAGGGCTTCGCTGGACGCACTCTTGAACTACTTGAGGAAGTAGGGTTGCGAAAAAGTGGCTGGAGAAGAATGGAAGGTGAAGATCGACTTTGGCGACGACGACGAGGGGTACTGCGATGCTCTTCTAAGACGAGATCGATACGATTCCCTTTCTGCGCTTTCTTCGTCTTCTTCGCCTCGTACCAGTACTTGGCCTTCGTTTATGCGTTGGTGTTGCGACTGCGGGGAGAGAGGGGCTAGCTGAGGGCGCAGTGACAAGGGGGAAGAGGGGGAGGAGTTGTGAACGACGACCAGTCGAGCAAGGGCCGAAAAGAAAGAGGAAAATCGACGTGGTGGATCGAAAGAACGAACTCAAGGCGTGAGCGCGCTGAGGTGTGCGCGTAGATGCACAGGAAGACGTAGAACCGGGAGGAGGGAAAGAGAAGCCTTCGCCGACAGCGAGGATGACTAGGGTAGAGAAGAGAGGAAGGGAGACGAAGAAGAAGGGATGAGCGCGGATGAACGGGGCAAAAACGGGGGAGGGGAAGAGAACCGGCTTTCGCTCGAGGAGTTTTATATGGAGGGAGTCACAGCTGAGGGAACTATGGTCAGTTTACCATATTAGGCCACCCACAGCTTCCTGGCACAAAACAACTGTAAACTACTCTCGCCTTTTCGACCCTCAGCCCCCCTCCCCTCACAGCCTCCCTCGAACGTATTAGAGAACAGCTGATTCGTTCGAACGAATCTTCCAGAGTGTTCCAGAGAGTTCCTGCTTTCAATGCTCTTGATGGAAAGAGGGAAAAAAAGGGGGGGTCACGGTGTATTCATTCTAATATTTCACGATAAGACTAGTACTTGATCCTACTGGCATTACCCCACCCTTGACACGTATTCCCTCATCATACGTGTCACCCCGTTCAAGCATTCTAGCATAAGTATACTACCCCTTCCAATCACAAGATACACGGCAAACAAAAAAAAAAAAGAACTTTAAAACCATTCCTTTGACCTTTATTTTCACCCATCTTTTTCGCAACGGGCCCTCGCTTTTCGGTATTATTACAAGGCCATGCAGAAAAAACAATGCTATGCTGACATAATCAAGCGCCCATCCCTCAAACCATTGCGATGCAGGATAAAGGGTTTAAGTGCCTGTTGGCTCATCATGCTACTAAGCATAATACTCGAACCAACGAAAAACTGGCCAAACGCGGTCCGCGCCACGAATCCTACAATATGATACACGTAATTACATACAATACAGTTACACGGTTCCATGAACAACCGCACCGACACCGCCCCCCATGCAAGCTATCATACAGCTTACGCGTCGAATGGATCGACACCGCACCGCAATGCGCCCGTGCCGCACGATTATCATTATTCATCGCAATCATTCCAACTCTCTCCGGATCCACTCCTACCCTAGCCGCACAACCCCCCGGGCCCTAGCTACGCCGAAACCGACTCACCGACCGACAACCGACAAAACCGACAAAACTTATTGAAACAACTCACTTCCCCCCTTGGCCACGGTACGCGATGCAATGACCCCAGATGGCTGTCTGTCCGTGCGCATGATTCTGTGCAATTAACCAGCCCCGAATGTCTTGATCATGATCTGAGATGAATAAGCTTATAAGTCAATCAGGCGTGTGTTCCTTGAAACATGTCGCCAATATTATCACGTAACTAGGCCCTCGAGCTCTAAGCATCAACTTTCAGCCGTCTTGCATGTTTGGCGCGTGTATGTATATGCAAACATATTAGGCATACTGTGCGCACCCAAATAATAACGTGCTCAAGACCATAAGATTACCCGGTGCGGTGCAACCCCACGCTTGGAAACGTCCCGAAAAAAAGATCATTTATTAGGATGGGCACTAGTATTCATAAATCGATTAAAAAAAACCACAAATGCTCCGCAAGGGAGGAACGAGAGAGGAATAGATATTAACATACTACAGATCGAAAGAGATGGGCCTGGACTAGTATGAAGGCGCTACACGTAAATTAGAGTACGAAAAGAGGCGAGCAGCAGGACGCGAAACAAAAAAAAAAAAGGTGAGATGAAAGGGAAAGAACGCAGAAGAGCACAATCCAGATAGGCAGAGCAGCAGGCCCAAGATGTGGATGTGAAATAACTTTTTTTGTCGAAGTGAGAAGACCCACAAATTAAACCAAAAGAAGAAAGGCATACTTGTCACCACAAAAAAGGCGAACGGAGAGAGAAGGGGGGAGGAGGGCGAGGGAGGGGTGATATGGAGGATAAAGGAAGAAATGCATAGGACCATAGGACGCGACCCACCAGAGTCATTAACAAAGGGGACAGAATTTGTAGGTTAAAAGGGAAATAACAAATTCAAAAAAAGGCGAATCAGAAACTCAAGAACCCCGCGAAACGAAGAGAATAAGGGAAAATGATTATGAGGAAGGCACGTCCCCAGGTAAAGTAGAACTCGAAGAAATGGCCCAGACGCCAGCGCCGCCACCCCGCTGCGTCTTCTCCCTCTTCAACCTAACAGCTTCACCATTCCCCACAAAATGTTGTTGTTGCTGCTGTTGTTGCTCGTTCTTCCTCCCTCTGTCCATCACTTCTGATGATTCCCAATCATCTCTGCTACCAACATCCCTCAAAGCCCTCTTGACCCCATCCAACATCCGATCCGTAACACCAATCATCGCATCCAATCGACTCCTCTCCTCCTTCAGCAATCCATAATGTCTTTCCAACTCCGCCCTCGTAGGAGGCACGACGTTCATTCCCATTCCATCCGAATATGAAGGATAAACTGACGACGAGGCTCCACCGCCACCGATACCGTTCACACCATTAGCAGTCGCACCCGTGCCAGAACCAGTTCCTGCCGCAGTAGCACTGACGACGCTCGCCGTCGAACTGATGTTTCCGCCGGCAGCTATATCCGAATGACGGAAGGACGAAACAGACGTGGCAGACGAGGGGCGAGGCGGCGATCCAAATCGATGACTATCACGAAGCGGGTGATGATGGTGAGAATGATGAGAATGATGATGATGATGCACAGAATGGCCTGACCCAGACACAGATCCAGGATCACTCATCCTAGACGACATGCTCATGAACGTATCAATAGGCGGTAACTCCACTCCGGATCCATTCGTCGACGAATGTCTCACGCCGTTGCTGCTGTTGCCACCCCTGAATCCACTAGAGGGCGGTAAATCATCGAAGAAACTCGCTTGGGGGAGCGTCGAATGATGAGGATAAGAATGATGAGAGTACGAAGACCGTGGACCATATCCATTGGAGTGAGGATGAGAAGATGATCGATGAACGGATGCGGATGAAGAAGGCCGTTCCAATGCATGACGCTCGTTATCATGCAACAACGGCGTTCTCGTATCTTCTCGGCCGCTACCTGAATCAAGACTGTGACTGGAAGGAGTGGCGCCATTAGGAGCAGGGGCGATACTTCGGAAATGTGGCAATCCCGATGAAGACGATGCGGTCGAAGACGACGAGGATAGCCTTTGTTTCTCCCGCTGCTGCGGTTGACTATGACCCCTCCTCTCCACCTCTTGCGCAGCCCTTGCCAGACGATCAACGTCAGACTCATGTGGCTGCTGCTGAGGCATCATCTCGGAATCACGATCCATCTCCTCCCTCTTGCTCCTCCTCGCTCTCTTCCTCTTTGGTTCTTCCTGAAGCTGATCCATCTCCTCCTCTTCAGTATACGAATAGGACGACGAGTGGTGCTGTTGATTGTGAATATGATTCGTTTGTCGACCGACAGCAACGAGCGCTTCAGCAGCTTGTTGTTCTGCGTTGGAATTGGAGTGGTTGATGTTCGAATTGTTGGCTGGTAAAGTGTTCATAACGCTCGCAGCGACTCTCTTCCTTCTCTTGATGACGCTTTTTCTCATCGCCTCGGGGCGATGAGTACCATGGAGCTTGAAGTAAAGACCTAGAAGTGGAGAAAAATGCGTGAGTACAAAGCAAAAAATGAAAAATTATCAGATAATGATTATCGACGAAAAGATCAAGAAAGAAAATGAAAGGAGAAAGGAAACTGCCGAATGATAGCCGGCAAGTTGGAGAATGATGGTTACAAAAAGCATTGAATGCCCTGAACGAACCAAGAGTTGCGCCGGGACCGCCAACAAGTGAGAGAGTAGAAGGTCCGCAACTACCTCTCCCCCCAAAAAGGAAAAATTCCCACAAGGGAATTCGAGTGGAAAAAAATTAAACCACCCGCAAACATGAACACAGCATCCGCCAAACGAAAAAAACAAATGTGTAATCAGAGGGGAGGGGAGGGGGAGGGAAGGGGGGGGGGGTGTGAAATGATCCCAAACTCACCGCAAGCATTGCAAATGTTATTCCCTTGATCATCACGTCTCCAAAGCGGCGTCGTACTCGTTCCGCAATTCGCACAGCTCAACCCATTCCCACCAGCACCAGCACCACCACTCGTCGTCGTCGTCGTCGTCGTCGTTGTCGAAGGTGGTGGGGCAGAAGTAGGGGAAGACGTAGCAATATTGCCAGCACTTCGTTTCCTATTTACATTACCAGCATATCTGTACCCATTCGGTTCAGGACTCGGTGGTTCCTTGTCACTTTCATCACTTGCAACCAAAGCAGGACGATCGTTCAAAAGACTACGTCGTCCACGGCCATGGCCACTACCACTACCACTGCCACTGCCACTGCCATGATAACCATGACCATTCTGATGAGGAGATAACGACCGTTGTCGCCCTTTGGACAAAGGCGTCAACGGCTCTTGCTTCTCGTACAGCTCGCTCCGAAAGTTGTTATTCAAAGCGGGACATCCGCTACAAGCGGAAGTCCCGCCCGTACCATCACATCGACCATCACCAGGACACGTCCCACCACCACCATGTGACACCATCATCGGTGATGACGAAATCACTGGGGATAATTTCTGTTGTTGGGGCTGTGGTGGTGCAGCTGGTGGCGGCGGTGGCGGTGGTGGTGCAACAGAGGATAGCCGTAGAGGTGCAGGACCGGAAGGGGAAGAGGTCGATGAAGAGGTTGACGAGGCAGTAGCGGGAGTGGTGGTACTATGAGGCATTACGTGATTTAAGATAGGTGAAGTGGATGTGATAGGAGATTTGATCACGCTAGATGATGTTGGTTTTCGTGAATGCGTTCGAGAAGGGACGGAAGAGGAGAAAGGAGGCGTTGTCGCCGGTGATGAGGAAGTGGTCGTAGGGGTGGAAAAAGAGGTTGTCGTGGAGGAAGAAGATGACGATGATGATGACGTTTTCGTTTGGAGATTAGATACGGGACTTGGCGAACGATTCGCTGTAGGAACCGGACGTTGTTCTCCTCGAGTTTTTGCGTAAAGACCTAAGTTCAGATGAAGAAGATACGGAGCGGACGATATCAGTCAACAAAGTTAAGAAGGGAGAACGAAGAGAGAGAAGTGGTAGGGAAGAAAGCAGGAGGGGGAAAAAAAGGGGGGGAAGGGATGTGATATTTAGGTTTACGCTTGTTGTTGTTGCAAGTGCGTGCTTGCAAAGGGAAGTGGGATCAAAAGTTGAGAAAACCTTACCACAGGCATTACACATCGGATTACCGTCGTTGTCACGGCGCCAAAGGGGAGTTGAGTCTGTGCCACAGTTTGCGCAGAACGGGCCACCAACAGTGGCGGCTAGGAAAGGTCTGTCGGGACCTGAGCGCATAGCGGAACGAGCAACGACTTGCATCGAAGAGAAAGTAGGAGAGTTGGAAGGAGATAAGGTGGAGCGAGAAGGAGAGTGTCGACGATGAGGGTGAGAGGATGTTGGTGAATGAGGAAGAGGGAGTGAAAATGGACGATGGGATATGGCAGACGAGGACATGATGACGATTATTATTGTTTCTTGGACACGGAAGCAAGTTATAGATGAAGGAGAGAAGATGAGGACTTTTTGGAGTTGAGGTGTGAATCCCCTTGTGAATATTCCCGCTTAATTGTGTGATAGTATAAGATTTGATGATCCCCAGCCAATCAGCGCCCACTTATCACAATTTACCTGATGGATGATGGGTCAACATAAGGGTCAGAAACAGATAAAAAGGGACGGGCGCGGCAAGCGGCGGGTATGTGTGTACTGACTGAAAGTGAGTGAGTGGCTCCTCCCCAAGCGAATCAGTTGCCCGACGGGAAGATTAACTTTGTGGCAATCTGTAGGCGGCTGTAGTTGATGTCGATGGTTATACGGCGCACGCGTATCAACACGCACCGCAACCAGTGGCTTCGAAGCTTGACAGAAGGGGGAGGAAGCGCCTCGGGAATCCCAGATGCCAGGTGGACAGGAATGAAGAGGAGATGGCGCGGAGGCGAGTTGTAGTCGACCGATGGGGTCGATGAGATGGAAAAGGTTGTGCTAGTTATAACAACTGGTACAGTCCGTGGATCTTCCTCGTTCGCTTGATCACTCATCGCAACCACATAGGAGTTTTATAAACGATCACTGATACTATAGTATAGGGTACCGGTACCCAGAAAAAACTGATCCCGCATTGCATGACCATGCATGCAAAACTCACTCGCTCGCTTTTTTTGCCACTTGCTGCTGGCTTGATCCTTTGCACTCTATTACATGTATTCCATATGATCAGGAAAAAAAAAGAAAAAGAAGAAATTATCGACATCATTTTATATACAGCCCTAAACAGGATTGCGCGGGATAAAGCCTGTGGAAGGGAAGAGGGAAGGTGGAAGGATAATTCGTAATTCGTAATTCCCCTTTCGTGTGTACTCGGATCTGATCAGCCTTCCCTCCCTCCCCCCCCCCCAAACCGGTTTCGGTCGAGACGCGAAGATTGGATTTGGAACCCATACAGTTTTCGTATCGTCAAGGAAACTCTATAGCCCTGTAACCCATACACAGGCAGAATGAGCTTCCATCCAGTGAAGGAAAGGGGCGAGAAAAGAACGATGATACAAGGTCATCGTGGGTATCAGTACTCCCCCAGATTTCCCTTCCAAGATGATCTATACATATAATCAGTCACCCAACCCTAACAACTACGTAGATGGATCCCTTACCTCCCCACTCATCCATCCTATCCTCGCCGCCCATTGGGATTATAATGATTATTTTTTTTCGCTCGTCGCTCAATTGATCACGTACAGACTTTGATCCCCAGTATTATGATTCGCATGACTACGGGATGTCATGGCCAGACCGAAAGGCGATGCATACACATACACATTCTAGCGATAAAATCAAACATTGCACGCGGAAAGATTCATCCATCCATGTTCATATGCAGGAGATCAATTCCCTTTTCCCTTTCACGAAAGGCGACGTTTCACAGTTCGCCGTCGATAAGATTTTGGAGCTCAATCCCGCCGCTGGTTGCATGCATGTTGTCACCCAAAAAAAAAAAAGGGAAAGCAAAAGGAAGCGTATTATTATGCACTCACAAACGTACTTCCATCCCATGATCTGATGAGCAGACCTGGACATGTGCAAAGACCTTGAGAGTTGGTTATGCCAACTTCCGGGATCTTCCTCCGTTCTGCCTTTCCCCCCCCCCCCCCCAGCAACTTGATCATCCACGCATGTCGATCTAGGCCGCCCCGTTCATGTACGTCCTATCATTCATCATTCATACCATCGTGCACCCATGATTTCGCAAACACCATCAACCCATCCACATCTCATGGCCGGGCCCCATTATCTAATCATTTTCGTTACCAACCCGACCGCGATCTTGCGCTTGCTTCTTTTTTTCTTTTTTTTTTGGGGGGGTTGATTTCGCCCGACATCTGATCCCGCAACAAGTTTATCCAAATACAAAACAAAACAAAAAGCATAAAGATCAAATTTTTACTGGAATTCCCCGAGCTGCGCATAATTCGCTCTCGATCTCTCCCATCGTCTTTCCACCCTTGAGTCCTTTTACTTTTTGTCTTTGATTTAGAGCTTCTTACTTCCTAAGCTAACAGCAGAGACATGATCGCTCAGTCGCTAGAACTCTCCCCTCCTTCCCTGGCATCTGGCCCCTTCCTTTCACCCTTCCAACAAGTTGAATGGGAACCAATAATGGCAAGTAATATAAAGATGGCGGCCTCTAGATCTTTTTCGCTCCTTAAATATTGTAATTAGTTAATTGCCTTTACCCGAATGGGTAAATCAATGATAAACCACACCTATGACGCAATGTGGGAGCGAAAAAAAAAAAAAAACTAGTTCATGTCTCATAACTGATATTGCATTGTGCCAATCACCTTCTCCCCAATTTGGAACGTCCCATTAGCTGCCCGTGTCCCACCACACAATCCGGTTAATAACGAACAACAACGGCCACAACAAGTCAAACGGCGACAGCGGGGTTTTCTTTTTACTTTCAGCGTTACACGCGCGTGTGAAGGGGAGTTATCATCCGGTAATTCCCGATCCCGCGTCACCCAAATCCCAATGACGCGTTATCCTCCTGACTTGCATTCATCTCGTCCAAATGATCCAATCAGACCAAACTATAAACGTGCCATTAATGCTGCGACCATGACCTGCTGACCAGAAATGATGGTAAACAATAATAACAACGACGACCCACGCTACGCTTAGCCGCTAAGCTTGACGACAATTAATGCAGTGTCAGCCCCAGCCCTTGGTCATTATGGATAATTTTTAAACCCGCGCCTGACTGGTGCCAAAAAGAGTTAGCCGCGTTGGCTTTCCATGACGATCTATAACATCCCTCAAAGGTTCGTCCAAAAGAAAAACAAAATATGCCATTCCAATTCTCTGACCGTAAAGAGAGAAAAGGGGTTCTTCCCCCCCCCTTTAGCCGTGCTAAATCCCTAGGATGATGGCATCCTGATCTTGACAAGAAACAAAAATCCGGAGCCGCGCTCCCATTACGCTTCCCCCCCCCCCTCCTCGCAAACAGTATTCTATCTCCACCACTTCCCCTTCTCCTCCCACCCCCCCTTCCCTCCGCCTCCTCCACCCGATCGCGTTCCATCCCGTCAATGGATCCCGAGACAATCCCACTCGAATCATTCATTGAGGTACTTCCCGATTCCTCATATGTTTTAACCTGACTACAGTCGTGACTAGTTACAGCACCTTATACATATAGCGCGTAAGAGCACTTCGGGATGAGAGGGGAGTGAGATCGAGAGGTAATCGCCCGATCTCTACCACACCATGCAATGCGTACAGGTAGCCGTGTGGTTACTGTCCTTACTTTCCTGCACATACACGTGTCCCCCGACCCGATGACCCCTCAGTGCCGGACTCCTCCACGAACACGAACACTGTCATGTGCGCGAGTGTAGTAGCCACTGGAGGCTCGCGGTCGGTTGGGGGGGTTATCGATCCTCCTTGCTCTTTGCTGTCGTTGGGGGTGTATATTGCACACAGTATTATTGGAACGCACACTGCCTCCTGGCATTCATGTGTACTAGTTGAACTG